AACCAGAACCGCATGAGGCATGTCTGGATTTCTTCAGCTCCATCAGACGTCGGGCTATTCGTATCAAAGCACAGCTGGCCAAGCTTGACGATGTACAGTTTATCACGATAATATGCATGAAGCGTCAGGAGGTGCCCATGGAGGTAGAAGACAGGCGCAAACGTGCGGGTTGCCTGCTTATCATTAAGCAAATGGCCGTAATCTGCGAGCTGGCCGCGAGTATCCTCTATAGGTCCGCTGAGATCTGGATCCATCTTAGCCTCGAGTATAGCATGGATGGAATGAGCATTCTCCTCTGTGTAGCCTCTGTAGTAAAACGCGATATCTGGCTTGTGCGGAGTCTTTGGTATAACCTTAAGCTGATAGTCCTTCAGCTTAAGCTTGCAGTCTGGGATTAAAGTTCCGCCTGCTGGAATATCTTTATTTGCGTCATGAACCACATCGACCATCTCGTTGAAGAGGAAGATAAAATATTTGACCAAACGAGCTTCCTTAGTCAACCCCATCAACTCATTCAAGTAAGATTTGAAAACGTCAGTAACGAGCAAATTCTTGAGTCTAGTATTCGAACGACGTGTATTGGCTACGATGCATTTGCCATCAGCCACTGGCGACCCCCTAGCTATGTCGAGGAAGAGATTGGGCCAACCCTTGATGAACCGTTCATACCGCTCCTTCACACCCAGAGATTCAACAAAGGCATTGAACAGATAGTTGTGTTTATGTTATCGCCAAGGCATTTCAGCAGCCGCTGACGGCGCTTATCGCGTACTTCGGGGGGCTCCGATTCCCCGGGCGGCAGTTCCTCCTTTTTTGATTTTTTGGGGCGTTTGGAAAGTACCACCTGTCTTGCTGTTCTAATAAAAAAAAACAAAATGTTTTAAATTAGTGTCCGAATTAGTTTTATATGCACGCAGAATAAACAACAACAAACAATTCATCAATATCATAACGATCCGTTTATATTGAAGTACTTACGCCTATTTGATTCGGCGGGGTCTTATTCGGAGGAGCTAGCTCAGACATCATTGAGAGAAAGGAAAGGGAAATAGAAAGAGAGGGGAGAGAGAGGGAGAGAGAGAGAGTGTGTGTGTGTGTGTGTGTGTGTGTGTGATAAGCACTGAGGTATGGTAAAAGTAATAAAAAGTGAAGAAAAAAACAAATTGAACGAAATGGTGCGAATTGGAAAAAAGCAAATATTAAAAGTAAAGCAAAGGTGGAAAGTTGCAAAGGTGAAATTTGTTGCGATGGATTGCGCCAAAAACAAAAAACAATTTTTTAATATAAACAAAAAATTTGAGCTTCTCATGCTTGCATTTGGTTGGCTGAAATATGGAAACAAGAAATAATTATATTTACGGATTAATTTCCAACCAGCATTGTTCTTTGTTGTGCATTGATTTTTTAGCTTTTGTTGCTTTTTTTGGAGCATAGTGGCCCTGCCATTTACTGCTGTAAAAAATATGCTTCCCTGACGCGTACACTGAACCAGAGATGCGTCTATGCTCTGTCGCCTGGCTGTCAGGCCAATTGAGACACAGAGCCACATGTTTCATGTGTCCATGACGGAAGCATAAAATTCTGAATGCGAGAGAACTTTCACTTGGACCTTTAAGACCCATTCAAGATCACTTGCCTGAAACAATCAACAGACTCCAGGTGTATCCAGCACCACTAGATTGTATGTTGGAGAAACTCAAAAGTGTGTGGACGCCCACTATCAGGACAAGAAGCTGGACCTGAATATGAGATGGGCTGGAAGGAGCTGACAGAGGAATTTGTCATTTTATCAAACCACATCATTTAAAATTTAGTATAATTAGTCCCCTCAAAAGGCATTGTTTTGTGCGCGTTGGGTGTTTTCTAATATTTCATTTAACCCGTTCCAAATTAATATTCAATTTTCATTCATTAGGAGCTGACAGAGGACAGGTACATAACGCTGGCCAAGAAGCCCCAGGGAGAGTGTGCAAAATCAAGCAACAGTTTTTGTAAATGAGAGCATAAACAAACAGGACGACTGGTACAAGGAACAGTGCAGCCTTCGGATTGAACGGGAAACAAGTTGATCCTTGACGCCTAAGAAACGCTAACTGTTGATGAGAACTCCAATCTCAACAAACACCCCGACTACCAAATCCATGATAAGATGAAGATAACAGCTTGCCAAGGTGACTTTAGACAAACAGCAATGATGATGGCAGATATGCACAGCAGCCATCTGGCCACGCTTGATGCTCTAGCTGGCAGATCGAGTGCTCAGATTTAATTTTATTAGCCTGGTTTTAAGCTTATGGAAAAGATGTATGTAAAATAAAAATACCTTTAATATCTTCGAAAACCAGCTTAAGAAAAGAGAAGGAATCACAAAACTAATTGTTGTTCGTTCATGCCTTTGGAACTATTCACAAAGGTGCTGATTGTCTTTAGATTAACCAGTCAACACTCCTCCATCAGATATTGTCGAGTGGTCTATGTAATTGTGTATGGCATCCTCACTATGCCCTTCTCATAGACCCATTTCGACTCAGCAATGGTGTTGGGCACACATTTCCTTTGTACCCCAACGCCCATCAGTTGCCTTTCTTTGTGAGCACTAAGACTCAAAGTCATAAAAAGGGCAAAACAACATTCACTAGTTTGGTCTCTTCTATATCAGTAGTTTTTGAATATAGTTTTGAGTACATTTATTGAACTCACTCATTAACACCAGCCCTCAAGCGACAGACAGAGTGGCAGCAGCAGCGACTGAATTGTGTGGTTGTTTGAATTGATGTCTATCAGTGGCGCAGTAGGTTGTATTGCTATTGGTATGTAGAGATATAAAGGAAGCGGAAGTGTGGGAGCGGGGTAGAGTAACTACTGCCTTTGATTGTGCATGGGATAAAGCTTCAACAAATAATTATAATAAAATTGAAAATGCCATAAAAAAGAGAAAAACAATAAATTAAATAATGGTTGGGCTGCCCGTATCATTTATTTAACAAACAACAATATAGAGCAACACATTGGATTATAAACCTCATCAGGACACACCAGAGCCAGTTGGAAAGGGGTTACAAAAGCAGATAGTAAATAAAAGCACGCATAATTGGCTTTCGACTGGCGCAGCGCCTATTTTGGCCTCCTGTTCTTGCACCACTGCTTGCGACGATGGAACGCCATTTGGATATCCTAATTTCCCCGACACTAACCATGGATTCGCTTTGTCTTGTAGTATTTTTTCCGATAGTGCACCCAAGCGCAAATTGCCTCAACCCTGCTCATCATTCCAAACTCGCATTTAGTAGATATCAAGCCGCCAAATAAACACTCACATCACTCACACGCACGGCTTTGCGATTGAATTCAAAAATGTATATCCGCCAGATGGTGCGAACATAACCTCGCATAGTAACGAGGCTTTTTTGTTGTGCTCAATCTCGCATGAAAGCAATTGAATCAACAGTGACTGTGGCTAGGTTATACGCTGTTCCTGCGCAAATTCCGTTTGTATTTCCGGCTGGGAGTACATTGGCACTATTGCAATGGCCCAGCTTCGTAGCAGCGACTCCAACTGCAATAATATCAATGCCGCGTTATATCATATTTTCGGGATCACCACAATGAGCGAGTGGCCTGCTGGCCAAACATGTCCAAACATGTCCGAACATGACAATGCTTGCTTGCAGGCGTGAGAGCACCTAGTCACCTATTAATTTTGACTGGAAACTTGACCAATCACTAAACCGCATTAATAAAAAAGGCACCAGTAGTGCCAGCAACATGTTGGCCAGCAGCCTGACGGCACAACCAAGTCAGAAGTAAAGAAAATATGTAGCTTGATTTTTTACTTATTTTTTATACTCTTGCATTTGCCTTTTTGACTCAATAGCACAAAAATACGACTAAAATTCCGCGATTATATTCTATTTGTACACACAAATCAGCCTTCGACATTCAAGAAACAACAGCTCGAATTTATTGGAAACACTACCAATTTGGTGGCAAATTCCTCGCAACTTTTCAATGTATGCAAGCAGAGTGCTCCACAAGTATTCTGGTGCCAACAGAAGTAATAGGAATATTGACATATGGAACCGAGTATATATGCCAAAGCACAACCACTGAATAAAAATATGCAAAGAATCAACTTATTTGTTTTGTTTTTGAATGTATGTGTTTGTAGTTTCAGGCAGGTGCGAGCGATACACATAACGATCAACAACAGCATCAACAACAAAAACACCAACTGAAACCGCCGCTGCCGACCCCGCTTCTCTCCCGCGCTCACCGCAAATGATTACCCTGGTCTCAGCAATTGGCGAGTGTCTGTCCCAGCTGGACAAGGGCAACTTTGCTGACTCTTTGGGAGTTTTGGACCGTTTTGAACTCGGCAGACTGGATTCAGGCGACAATGATGTAGTCGACGACGATGATGATGATGACGCGGACAGAATCAGTGTGGCGAGCAGCAGCTCCAGTGGTGCGGCCAGCTTTTGCGATGCCAGCAGCTCGCCTGTGTGGTACGACATTGAATCTTCTCAGCAAGTGCCACCGCTGCGGCTGCAGAATCCGCTGCAACACACCACCGAAAGCATGGTCCAAGGCTTGCGGCATCTCATCGAGCGCCAGGAGGCACTGCTTAATATGAAGGCCATGTACGAGGGCCACCTGTCGCTGATGGCTGTGCACTTGCAGAAGCAGTCGGACAAGTTGGCGGAGCTTGGGTGCCCTATGCCTGGTGAGACCGAGTCTGGCACCGACGCCCCGGTTGACGTTTTTGTCAATTCGCCGATGTTGCCTTACAACGCATCAGTTATTGAAAGCCCTCGCGATCTGGCGCAGCAGGGCGTCGATCACCAGCAGCCGGCGAACACCCCTCGCTGGTGGTCCACGTTCTTGCCTGCTGGAGGTGCTTCCCCATCGCCCTCGGAGCACAGCGCAGCCGGCCGGGCAAACTGGTTGCCCCTTGCAATTGCCCTACCCCACTCGATCACAAGAAAACCGTGCCACAACCCGCCGAGATACCTGTGCCAGCGGCTACCGAAGACGACGCATGCTCGAGTGCATCCAGGCGTGCGAGCGTGTTGCCAATGCTGTAATAACGGCGACTTTAGCCTGCGTGTCCAGTGCAGCCGCTGCCAAACCGATGAGGAAAGAGCTGCCAACGACCCCGCCTTCCCGCGCCGCATGGCCTGGCTCGATCTAGACCGGGACGCGACACCTCCCGACGGCCGGCCCGTTACTCACACGCGGCGCCTGGCCAAGCGCGTCAACTGCATGATGTCGCTGCTGTCGTTTGTCACCCACCAGCTCTTTGAAGTTGCATGCAACGACGGCATTCGCGGAAAGCTCGGCATGCAGCTGATCTCCGAAGGCATGAGCGGCACCTGGCTCAACCTTATAAAGGAGGTCAATATGATGTCGAGGATCCAGACTGCGCAAGTGCGCGACATCACGCAAGTGTGCAATGCCGTGGCCAACGGCGATCTGACGCGGAAGGTCGACATCAAGGTCAACGGCGAGATGCTCGCCCTGAAGACGACGATCAACGGCATGGTCGACCAGCTGAGCGCATTCTCGATGGAGTGACCCGCGTCACTCACGCGGTTGGCACGGAGGGCATTCTGGGCGTCAGCGCTAACGTGCCTGGCGTCAACGGTGTGTGGAAGCAGCTTACTGACAACGTCAACAACATGGCCGACAACATTACGAACCAGGTGCGCGACATTTCCAAGGTGTGCAAGTCCGTGGCCAGCGGCAACCTGGCGCAGCTCGTCGAGGTAGAAGCGCAGGGCGAGATGCTCGAGCTGAAGACCACAATCAACAGCATGGTCACGTCAATTGACGGAATGGCGGGTGAGCTGATACGCCTCACCGTTGAGGTGGTGTCCATGGCATGCTCGGCGGCCAGGCCATAGTGCCCAATGTTGATGGAGTCTGGAAGGACCTGACCGACAACGTCAACAACATGGCTAACAACCTCACCATGCAGGTGCGCGACATCACTAGCGTTGCCAAGGCAGTAGCTGCAGGCGATTTGACCAGGAAGGTGATATCACCGCTAAAGGGCGAGATGGCCGAACTCAAGTCTACGATTAACACGCTAGTCGACCAGCTCAGCATGTTTGCTGGCGAGATTACCCGGATCTCATACGAGGTCGGCTGGGAGGGCGCCTCGGCACTCAGGCGCAGGTACACGGGGTCAGCGGTGTGTGGCTTCACATGACGACAGCATGAACAATATGGCGCACAACATCACGCACCAGCTGCGCACAATCAGCGAGGTCACTGCATCTGTCTCAGAGGGCGATCTCGGCAAGGTCGTTGACATCCACTGCCAGGGTGAAATGGAGTTCCTGAAGAACACGATCAACGACATGGTTGGCCGCCTTAAGACCTTTTCGAGCGAGGTGTCGCGTGTTGCAAAGGAGGTGGGAACAGATGGCGTGCTGGGCGGCCAGGCCGTAGTGCCAGACGTCGAGGGTATCTGGAAGGACCTGACTGATAACGTCAACAAGATGGCGAACAACCTAACGATCCAGGTGCGCGACATTGCCAACGTGACTAAGGCGGTTGCTGCGGTGACTTGAATCAAAAGGTTACATCCGAGCTCAACGGCGAAATGGGTGAGCTTAAGCAGACATCAATGACATGGTTGACCAGCTCAGCACCTTTGCTGCCGAAGTCTCTCGTGTCGCCAAGGAGGTCGGTACAGACGGTGTGTTGGGCGGCCAGGCCAAGGTGTAGGTGTTGACGGCACATGGAAGATTCTCACTGACAACGTCAACAAGATGGCTGATAACTTGACAATCCAAGTGCGCGACATTGCCAATGTCACCAAGGCGATTTCGGCCGGCGATCTCACACAGGAAGTTACTTCAGAGCTCAACGGCGAGATGGGCGAGCTCAAGTCTACTATCAACACAATGGTCGACCAGCTTAGTACGTTTGCCGCCGAAGTGTCCCGAGTTGCCAAGGAGGTCGGCACTGATGGCGTGCTCGGCGGCCAAGCCAAAGTTGATGGTGTCGACGGCGTGTGGAAGGATCTGACTGATAACGTCAACAACATGGCCAATAACTTGACGATCCAGGTGCGAGACATTGCAGCTGTAACCAAGGCTGTTGCAGCAGGCGATCTGACACAAAAGGTTACGTCCGAGCTTAAAGGCGAGATGGAAGAGCTGAAGACAACAATCAACACTATGGTCGGTCAGTTGAGCACGTTTGCAGCCGAGGTCTCGCGTGTTGCCAAGGAGGTCGGCACAGACGGCGTGCTGGGCGGCCAGGCCAAGGTCGTGGGTGTGGATGGCACATGGAAGGACCTGACGGACAACGTCAACAAAATGGCCAACAACCTCACGATCCAAGTGCGCGACATTGCCAATGTCACCAAGGCGATTTCGGCCGGCGATCTCACACAGGAAGTTACTTCAGAGCTCAACGGCGAGATGGGCGAGCTCAAGTCTACTATCAACACAATGGTCGACCAGCTTAGTACGTTTGCCGCTGAAGTGTCGCGCGTTGCCAAGGAGGTCGGCACAGACGGCATCCTTGGAGGCCAGGCCAAGGTGAGGGGGTTGACGGCGTGTGGAAGGACCTGACAAACAATGTCAACAACATGGCCAACAACCTGACGCTACAGGTGCGTGACATTGCTAATGTCACCAAGGCAGTTGCTGCGGGCGACCTGACGCAAAAGGTCACTTCCGAGCTCAATGGCGAGATGGAGGAGCTCAAGTCCACGATAAACACCATGGTCGACCAGCTGAGCCTTTTGCTGACGAAGTCTCTCGTATGGCCCGCGAAGTTGGCACGGATGGTGTACTGGGCGGCCAGGCCAAGGTCGAGGGCGTCGGCGGCGTTTGGAAGGACTTGACTGACAATGTCAACAAGATGGCCGACAACTTGACTCTTCAGGTGCGCGATATTGCCAATGTCACCAAGGCGGTCGCTGCCGGTGACCTGAACCAGAAGGTCACCTCCGAGCTCAACGGCGAGATGGGCGGACTCAAGTCCACTATAACACGATGGTCGACCAGCTCAACACTTTGCTGCCGAGGTCTCGCGCGTTGCCAAGGAGGTCGGTACGGACGGTATCCTTGGAGGTCAGGCTCTGGTCCCAAATGTAGACGGCGTGTGGAAAGACTTGACCGACAACGTCAACAAGATGGCCAACAACCTGACAATCCAAGTGCGTGACATTGCGATGGTTACCAAGGCCGTTGCTGCAGGCGATCTGACGCAACAAGTTACGTCGGAGCTCAACGGTGAGATGGGCGAGCTAAAAACAACGATAAACGACATGGTCGGGCAGTTGAGCATTTTTGCAGCCGAGGTCTCTCGTATGGCTCGCGAAGTTGGCACTGACGGCGTGCTGGGCGGCCAAGCCAAGGTCGAGGGTGTGACGGTACTTGGAAGGACCTGACCGACAATGTCAACAAGATGGCCGATAATTTGACAATCCAAGTGCGCGACATTGCGATGGTGACCAAGGCTGTTGCCGCCGGCGATTTGACACAAATGGTCACGTCCGAACTGAACGGCGAGATGGGTGAGCTCAAGTCCACTATAAACACGATGGTCGACCAGCTCAGTCTTTTTGCCGACGAGGTCTCTCGTATGGCCCGCGAAGTTGGTACTGACGGCGTGCTGGCGGCCAAGCCAAGGTTGAGGGTGTTGACGGCGTGTGGAAGACCTGACAGACAATGTCAACAAGATGGCCGATAACTTGACCAGCCAGGTTCGAGACATTGCAGCGGTCACTAAGGCTGTTGCTGCTGGTAATCTAAATCAGAAGGTCACCTCGGAGCTTAACGGCGAGATGGGTGAACTAAGTCCACTATCAATACGATGGTTGACCAGTTGAGCACGTTTGCTGCCGAAGTCTCTCGTATGGCCCGCGAAGTTGGTACTGACGGCGTGCTGGGCGGCCAGGCCAAAGTTGAGGGCGTTGACGGCGTGTGGAAGGATCTGACGGACAATGTCAACAACATGGCCAACAACCTGACGCTACAGGTGCGCGACATCGCTAACGTCACCAAGGCTGTCGCCGCCGGTGATCTGGCACAAAAGGTCACATCCGAGCTCAACGGCGAGATGGGCGAGCTCAAGTCCACTATCAATACGATGGTCGACCAGTTGAGCACGTTTGCTGCCGAGGTTTCGCGCGTTGCCAAGGAGGTCGGCACAGACGGCATCCTTGGAGGCCAGGCCAAGGTCGAGGGTGTTGACGGCGTGTGGAAGGACCTGACTAATAACGTCAACAAGATGGCCAACAACCTAACGCTACAAGTGCGCGACATTGCCAACGTGACCAAGGCTGTTGCCGCTGGCGATTTGACACAAAAGGTTACGTCCGAACTCAACGGCGAGATGGAAGAGCTGAAGACAACAATCAACACTATGGTCGACCAGCTTAGTACGTTTGCCGCTGAAGTGTCGCGCGTTGCCAAGGAGGTCGGCACGGATGGTGTGCTGGGGGGCCAGGCTAAAGTCGTGGGTGTCGATGGAACGTGGAAGGGCCTAACTGACAACGTCAACAAGATGGCCAACAACCTGACAATCCAAGTGCGTGATATTGCGATGGTTACCAAGGCGGTTGCTGCGGGCGATCTGACGCAAAAGGTTACGTCCGAACTCAACGGCGAAATGGAAGAGCTGAAGACGACTATCAATACTATGGTCGACCAGCTCAGTACGTTTGCTGCCGAGGTTTCTCGTGTCGCCAAGGAGGTCGGCACGGACGGTGTATTGGGCGGCCAAGCCAGGGTTGAGGGTGTTGACGGAACTTGGAAGGATCTGACTGAAAACGTGAACAAGATGGCCGATAATTTGACAATCCAAGTACGTGACATTGCCAATGTCACCAAGGCAGTTGCTGCAGGCGATCTGGCGCAGAAGGTCACATCTGAACTCAACGGCGAGATGGGTGAGCTCAAGTCCACGATCAACACTATGGTCGACCAGCTCAACACTTTTGCTGCCGAGGTCTCGCGCGTTGCCAAGGAGGTCGGTACGGACGGTATTCTTGGAGGTCAGGCTCTGGTTCCAAATGTAGACGGCGTGTGGAAAGACTTGACCGACAACGTCAACAAGATGGCCAACAACCTGACAATCCAAGTGCGTGACATTGCGATGGTTACCAAGGCCGTTGCTGCAGGCGATCTGACGCAACAAGTTACATCAGAGCTCAACGGCGAAATGGAGGAGCTCAAGTCCACTATCAATACGATGGTCGACCAGTTGAGCACGTTTGCTGCCGAGGTCTCTCGTATGGCTCGCGAAGTTGGTACTGATGGCGTGTTGGGCGGCCAGGCCAAAGTCGTGGGTGTCGACGGTACTTGGAAGGACCTGACCGACAATGTCAACAAGATGGCCGATAATTTGACAATCCAAGTGCGCGACATTGCCAACGTGACCAAGGCTGTCGCCGCGGGTGATCTGACGCAGAAGGTCACGTCCGAGCTCAACGGCGAGATGGGCGAGCTCAAGTCCACGATCAACACGATGGTTGACCAGTTGAGCACGTTTGCTGCTGAGGTCTCGCGTGTCGCCAAGGAGGTCGGTACAGACGGCATCCTTGGAGGCCAGGCCAAGGTCGAAGGTGTTGACGGCGTGTGGAAGGACTTAACCAACAATGTCAACAAGATGGCCGATAACTTGACCAGCCAGGTTCGAGACATTGCAGCGGTCACTAAGGCTGTTGCTGCTGGTAATCTAAATCAGAAGGTCACCTCGGAGCTTAACGGCGAGATGGGTGAACTGAAGTCCACGATCAACACCATGGTCGACCAGCTCAGTCTTTTTGCCGACGAAGTTTCGCGTGTTGCCAAGGAGGTTGGTACTGATGGCGTGCTGGGCGGCCAGGCCAATGTCGATGGCGTCCATGGCGTATGGAAAGTCCTGACCGACAATGTCAACATCATGGCCGACAACTTGACCAGCCAGGTGCGATCGATCATTAAGGTTACCACTGCTATTGCCGAGGGCGACCTTAGCAAGAAGGTTGACGTAGACGTGCAAGGCGAGATGCTTGACCTCAAGACCACAATTAACGATATGGTTGAGAAGTTGCGCGAAATTGTGTCCGAGGTGTCCAGCGTTGCGCTGCAAGTCGGAACGGACGGGGTCCTCGGCGGCCAGGCTAACCTTAAAAATATTGGCGGCACTTGGAAGGACCTGACCGACAACGTCAACAACATGGCCAACAATCTGACAAGCCAAGTGCGCGATATCGCTAACGTCACCAAGGCAATTTCTGCGGGTGACTTGAACCAGAAAGTTACTGTGATTTTGGATGGCGAGATGGGCGAGCTGAAACAGACTATCAACACGATGGTCGACCAACTGGGCACATTTGCGTCGGAAGTCTCGAGAGTCGCCAAGGAGGTCGGCACCGATGGTGTTTTGGGCGGGCAGGCCAACGTGGAGGGCGTCGACGGTATCTGGAAGAGGCTCACCGACAATGTCAACACTATGGCTGACAACTTGACCAGCCAGGTGCGCTCTATTAGTGAAGTCACCACTGCTGTTGCGCACGGTGACTTGAGCAAGAAGATTGAAGTGGACGTCAAAGGAGAAATGGGCGCACTCAAGCAGACAATCAACACGATGGTAGACCAGCTGAGCACGTTTGCCCGTGAGATTATCCGTGTCGCGCTTGAGGTTGGAATCAATGGTGTTTTAGGAGGCCAGGCATTGGTTCCTAATGTTGACGGCGTATGGAAGGCAGTCACGGAGAACGTCAACACCATGGCTGACAATCTGACCCATCAGGTAAGTTATTTATTATCATTTGAAACCAGTGGGGTCGAATGCGGCAACTATTTGGAAAATGTGCTTGCTAACTGCGTTGCTCACCGACAAACATGGCCTAGTGATACCTGTCAATGACCTGTAATGTTATGCGTGTTGCTTGTCATTATATTTGAAAGTGCTCAAACATTATTATGAAATGTACTTTTTGTGCTGGCAAACCAATTATAAGCACAACAATAGTCTGTGATCAAAATGTCCTACAGGCAATACCTTTCTAATGACTATCATAACGTGACTGAAATATACAATAGGTGCGGATAATCAGCGACGTGACTAAGGCGGTGGCTGCGGGCGACCTGACGCAGAAGATCGAAATCGACGTGCAAGGGGAGATGCTGGATTTGAAGTCGACGATCAACGGAATGGTCGACCAACTCAACACGTTTGCTGCCGAAGTCTCGCGTGTCGCCAAGGAGGTTGGTACTGACGGAGTGCTAGGTGGTCAGGCCTTTGTCCCCAACGTCGATGGCACGTGGAAGATTCTCACTGACAACGTCAACACCATGGCCAATAATTTGACGACGCAGGTGCGCGACATTGCGACTGTAACCAAAGCCATCTCGGCTGGCGATCTGACGCAGAAGGTCACGTCCGAGCTCAACGGCGATATGGGCGAACTGAAGCTGACTATTAACACGATGGTCGGCCAGCTGAGCACTTTTGCAGCCGAGGTTTCGCGTGTTGCCAAGGAGGTCGGCACGGACGGTGTGCTTGGTGGCCAGGCCCAAGTCGTGGGCGTGAATGGAACGTGGAAGGATCTGACCAATAACGTCAACAACATGGCCAATAACTTGACACTCCAGGTGCGCGACATTGCAATGGTTACCAAGGCGGTTGCTGCAGGCGATCTAACGCAGAAGGTTACGTCCGAACTCAACGGCGAAATGGAAGAGTTGAAGACCACTATCAATACTATGGTCGACCAGCTCAGTACGTTTGCTGCCGAGGTTTCTCGTGTCGCCAAGGAGGTCGGCACGGACGGTGTATTGGGCGGTCAAGCCAGGGTTGAAGGTGTTGACGGAACTTGGAAGGACCTGACCGAAAACGTGAACAAGATGGCCGATAATCTGACCATCCAGGTGCGCGACATTGCAATGGTGACCAAAGCTGTGGCCGCCGGCGATCTGGCGCAGAAGGTCACATCCGAGCTCAACGGCGAGATGGGCGAGCTCAAGTCCACTATCAATACGATGGTCGATCAGCTCAGCCTCTTTGCAGCTGAAGTGTCCCGAGTCGCCAAGGAGGTTGGCACAGACGGCGTGCTGGGCGGTCAAGCCAAGGTCGAGGGTGTTGACGGCGTGTGGAAAGACCTGACCGACAATGTTAATAACATGGCCAACAACCTCACGATCCAGGTGCGCGACATTGCCAACGTGACCAAGGCGGTTGCTGCGGGAGATCTGACGCAGAAAGTCACGTCCGAGCTCAAAGGTGAGATGGAGGAGCTGAAGACAACGATCAATACCATGGTCGGGCAGTTGAGCACGTTTGCTGCCGAGGTTTCGCGCGTTGCCAAGGAGGTCGGCACAGATGGCGTGTTGGGCGGCCAGGCCAAAGTCGTGGGTGTTGATGGCACATGGAAGGACTTGACTGATAACGTCAACAACATGGCCAACAACCTCACGATCCAGGTGCGCGACATTGCCAACGTCACCAAGGCGGTTGCTGCAGGAGACCTGACGCAAAAGGTCACTTCCGAGCTCAACGGCGAGATGGGCGGACTCAAGTCCACTATCAATACGATGGTTGACCAGCTTAACACCTTCGCTGCTGAGGTGTCCCGAGTCGCCAAGGAGGTTGGTACTGAGGGCCAGCTTGGTGGCCAGGCCGTCGTTGATGGTGTTGACGGCGTGTGGAAAGACCTGACAGACAATGTCAATAAAATGGCCGATAATTTGACAATCCAGGTGCGCGACATTGCCAACGTGACCAAGGCTGTCGCCGCGGGTGATCTGACGCAGAAGGTCACGTCCGAGCTTAATGGCGAGATGGAAGAGTTGAAGACTACGATAAACACGATGGTCGACCAGTTGAGCACGTTTGCTGCCGAGGTCTCTCGTATGGCCGCGAAGTTGGTACTGACGGCGTGCTGGGCGGCCAGGCCAAAGTTGAGGGCGTTGACGGCGTGTGGAAGGACTTGACTGATAATGTCAACAAGATGGCCGATAATTTGACAATCCAAGTGCGCGACATCGCCAATGTCACCAAGGCTGTCGCTGCGGGTGATCTGACGCAAAAGGTCACCTCGGAGCTTAACGGTGAGATGGAGGAGCTCAAATCCACGATTAACACTATGGTCGACCAGCTGAGCACTTTTGCAGCTGAAGTGTCCCGTGTCGCCAAGGAGGTCGGCACAGACGGCATCCTTGGAGGCCAGGCCAAGGTTGAAGGTGTTGACGGCGTGTGGAAGGATCTGACTGATAACGTCAACAACATGGCCAACAACCTGACTATCCAAGTGCGAGACATTGCCAATGTCACCAAGGCCATCTCGGCCGGCGATCTGAAACAAAAAGTCACCGCGATTTTGAGTGGCGAGATGGGTGAGCTCAAGTCCACGATCAATACCATGGTCGACCAGCTGAGCACTTTTGCAGCCGAGGTTTCGCGTGTTGCCAAGGAGGTCGGCACAGATGGTGTACTGGGGGGCCAGGCCAAGGTCGTGGGTGTTGACGGCGTGTGGAAGGACTTGACTGATAACGTCAACAACATGGCTAACAACTTGACGATTCAGGTGCGCGACATTGCCAATGTCACCAAGGCCGTTGCTGCTGGCGATCTGACGCAAATGGTTACATCCGATCTCAACGGCGAGATGGAGGAACTCAAGTCCACCATCAACACGATGGTAGGGCAGCTGAGCACGTTTGCTGCCGAGGTGTCTCGTGTTGCCAAGGAGGTTGGTACGGACGGCATTCTCGGAGGCCAGGCCCTGGTTCCAAATGTTGATGGCGTATGGAAGGACCTCACTGATAACGTTAACAAGATGGCCGACAACTTGACAAAGCAAGTGCGCGACATTGCCAAGGTGACCAAGGCCATTTCGGCCGGCGATCTGACGCAGATGGTAATGGCACCACTGAGCGGCGAAATGGGCGAGCTCAAGACAACTATCAACACTATGGTTGGGCGTTTGAGCAGGTTTGCGGAGGAGCTCAAAAAGGTTGCCTATGATGTCGGTACGAGAGGCAAACTGGGCGGTCAGGCACATGTTGTGGACATTGACGGTGTATGGCGCGACATGACGAGTAAGGTCAACAACATGGCGCACAACCTCACAAACCAGGTGCGTGCCTTTGCCGCGATTACAGCGGCAGCGTCTACCGGCGACTTTTCGTCTTTTATTACGATTGATGCGATGGGCGAAATGGACGCGCTCAAGTCCCAGATCAACCGCATGGTGAAGAACCTACGCGAGAGCATTGAGCGTTACGTGAAGGCCCGTGATATAGCCGAGCAGGCCAATCGCGCCAAGAGCGAGTTCCTTGCCAACATGTCGCACGAGGTGCGCACGCCGATGAATGGCATTATGGCATGACTGGGATGACGCTGGAAACAGATCTGACTCATGCGCAGCGCGACTCGCTGATGATTGTGTCAAGTCTGTCCAACTCGCTGATGACGATTCTCGACGATCTGTTGGACCTGTCCAAGATTGAGGCCGGCACATGAACATTGAGCGCATCCCGTTTTCGCTGCGCAACACGCTTCTCAGTGTACTTAAAACGCTATCACTCAAGTCGGTGCAGAAGGGCCTGTCTGTCAACTTCCAGTGCGACACGGGCATACCTGATAACATGGTTGGCGACCCGAACCGGATCCAGCAGGTATTGACTAACTTGGTTGGCAACTCGGTAAAGTTCACCAGTGACGGTGAGATATCGGTCAACTGTTTCGTGCACGAGTGTGTGGCTGAAACCAACGGGGACAACGCGATTCTGGAGATTTCGGTGCGTGATACGGGCATCGGCATTGCCAAGGATAAGCTGTCTGTGATCTTTGACTCGTTTACGCAGGCTGATGGCTCGACAACACGCAAATACGGCGGTACAGGTCTGGGACTGAGCATCTCCAAACGGTTGTGCCAGCTGCATGGCGGTGACATCCGCGTTGAGAGCGTTTACGGTGAGGGCTCCAACTTTATATTCACGGTCAAGGTTGGGATATTCGAGCCCAATTTTGCCAACTGCGAGAAGCGCATACTGCCCTACCGCAACCGCAATATGCTGATCATCTACGACGCGTGCCAGAAGCCAGTGGAAAGTGATGATTACCGTCTGCGTGACATGCTCAAGGCTTTCCACCTGAGTACAACTGTGGTCGAGAGCACTGAGAGCGCCCGCCACCTGTTCTTGCGCGGCTCACCGGGCCAGCGGCAGTTCGATACGTTTATTGTCGACAGCTTGGATACAGCCGAGGAACTGCGCACGTCGGGGCTATCTAACCTCAGCGTCATGCCTATTGTCTATCTTGTTGAGCCAGGCGTTTGCAACATTAATGTCAACCGCGTCATCGAGCACAGCATTACCTCCTATCTCGACATGCCGCTCGACTTTGGCAAGCTGGCCAGCGCCATCGTGCCAGCGCTCACATTGCACTCGTATGTTCCGGATCTCAAGAAGCACCGCAAGCGCCCACTGCATATCCTTTGGCGGAGGATAAGTCGTAAACCAGAAGCTGGCGCTACGGCTACTTCGCAAGTGCAACCACAAGATTGACGTTGTGTCGAACGGCCAGCTGGCGGTAGAGGCCGTCATGGAGCAATGGAGGCGTAACCTCAAGATCTATGGCAGTCACATCAGGTCGACGGATACGCAGCTGGTAGTTGTGCAACCGGCGGCTTTGCAGTCGACAGGCATCCATCGCAGTCAACAATCTCACGGTCGGTGGCCTCGCAGTCTGGAAGTGACAACGAGCGTCTGCTCGAAGGCATACAGACTCGCTCGCCCTTTGCGATGGGTCCCGACGACCCGTCACCTGCCGATGAGCGCCAGAATACATCAGCACAGACAATGTCGATAGTGAAGACTCTGCGTCCGAGTCACAACGGCCGTGGTCGCCGCCGGCAGAGTCGGAATCCGAGAATGGGCATCCCCAGTATGCTGAAGGCACGATCTTTGCTGACAGCATCTACCCGCCCGCGGTCAAGGCACCTGATGACCTGCCGCTGATGGCGGATGAGATCATTATCCCTGGAAGCAGCGAGGACCTTAGCGGACAAGGAGTCAGCAAACAGCCCGGAATTCCGGGCAGCGTGGGGGTGCTGCCATAAAGGCACGCAGCCCTAATGCTGGTATCTACACGCTCGAGGATGAGCTCAATAGTCGCAAGCCAGCGGGAGTTCGCGATCCAAACAACAAGTTTGCCTGTGTACCGATGCCTTTTGACATAATCCTGATGGATGTGCAGATGCCAGTCATGGGAGGCTTCGACAGCACCAAGTGCATCCGCAATTGGGAGGAGAGCGAAGGTGTCGACTTCCGCACCCTATAATTGCGCTGACGGCGCATGCCATGAATGGTGACCGTGACCGCTGTCTGTGGTCGGGCATGGATGAGTACGTCACCAAGCCTCTGCGCGTCGAATCGCTTCTATCTGCAATCGAGCGTTTCAACCCGCGCATGTTTAACGAAAACGGCGAGATCGTGCCCATTATTGACCCAGTGTCCAGCGACTCGAGCGACTCGAATGACGGTTCTCCCGGGGATAATCATGACGGAGACTACGGAGTTCATGACTATGAGTTTTCAGACGACGAGGGTGACAATGGTGGCAATGCTGATAATGGTGACGATGGTTTCAGCGACAGCTCGACTAGTGACGAAAGTCTGACTCGTGACACAGCAAGCCCGTTTGCGACCTCGGCAGCCATAGCATCTGCAGGTGAGGAGACGAGGAAGACCGGGCTCACCACCACCGTCACCATTCGGCCACGCCAAAGAACCGTTCCTCGAGGGTGCAGCCGCTATCCTCGCAAACAAAACTTGAAGATGGTGACATTGAGGACGGCGAAGACGAGGACAAAGACACATTGGCAGCGGCCGCCTCAAAGGGAGCAAAGGCAAGAGCAGCCGTGGGCGCTTTGACCCCAGCAGCAGCGATATTCACACCGCTGCCTTTACCCATGCCCGCGCTCTGGCAATGTCCAAGCCTCCTGCTCGTGATGGCTCCGAGGCTGAAGAAGACCCCTCGCTGCGAGCAATGCGGCAGATGCGTGCTGCACGAGAGCTGCGCAAGTGGGTGCGGCTATACAAGCGCGAGTATGGTGACGACCTGGACAAAATGCCGGGCATGTCTGACATCAAGGCCAAGCTCAAGGGCAAGGCCAAGAAGACGACAGATGGCGCCGATGGCGAAAACCGGCCCGCCAAGTCTCCAGTCATTTCACAGCCGTTGGGATCGGGGTCGAGCGAGGAGGGCGCAAGGGCAACATTTTGTCCAAATCGCGGTCAACTGCTGTTCTGGGAACACTCTCGCTTTCAGCAGCGCTCAAGCAGCCCAGGGCTCGGCTTTCAAGGCCAGCGCCAGAGTGCTGACTGATCGCGACTACTGCAATATGCAGACTGACAACGACGGTGATGACGACCACAAAGGCGGCAGCGGCGACAGTGGCACTATTGCCGACCTGCCGTCGAGCAAGGGCATGACGGCGCAGGGCAAATCGTCTCACAGCCCTACTCTGCAGGATCTGTTTCTGCGTCTGCTCGCGCGCGCCACGACCGCAAGCTGGCCCACGCTGACTTGCGCGCGTTCTCCGAGCCACCATCCCTATTCAACGAAGCTCCCAACCGCCCGTTGCTCCAGAACCAGCAGCCTCGTGCGCCGTCTACATTCACTCGCCGCAGCGCGTCTGCCGGTCCCAACTCCGAGGCGGTAGACATAAGCAAGGCCAAAACCAAGCGCAGCGGCATGCGCCGCGATACGCCGACATGGCATCTTCGACGTACCGCGATGGCATCTATGCGGGCGGCTACAACAAGGGGGCCCAGAAGTACGACTCGCGTAATTATCTGGACATGCCACGCCACAGCGTCATAGATCCATCGATGCTGAGCTTTGATCTCCCGGGAACCACTTCTCAAGGGGGTAGCTACAGCGGTACGGCCCATGCTCAATCAGAGGACATGGGTGGGAGAACCATGGGCAGCCCAGCCTCTTCCTTCAGCAAGACATCCGCCACTGGGCCCAATTTTGCTGCCGACGCTGCCAGCTCTGGTGTGAGTGCTGGCTGGTCGGTAGCCAAGCCAATCGGCAACAGATTCCTGCCCTTGTCGCTGTCCGCCCCCGATTTAGAAGACTCTCTTGATTTAAGGAGCCAGGGAACATCGAACATCTCAACGTTCTCCACTAGCAGGCAAGTAGATTCTGACATGCCGAGCCGCAACTATGCGCGCCTTAGATCCGCATCCGATATCAATGTCACTGTGGACACCGCTGCTTATAGGGACAATAATGCTGCGCGAGTCTTCATGACCACAGGCATGCTTTCGGACATTGACGATGTGCCGACGGAACCAGCTGACACGCGTGGGCGTGGCACGTCCTTGCAGAGCTCCTCCAGCGCTGCTGACAAGGCGCCAGCCAACGATATCCCGGCGTCTACCACTTCGGCAAAACCAACGGTCAAGCTATCGCGCAACGTAAGGGACCGCCTGATGAAAGCCCGTATGAAGCAGAAGCAGAAGACTGAAGAGGCTGCAACTGGTGCTGCGCCTACTGAGGACACGACAGACGCTTGATCTGGGCTTTCATTTTTCATTACTTCATATATTTCAATATTCAATTTATTCATTTAGTTGTTTGTTTTTAATCATATGTAGATAATACTGTTGAATGCCAAAAAATTGTTTTTTCTATAGAGGAACGACAATATATAAGATATAATAGAAATATGTGAACTAAATTTAAATTTAGGACCGGCGCTGAATCATCGCCTGCACTGTGTGGTTGATGAACTCACGGCGCACCGACATGTCTATGCCAAATATGCGCGACAGCTCGTCGCGCACCTCCTTCATTGACACGCTTGCCAGGTCCGACGAGTCGAGGATGCCCGATATGGCTGCAGCGATAGACTCGTCCGCGGGCATCTGGCTGACAGCTGGAACCTGCATCAGGTTGTATATCGACGTGGCTACCGGCTGCGGCGGTTGAGGTGGTGGCGCGAGCCCGTTGGCCATGCTGCCGAAATAGAGGCTGTATGCAGCCGGGCTATACGGCTGCTGCTGCTGCATGCCGAATGCCAGTGAATCCGGCATACCAGTCGAGTACATTGACATGCGCTGCTGCGGCTGCTGGGATGCTGTCCCGTCGAGGCCCGGGATTTGGGTGAAGCGGCTGACTGGGCGCACTCCGGCATTGCCAAACTCGTCAATAGCCTGTGCAACCGCCTCCATCTCCTGGATCTGCTGCTGGCGCTTGAATATCTCGCCCTCATACTCGCCCCAGGTGCGCATGGGGATCTCATCAGGATCAAACGGCTCTTCATCTTTGACAAATATCTGCCGCTTGCCGTCCTCGCCAACGACAATGCGCGTGTTACCCCACGAGAAGTCGTCCATGTGCCAGAACGCGTAGATCGGAATGAAGAACGACCACAGCGGGTACGCAAGCAAATAGATGATCATCCATCCGACATGCTGCCACTGTCGCTTGATCACAAAAATAACCGCCTGTAGACCGTAGATAGCGCCAATGAGGATCAGCGAGATGTATCCGATGTCGGCAATCTTGGATATGCCAGGTAAGCCAGGTAGGCCAAGTAGAACAATGTGCACGGCATTGTCAGCGTACCAAACAGATCGATGAACACAACAAAGCGCATTGAGAAGCAGCAAAACCCGCACATCTCGGGCAGGAATACCAACTCCACCAGGTTGTGCACTGTCGAGTTAATCCAGCGGCGGCGCTGCGACAGCAGCACTGACCATGTGTCTGGCGCCGTAGTGCGGCATTTGGCGTCGGCTGTAAATGTCATCTTGTACTGCGAAAAGTACTTCATCATCAGCGTGGTCAAGTAGCGGTCCTCGCCGAGCGACAAAAGATTCTTCTTGTGCAGGGTGTCGACGTGGTTTTCGGAGTAGTCGTTGACGACGTTCTTTGAATGATCAACGGCATTCCGCGCGCCGTTCGCAGGCGGTACATACAGAAGCAGCCCGGCAGGCAAGTAACGGACCCAAACAGCGACTCAAATGCCTTGGCCATGTGGTGGGAGATAAAGTACTCGTACACCTGGATCATTGTCGTCCACGAAAAGTCCTCGTTTGTCAGCTGGGTCTCGCCACAAATGCCAATCACCTTGGCGTCGTGAACCATGCAGGCAACCAGGCGTGTCAGCGAGTCGGGCATCACCTCTGTGTCAGCGTCGACCATGAGCAGGTACTCATAGAGCGATGGATGCACTCCAATGACGTTCTTCATCTGGTGGTAGATTTCAAGGTCCAGTGGCGACATCGGCGCCTCAAAGTGCACGCGGTTGAGGAAGTGCACAGCAGCATCTGCGAGTCGCGCTTACCACGATTTCCAGGGCGCGACTTTTCGGTTGGCTTGCCGATCTTGGCCACAACGAGGTATGGCACAACATGGCCCTCGTACTCATACAAGCCCGAGTACACCTTGGCCATATTGTGCTGCTGTCCGCCCTCACCGATAGAGCGGAAAGAGCGTGGGGGCGGGTCGAGCTTGGGGTCGACGCCCAGGATGTCTAGCACAATGCGTGGCGTTGGGCGATCGTTTCCAGACCAACAATGTTGCCGTCGCAAATAATAAATAGCAGGCGGTGCTTGTCGTCGTATCCGAGCGTCGCCAACGAGTCTATAGTTAGGCGCAGGGACGACTCGCCCTCAGTGTAGCAGGGCACTTGACAGATAACAAACTTGTCGTGCTTCTGCGGCTTGCGGCGCGAGGACAGCTGCAGCGATGCCAGAAACTTGATCAAGATGACCAGCATGAGCAGACACGCGGCCGCCAAAAGCAAAAAGTTGGGGAACAGGCAGCGGAAGCTGTGACGCGTGTCGACCTTGCCGACGTAGAACAGAGTCTTGAGACACCGATAGTTTGCCAAGCGCATAGGCTTGCTCAGTGGCAGCATGCGCCAGTACTTTGTAATGTCTGTGTCGCGCGCGCCAGCGTCCTCAAAGATGGACTCAACAGCCGGTGCAAGAAGCGCCATTTTTTCTGGTCGATGTTCTCGGGCGCATCGCGTGTGGCAAAATATGAGTTGAGGTTAAACACCTCGCCGTTGATGACGCGCCAGTATTGGCCGCTGCGATGGTGCATGCTGTGGATAAACTTTGGATCCCACACAATGTCGCCAACCTTGAAGGCGCGCATTTTGGGCACAACACTGCGCTTGTAAAAGTCCTGCCGCATCAGCGACTTGGAGTTGGCCAGCGACCCAGCGCGGTGCACAAAGGGCGACGCTATCTCAGTCTCAATGTCCGCCTTAGATACATCAGCCAGTTTGGATCGTCCCGCGCGGGCACCAGCTCGGGACAGGCAGCGCGTAGTGCCAGCGGAAATGACGCGTTGATCTCCTGGCCGGAGTACATGATCATATCCTCGGGACTCGCGCCGCCACGGCTCTTGCCATGCTCCTGGTTGATAAAGTTGGTAATATCGTAGACGCGGCCGCGCAGCGCAACGTAGGCGTCGCTTCGCTCCGTGTGGTCGGCAACCTCGTCCATGTTGTACACAAACTGCTTTGGGCACATAAGCAGGCCTAGGCCAATGATGAAAAACAGTACAAAGCCCCAGGTCATGATGATAATCAGACAAATAGCAACCTTCTCGCGCCAGGCCATGCGAATGTCCTCACGCTTCATGCCACAACACCGGATAATCCAGTCAGGGATCAGCCAGGTAGCACGTTAGTTGTCCGCGACCAGCAGCGGCGCGCCTGCGTTGTCTCAACCTCCTCGACCAGGCCCTCGCGCGCGGCGGCAGCGGCTGTCACCTGCTGGCGGTGGCCGTAGTCACCGTCAAAGTTACCGTGCGCCCAGTTGTGCTGATGCTTTTCGTTACCGTTGGCGGAGCCCGTGGACATGGCGTCGCTCCGTAACCGTGACCACCACGAGAATGGAAGTTGTGTCTCCCTCGCCACGACCGCCATTGATGTAGTCCTCGTCATGGCTCTCGCTGTCCGAGAAAAAGCCATCAACCTCGGGGTCAAAGCCAGCCGACTCGTCGGCCTCGCTGCCGTAGGCAGTGCTGGCAGCGTCGTCATCAAAGTTGAACATTGCCTGGGGATGTACGAGCTCACCGTTGTTGTCGATCTGTGCCAGCGCATCGAGCATGCCTGGCCCGTGATTGCCGCCGCGCCGCCGCACCAGCGCTCGCTGTTCTCATGCACGCGAAGCGGCAACTCGACGCTGCGCCACACGCGCTCGGTCATAAATACGTGGCGATGGCCAGTGACGTAGTGCTGACCGACAATCCACTGCTGCGCCTGGGCGGCCTGGTCAACGAGCAGCGACGGGGTTGCGTCAGTGTCGGTGCTAATTACTGGCGAGTAACGGCGCAAAAAAGTGCTAAAAGGCATGGCAACAGTAAACTCGGTCGGCGTGCGCCTCTGCGCCATGTCGGCCAGACCCAGAGCGTGCACCTGCTGGCGCACAAACTCGCGGTCCAGGTTGCCAAAGGGCGCAACAACGCCAGCTGAAGGCTGCAATGGGTGGTTGGCTCTCACATGCAGCACATGCCACACCTTGCAATAGTCGGCAGCCGCAAACACGTCGTCAAGCGCGCTGCTGACTTCGCCGATAAACGTGTTGGCCGGTTCGGCCGAGTCGACAGCCGGCAGCTCGCCGGCCAGCATCATTTGCTGGCGACTGGCAGCAAGGTCTGCTGGAGCAGTCGGATCGGCCTGCGGCTGCGCACAGTGGGGCGCGACGATGGGCGCGTCGACAAGAACGTGCCGACAATTGTTGATTCCTCGTCGGGATGGTAGTCCAGCGCAATCTGGTCGATGGCAAACAGGCGGCGCACAAAGCTGCTGCGGCTGGCATCGTGGAACAAGGCGTAAAAGTCTGGGCTGACCTCGAGATCCATGTTGCGCTGGCAAAAGCCATCGACGCTATACATTACAGAGGCTGGCGCCAGCCAGTGCCGCACACCAAACTGAGGCAGCTGGCGGTCGCCCGCGTTGGGCGGCGCGCCGGGCACAAAGCTTGGATGCTGCCCGTGCGCGCGGTTTATTCTGTTGATCAGCGCCACGTCGTCGGCTGCCTTGACGGGATCGCCCGCCGCTGCGTGCGCCTCAATGGCGCCAATCAGGCCTCCGCGGCGCCCAGCGTAGTCGCCGACCAGCAGATGCATTGGCTGCAGACGTCCTGCCCATGCTGGCACGTGCGGCAGACCAACAGCGTCATCGTGCATCAGACGCGCAACGCCGGAATCGGTACCGAGCACCTCGCGCAAGACGTAGCCGCCCAGGCGCTCGTTGGCCATGTTGACTGCAAACTGCTCGAACGACGCGGCAGCTGCGGCAGAGGCTGGCAGCGAGAAGCCGTACATCTGCAGCACTGCAACGTGGTTGACCGCCTCTGCGTCACCAATGTTGCGGTTAAGCTGCTCGATCAGCCAGTAGTACAGCAAGTGGTACAGTGCGCGGCCAGTGCGTCACGCTGCGCGTGTGCGCCGTGGCCGTTGAGAAAGACCGTGCATAGGTCCCCACCGACTAGCGCCGTCTTGTACGTCAGTGCCGCGCAAAGCGCTGTCTCTGACACGCCCAGGAGCTGCGCGCATAGGGCCGCTGCCTCGGGGTTGCGAACAACAGCGGCCTCGTCTCTGCGGTCGGGCGCGTCGGCAAACTGCACGTTGCCCAGATGCAGCACAGCCGCCAAAACCTGCAGCATCGCCTGCTGCTGGCGTGCGCCAATCCCGCACACCTTGAGCGACGTGCGCAGCTGGTCCATCATCTGCGCACAGTGGCCTGGGGATGCCGCCGCCGGCGCGCCCTGCGCTTTCTCGTGAGCAAGGTACGCAAATGCGGCCTCGTCGCCGTGACGCAGCTGCCATTGCGCGCGCTCGGCCGAAGTCGACCCATGGAGCAAGTACGTAAACACGTTAAAGTTGCCCTCACCGACGGGCCGGCTCGTCACTCGCCAGCGGTCCAACCCAAAGGCCACCAGCTTGGCGCCTGAAATGCGGCCACGCTCATTAAACTGCACCTCTTGCCACAGGCCCACGCGCGTCGCACCCAGGCTTTCATGCGTTGCTGCGCTGGAGAACCCCTCGACGACCGCGCCTACGTAGGCCATCTGGTACTGCGCACGCGTGCTGTGTCGCCCTGAGTTTGACGCCAGCACGCCCAGCTGGTCAAAGATCAGCTTTGCGGTTCCGACTTGCCGCTTCCACTGACTCCGCTCAGCACAACGACCTGATCTTGTCGCAGCCGCCGCATGTGCGCGTAGGCGTCGGCTACCAGCTCAAAGACATGAGGGTCCAGAGAGTCGCGTGCAGTCGGGTCCTCTACATCGTGGTAGCAGGCGTCGCTGTAGACCACGCTTGCTTCTTCGGAGAACAAGTTGCTTGACATTGCTGCCTCAGAATGGCATGCAACCAGGATCGACGTGTTTATGCGCAAGTACGGCACCCCGCGCATAAAGGCGTCGGTCGCTGCCTGGCACACCTGGTCGACCGTCGTTCCCGCAGTGACTGAGCCAGAACCATGGCCGCTGTGACCACTCTCGCCGCCATCAGGCCTGAAGCCGGCATAGCTGCTTTGCCCGGCATCTGCCATGCTGCGACGCGACCCATAGTGCGGCGCGCTTATGCCCATAGCCTGAGATGCAGCTGCTGCCGGTCATTCGTGCTCGCGTTCGCGGTCTTACCCTTTTCCTTCTTGGACTTGCGAAACAACCCCATCACAAGAAAGTAAAGCAAAAAAATAAAATATTAATAAATGAAAAATAAACAAACAGTAGTGCACCTTGCTTTTAGAGTCGCTGGCTATATAACTCCAATTAGTATAATACAGGTGTGTATGTGTGTGTGCGAGGAATAATGCAAATAAATGCAAAGTGTCGTATCGTATTTTATTGTATTGTGAGACGAGCTGGCTATGACAAAAGAGAAGAGAGATGTCAATTTTGCATTGCGTGTACGAGCAGGTTCAGTTGTTTTCTTGCTTTCGATGGCTGTGACATTTAGTACTTCCATGATATTATTTCAGATTTGCATTACCTACTAACTTCGTGAATATATACGCATGCTGTTGTATAACCCCCACGGTTACTCTGAAACGAAACACTATTATTGTATTATTTTGTAACACATGCTCATGTGCTCTAGAGCACAAGTGCACGCGGAGACAAGTAGGTAAATGTCAAATCCTCTCAACAATAAAGATCACATATCCTTTTTCTGCCTCCGCAAAACTACCTTGTCATATTTAAAATGGCTTTTTGACCAATAATACGGCCATTTGCGCTGCCCAGAGTCTTGCTCACGTTGTGTGTGGGGGAAGGCGGGGTAGAGGGGCAGTGGGATATGAAATATGAAATATGAACGTGGAGCCGATGATGATAAATATGCTGATGATGAAGTTAGGGTGGCCATATAATATTTATTTACCCGCGGTATACTATTTACAATCAAATATACTTGTGAAGCGGTAATCAAATGATTGAGCGATGATAAATTGATTTCGGTAAATAAAAATACCTATTCATAATGCAATATAAAATCTAAAGATAGAAACTATGCTTACAACCAGAACGCACTGTTGTGCAGCCCGAGGACATGGAAGTGGATGTTGAGGTTGAGAATCGTGAAACAGATTCCCGCCTGCATGCTAATAGGTTGAATATAGACTAGATCATAGGGGATCGAATCAGGCGCCATTATTGAAATCCAGACACGTTTCCGTCTTGAAATATATGTGCATGAGCGTACACCAGCGAAGACCACAACAATGACATAGCAGAGTCCTGGGCTACTTTCATAGGAACCAGTTCTTCCAACGGAGGGCACAACTAGTGGAGTGCACAACGAAGGCAACGAGACTCATATATAAGACGAGGCCGGCGCTGGTAGCACTTTAGAAACAAACACTAGTATTAAACCCAATTATAAAACCATCCCTACTTTCCAACACTACTACAATAGTACTCACACACCTCCCCCTCTCACCACAATAGCACTAATAGGATAGCGTTTGAAAATTAAAATGTTGGCGCCCAACGCGCTCGCATTTGCTTTGCAACTGCAACTTCGTAAATTGTAAAAAAAAGCTTCAATTTTATTATAATTTTGGCTTGCAAATTAAGTAAACGTGGGTGAATATGGCCAGTAAAGATTTTTTTTTTTTGCCAATGTTCAATTTTGCAAAGGCAGATTTTATTTTTTCCATTTTATAAAGTATTTAAATATCTTAATTTTATAAAGGGAATATCCCTTGAGATATATAAAGAAACAAAAGCAAGAGGAAAAAGTCGTTTCACGCAAGAAAATTTCATTATACAAAGCGCCTTTTAGTAAAAATAAAAATAAAAACGTTTTCCATTAGCACACTTACACTTTTGCAGCTTATTTTTGAGAGAGAAAGAACTTTTTTCGCTACTATTTCGTTTTATTTTACTTTATCATTTCATTTTCTTCACAACATTTTTATTATTTATTATTTAGCTTACTATTATTTTTCTCATACCTTATTTGACCATAACGCCTTTTATATAGAGATGCGTGCCGTTTATCTTGTGCACGCTTTATCATACTGCTTGTGCGCGCTTGCTACAGTGGCAGCACAGGACGATGTGCTGTCTCTGGCTGAAAAATCTTCGGCAAAAGGCAGCTCAGACAACAGCAAAAGCAGCGACACGTCTGCTATAAGCAAAACAACCAAAATTATTGACTCCCAGTACGATGGAGTGTTACTAGTCGGTTCAAAGCAAACATCCTGCAGTGTGGCCATGCAAACCGGAGTTTATGGATTTGTGGCCGCCAACTGCATAGTCGACAGCAGTACCAACAAAACTATGGACGCATCTAGCTTGGGTATAGCCCTCCACGGCCCTGATACGTCCGTCCTTCTAAACATCTCTGGGGTTACGGTGCACCCTAACTTTGACGCTCAGACGCTGGCCAACAACGTTGCTGTGGTTCAGTATGAAAGCCCCATTGTCACTATAATACACTCTACAAGCAATAGCGAAGCAAATAACATATCCGGATACAGCATTAATGGAACGACGAGCTCGGAATCCCTTGGGTTTATGCGCCGCTCGCTGTCCAGCGTGGAAAGTCTTACGTGGAACCCACTCCATATGGCCAAAAAGTCAACTTCCAATATTCCAGAGGCAATTTGCACGACGGGCTCGGCCATCTACGCCGCAAATGCCGATGCCATGATTTGCAGCAACTCAACTGTGCCAGCATTAGCATCAGACAACCCAGAGTGCTCAATTCCGCTGGGTATGGCATACAGAATAGTAAAGTCCAAGAGCGCCGCTCCCGCTGCAATTTACAGCCACACTGCAGTATTTGGCGGCGACCTGTGCAGCTACAATGAAAAGGCGCATTACTACACGCGGCTCAGCAATTATCTTGACTGGGCTGCTAGCGTTTCTGGAAGCCAACCTGCAGCTGCAGCATCAGGCGCGGTAAAGAATGTAATAACAGCCGATAGTACGAGCTTTGTCATGGTTCCGGCAGACCCCGATGCTCTGAAAATCAACGTTTACGGCGGCAATCTGTACTCGTATATAAATGCACCCGCTGCAGACAGCAATGGAGCAGCTGGCTCGGTGAGTCCAACCAAGACTGTGACTGTGCATACTACATCAACCATTTACATCGTCGGGAATCCACCTGCATCGACTGGTGGGGTGCCGACAACAGAGTCTTCTGCATCTCCATCCGCTGTTGGCTCGACTATTCTCCCAACTTCCGCTTCTTCTACTATTGATCCTATTGATTCTACTACAACGCCGCCTGTTTTTGCCAGCTCTTCTGGCGAGACATCAGACACAATTTCTGGCTCTGGTGATTCAAGTGAAGATAGTAGCTCAACAGAAACTGGCGGCCTTGACGGGCTAGACAACACCAACTCAACGACATCTCAATCTCAATCTCAATCCAAATCAGCTAGCACTTCTTTCATCTCGACGCTAAACACAAGCAGAAACAGCGACGATGACGAATTCGGTATGGGCGAACTTAGTGACGATGATTCCTCATCCAGCTCATCTCTCGATGATTCCGCTGCCAACAACGACCAGGCCACAGCTGGCTCAATGTCCATGGGCGCGAGGATTGGTATTATTGTTGCCGTTCTGCTTGGAATCGGTGCAGTGGGTGGTGCAATCTGGTATTATCGCAAGCGCAAAAATACAACGAGAAACTACATGAATTAGAAAGCGTTGTTTCTATTAATTTAATATTGGACAATCTATTCAGCCAGAAAGCTTGTATATATTATTTCATTTACAAAGTTTATAAAATATGGAATATAGAATATAGGATATAAAATGCCCTATAACGAAAGGATGTTTTGCGGGTTATTGAGACACATCCCAATACCATTATTTTAGTGAAACGCAGGGGTATGCTATGTTTATAAGGTTCATTGTTTCGTCGAAACGTCATTGTCCCTAAATTTTGTTTGTGAATGAGTACTAGCAACAAGCAAAAATAAATTATGCGTTGCCAGCGCATACAACGTTCAGCATTTATTGTGTTCAAAAGCGCGTTTATTGTCTTGTAGTGCTGGCAATAAAACGAGGGTGTAAATTAAGTTTTGTATTCATACTCTTCATATGCTCATCCAATTCCTTTTCCATTTTAAAATAGCATTTTACACCTTTTTTGTCGCTTTTTACAATACTTTTACCAATTACCAATGATGAAGATCAGCTTTGTTTCCATGGTACTGATTGGTGCCGTCTTGTCAGCAGTGTCATTGGCTGATAATGTCTCCACGCCAGCTGTTCGACAATCACGCTTGCCCAGCTCAACCAGGCCATCCCGGCAAGAGCATCCGATACGTCGTGCACTGCGGTCAACACACCCAGCGAGTGCGCGCCCAACTCGCGCGCAGCCACAGCTATCAACAAGGCAATTGCCAAGTACGGAGTGACCGGGCGCGGCGAAATCATCGCAATCATCTCGCTGATGGCATTCGAGTCGGCTGACTGGCAGTACAACATCAACCATTTCCCAGGGCGCGCAGGTCAAGGGACACGCGCTATGCTGATGTACAACTGGATTGAGCAGTACGCCAAGCAGATCCATGCACAGGACGCATCCAAGTTACTTGCCACTGCTGGGGCCGGCAATACAGAGGCAATGAACAAAGTGCGCAAGCTGGTGCTGGGAGACGACGACAGCTTTGGCGCGGCGTTCTGGTATCTTGTGACTGCAGCGCCCGCGTACCACAACAGCCCGAGCAAGCTGCGCGAAGGCAATGTTGAGGACTTTAAGGACTATGTCGTTAATGGCGTGGGCGCCGGCTGGGAGAACGAACGCCAGAGCGTCTGGGCAAGGGTCAATAATGCACTGAGCGCATAGGCTCTCTGCAGTACATTTCTGCTGGATGGGATATGCGGAATTTCAAGCCGGATGCATTTTTGTTCCGTTTGATGTGGTTTCCAGGATTGTAATTATTTTTAGGAAGTGGTGACGTTTCACAATAATAGCGCTAGTCGGTGTCCGCTTTCCTCTCTTTCACTTCTTCCTTGTGCCAGTGCAATTTAATTAAAATGCGTTGTCTTTGGACTTTGTGTATGCATTTTGTGTGCTTGTTTCCCGTTGTGACAAAAACTCAGACATCCTTTTTTGCAGCCTGTGCATGCGGCAGGCAGAAAGAAAATGATTCAAAGTGGATTCTGGGCAGCCTGTCGCACAAAGAGCAAAAGCGAGATTGTCAGGGAAATAAATGTAAATCAACGCGCACAGCCTGGGTGAGGTGTGACATGTGGTTGTCGTCTTTGGCCATTCGATAGAATAGGATATCAAAGAACAGCGCAATGGAAGCCCTGCGCGACCATGCAGCCTGGCAGCACTATTGTGTCGCGCGCTGGCCAGACCAAATTGCCAAGCACCTAGAAAGAAAAGTGTTATTTAGTTTTCCTTTCAAAGGAAATCAGGTTTGAAGCATGCCAAGCCAACCCCGTTCCTGCGCAGCTACACAGCCAGTCCAATCAATTTAGGCGGGATGCGAATCTGGTGCATGTAACAATATATAATAGAAAAAACATGGGTGTCTTGCGTTGCATTGCTTTGGTATGACAGGGTATATTAATCGTCGTGTTTTCCGTTGTGACCAAACATTACTTTAAAATTACCTTCACTTTCATCTTTAACCTCATTCCCATCCTCATACTTATCTTTATAATTTAAAAAGACGACTGGTTCGCATTTTTAATTCCTTTTACGCACTCGCATCCGTCACCCCCCCCTCCCTCATCATCACTGCAACATCTTTTCGCATTCCACCACCAATTTTTTTACTTTATTTTAGAACCAGCTTTCTACTAAACCTTCCAATCACCCTCCTGCTTTTATTTTATTTTAATAATTTGATACATTATAAACAATGAAATTTGCCCTTATCTTCGCCTCCTTCAGCGCTTTCGTTTGCGCCGTGCTCGCCAACAAGTGTGGACAAGCACCGGTCCAGCCCGTGTACTCGACGACCCCTGTCTACCAGGCAACCAGCTCGGCCCCTGCTCCAACAGATACCTATGTGGCCGGGTACACGACTTCGACGGAGCAAGTCACTTCGAGCGCAGTGGCCACCTCTTCTACCGCCTACACCACGGCCCCTACGATTCCCTCTGAGCCTGTCGAGTCGGTTAAGTCCGACTTTGCTGGTACTTCCAACGCCTACTACACAGCCCAGCCCATGCCCTCTGAGTTTGTCGAGATAGAAATGTCCAAAATCGCTGATACCTCTAACGCTTACTACACAGCCCTGCCCATGCCATCTGAGTTCATTGAGCTGGAAAAGACCAAACTCGCGAACTTGGCTTAAAGCCAGTATAGACCCTAGTCTAAAAGCTCCCAGTGGGGTTCATCATCAATTAAAAAGCACGGAACGCTGAGTTTTGGAATGGCTGAACAATCTTTTTTGTTTATATGTTTTTGTCATTTAAGCCCTTAATAAAATAAAACTGATGTCTAATTTGCAATCATATACAAATAAACATACGTACATATTTACATACGTTCAATGATTATTATTCTGAAAAGTGGTATTGCGATGAGCTCTGTTTTTTATTTCTCTTAACAACCTCATGGTGGTTGAAGACAATAGAATGTACTATTCAATATACCCAGAATAACCCTCAAATTTTTAAATGCGAAAAACCCCTGCTTGCCAGCTCTTGGGATATCAGCGCATTTCCTTGATCTAATTAATTACCAATCAACTTGTCATTTTTTCTTTTTTTGATCCTATGTTATCAGGCGTTGCCTTTTTTGAGCATAAATTCCTCAATTTTTTCTTAGCGTACAGTGGGTTCCGCTTCACTGCGATCAGTTCTTATTTATTATTTTTCGTTTGCTTGGCTTTGAATTCTCAGTCTTTTCGTTGTCTTGAAATTTTAGTTAACCTTTTTATTTCAATTATTTGCTCATTTTGAATCGAGGCTCCTTTTTTTCTTTCTTTTCTTCTATCCTCTTTTTCTCAGTTTCTGCGCTCCGCCTGCCTAATTCATTTTTTTTAGTTTTTGAATCGGCAAAGAAAAAAATTATTTCTGGCGCTCTTGTTCTTATCTTTTCATATATAAATATCTGTGTATACTTTCAATTTTTTAACAGACAAAGAAAAGAGAATGCTGTTTTCAATTACACGCACGACATCACGGCTGGCGTCGACAAGCGCAGCGAGAATTTCGGTGCGGCGGGCAGCGCTGAGCACGTTCACATCGCGCAAGGCAGGCAAGCCGGCAGCAGCGACAGCGGAGGACACCAACGGTGCAGCAACCTATGCGGCATTGGAGGCTCGGCTGAACCTGCAGTTCAAGGACCGCAATCTGATGGACTTGTGTGCACGCACACGTCGCACGAGCAAGGACGGGAGGGCAGCAATGAGCGGCTGCAGTGGCTGGGCAAGCGCGTTCTGAACCTTGTTGTGGGCGAGTACCTGTACGCCAAGTACCCCAACCTGCCGGCGGAGGCGCTCCAGGATGTGCAGCATGGCAGCTTTGGCATGGCCAGCTTGGCCGAGGTCGGCAGCACTTTGGTATGCAGCCGGCACTGCGGTGGACGAGCGTCACCGCGGATCAGTCTGTGGGGTCACCAAGGTGCTGGGCAAGGCTGTGCAGGCTTTGGTGGGCGCCGTCTACGCTGACCAGGGCGCGGCTGCTGCGCGGCAGTTTGTCAAGCAGCACGTGCTGAGCCGGCCCATTGACGTTGAGCAAGCGCTGGCGATCAAGAACCCCAAGCTGATGCTCGTTGCGCTGACTAAGCGCAAGAACCTGGAGTACCCGGTTGCCCGCATTATGAAGGAGACCGGCCGTTTTACGGCGTCGCCTGTCTTTATTGTTGGTGTCTTCTGCGGGGTGCGCATGATTGGGATGGGCTTTGGTAGCTCTATCAAGATGGCTGAGCATAGGGCCGCTAAGGACGCACTGATCAAGCACTACGCTAAGGAGATCAAGGACATTAAGGTTAACGAGGCCGGCGACGAGCACAGCCTGTCCTTCTTCGCGGAGGGCACTGAGGCATCGGCGTAACGGAATGGGGGGAAAGGAAACCCCACTTGCTTTGCCATTTTCTATAGCAACAGCAGCAGTGTTGGTGGCGGGGGGGGGGAGTGCCTGGCTTTGGCCTTTTTCAAAAAAATCAAAATACAAACGAGAAACTTGAATACAAATCTTGAATATACAAGCGAAATTTTGGCAGGGAAGAAATTAGGTCGTGTGTGGGGGATGGTTGGCTGTGAACAATCAGGCGTCAAAAGTGCCACGTATGAAAGTGCCAATACATTTTTTATTTTTATTTTAGCTCTTGAACTTTTGCATTTCGACATTTGTACTCCTTTTTATTCCTTTTTATTTGTTTCTTTGAGCATTTAAGCGCAGATTTTTCAAACGCTGTAATCTGGCTTGCTTTTCACACACACCTTTACAACCATGGGTAAGCAGACACATGCACATGCAGTCAGTCAGCCAGTCAGCCAGTCAGTCGGTCAGTCAGTCGTCAGAGCTGAATTTCAAGGCTGCTAGGCATCGGCGCACAAATCCAGATGAAGCCGCGCACACGCACACGCATGCATTTACGTGCCCCGGCAGACTAACACTTTAGGACACATTTGACACATTAATTCCACTCGCTTGGTAGGCAACTGGTTCAGCACGTTATTCAATAAACTCACTGGCGGCGAGAGGGAGGTACGTATTCTAATTCTGGGTCTGGACGGGGCCGGAAAAACCACAATCCTATACCGGCTGCAAATTGGCGAAGTAGTATCGACAATCCCAACAATTGGGTTCAATGTGGAAACAGTGACGTACAAGAACATCAAGTTCCAAGTGTGGGATCTCGGCGGACAAACCAGTATCCGGCCATACTGGAGGTGCTACTACGCGAACACGGACGCAGTCATCTACGTAGTTGATAGCTGCGATAGGGACCGGATAGGCACATCGAGGGATGAGCTGGCGTCTATGCTGAGCGAGGACGAATTGAAACAGGCGGTGCTTCTGGTGTTTGCCAATAAGCAGACATGGATGGCGCATTGAGTGCTGCTGAGGTGTCGGATGCCCTGGACTTGCCCAAGCTGAAGAACAGGCAGTGGGGCATTTATAAGACCAGTGCGCTTAAGGGCGAGGGATTGGACGTTGGGCTGGACTGGCTGGTCAATGCCATTGACCGAAAGTAAATCTTAATTTTTGTCTTTAGAATCCGCCTTTTTACTATTGCACGCACGAGAGCCAGAGAGCACACTTCCATTTCAATAATTATCAGTGACTGGTTTTTCCTTTATTTTCCTCCCTCCTTGCTTGAAAAGCAATCTTTTTTACAAGCGGGATTTGCAGGATCCGTAAGTGGTAGCATGAGGAAAGGTAGTCACGCATTGTGACTTTTATTTTTATTTTATTTTATTGCTCGGTGTGGCCATTCCATCCTCCGGCCTTGAATTGCTCCTGAAGGGATTGTCTGCGGAGGACGTGAGTGCGGGTGCTCGAGCCCAGTATGGTTGTGATTGTCGCAGCAAACAAAAGTGTAAAGCAAGAAGAAAAGGGGGACGCCCACTGAAGCAACAGGTGCCTTTGCTTCAATGGCACAGGTCATCTGCTGACCAGCCTTGCTCGCCTTGCCCATTAAGTGTGCCTAAGCGGGTCGGAGGGCAGGATTGTTTAAGCAGGATTGTTTAAACAGGGAATATTCAGGCACAAGGCGGGTCCGTCCCACTCCCCCCTTCCCTCATCTGTGCTCAGACATGCACATGTTTCCAAGTCTTTCTTGTTTGCTTCTTTCTTTTTGAAATAAAATAAAGCCTCTGCCACCTTTATTGTCGCTCAAGTTATCCGCTTTTTATTTTATTTTTATTTCCAACGCATCAATAGCCACCCCCTCCACTATATTGGTATCCCCAAACAAACAAGCAGAAAAAGCATGTACAGCGGATATATTCCTACGCGTTTCGCGACCACCAGCATAGGGCCCGTCAGTCCGCCGAGCGGCGTCACGACGGCAGTCGAGCCAACACCCCGGTACAACTCGTTTTTTCAGCACAGCCAATTTATCGAAGCCAACAACGGAAGCAACAGGGCGGGCGTACTGGAGAGCGGCTACGACGCGCTAATGCGCACAATGAGCCAAGTGCTGACGCACGGGCCGCCGGTCGACAGAAGAAACGAGGCCCTGCGCATGGTCGACGATCTGTGCCGCGGCAGCCCAGCAAAGGACACCGAAAAGGGCATGGTTCTGGACGAGGAGAAGCTGCTAAGGCTTTACACGCGGTCCGAAACGCTGCTGCCCAATGGATTGCGCGCGCGCAATCTGCTTTGGCGCATGGACGGCCGCCGCCTGAAAAACCCAAAGGCAAGTGTAAACAATTAAAATAACAATTATACGTTAGTGTTTTGTATATATGTGGAGAGGGGTTTGTATTACAATTTGTGTCGCAATCCACTTATCCCCAAAGCTTTTCCTTTTTTCGTAGGCTGCCTCCATGTCAATCGCCACCGTCACAGCCGCAGCCGCAGCCAGAGCCAGCGCTGCTACGAATTGGGCAATTCCAAGCGGGAAAGCTGCGGCGGCAACATCCTTGACCGACATTCAAATGGCAGCGGTACTCAGCGGGCCGCTGACAGAGTCGCCCAAGACCGCAGCGGTCCATGATTTCGACATAGCCTTTATGCCGGCCGATCATCTGGCAGGCTCCCAGCATCAAAATCAGCAGCAGAGTCTGGATATGCAGCGGCGGTCATCATCACACACTCTGCTTAATGGCTCAGACCAGACACTCGGCTTCCCAGAAATTACCAGGATGCAGATCCAGATGCAGCAGCCGCACAGCTACATGTCGGCGATTTCAAACCCAACTCAGGACAACGACTTGGATCTCGAATTAGCAAGGCCGCTGGAACTCTGGGACATCCCATCCATCGACATGTCTCTATTCTATCCGCCAAACCCAAACCCAAACCCAAACCCAAGCCAGCACCAGCACCAGCACACCAGCAGCACAGCAGCACCAGCAGCACCAGTCTGCCAACACAACCACTCAGTATCACAGCCTCAGCCTTCCATTCGCACCCACATCGGCGCCGCCAATTGGACAGACGCCGGCGATCGTCGATACACGGTTCATTGATGCGCGGTCATCCGCAAGCACACAGTCAAAGGCCCGCAGAAACTCAAGTTTGACGGAGATGCGGAAAATGCAGCAGGCGTCGATGATGGATTTAGACATTCTGCGATCGCCCACTTCGGTGCTACCGCATTGGCCCGCTGAGCAAAAATACAGCAGCAGCAGAACGCAGGATGCTCAGATGGGTCCGTCGTTATTGGATCTCGACAACGCTTTGGGAGAGTCTCGGGATGACAATACCGGTAAGTTTTTTTTGCTTTTTATTGGGTGTTTAGGTCGAGTTGGACTATTGATGTGGCGTGTGCACTTTTGTTTTATTCTGCGTTTGCGGTTCAACTCAGGCCTGGCCAAGTTTTTCAGCCTTTGCCACTTTTGTCAATGTTGCCAACCTTTGCGACTCGGCCCTTTTTTCAGCTGTTGCGGACTTGATGTCGATCTCTCTTTTTCCCTTTTTTTCCACAGCCATCTTGTCCGTCCGGCTGTCCATATTTTGTCCTATGCAAATAGTGCTCTGACAGGCATGTTCTTCCGGAACACCGGGTTCAACTGCGCTTTCCGCAGAAGCAAAACTACATATGCTGCCGTATTTTTCTATTCTTCCTCGCTTTGCCATGTCCAATATTTTGCGCTTTCCAAATTAAGTGGTCGAAATGAAAAATACACGCGGACGCCAAATCATTACCCAATTTGGGAAAAGTGTTTAATGAACTATGTAATCTTCACTCATCCAGTTGTTTTGTGTTAAAGTGCAGTTGTAATTGAATACGACCTTAGAGTCATACATTTCAATATTGCCATTATTGTCTTTCTTTACCATGTGTTTTCCCTGCGCCCGCAATTAAAGCAAGGTAGAGCAGTCACTATTTTTGCATTCTTTTGTCCGAAAGAAAATCTTCAACAAAAATTCCTGTTTTTATCTGCCTTGGCTTTTTTCTCAGATGCTCACCATAATCACAACAGCCATGTATCTGCCTGTGTGGACCAATCATAGGACCCACGTTGTCTGCTTTTCCCCCTTCTTTTCTCGTTGTGTGTAACACAATAAAAAATTGCACATGTCTTATTCGCTCACAATTGCGCTGGTGCCTGCAATTCCTTTCTTTTACTTGTGCTTGTCCCATGTGTCCACTGAATTGAATTGAGGCACAAGCTGCACTGTCAAATGTTCACGGCGTTTTCTCTCATTTTCTCCTCCGCCCTTTCCCCCTTCCAAATCTCCTGAGAGCAATGCTTTTTTACTTCAAGAGATTCAACAAGGCGCAAATATAAATTGTTTCCTTTTACGGTATCCGCAAAAAAAGAAGAAAAAAGGTGGATTGAATATGCGGAACTAGCGCTATAATTTGCTTTCACTGTTGCATCTTTTTTGTTGCATTTTGTGCCCCCCATCCAAAAATTTTTCTTATTCATTTTTTTCCACCCCGCCACAAAACAAGCCGAAGCTGAAATAATAACCAACTCGGCGTTAGACACCAAACAACAGCTTTTACTCTATAAACAAAGAGAAAAAATCGGTCACAGACCTACACAAAAAGTCACTCAAACACTGCCCTTGTCCGCCTTGACTATTTCTCTGCCTCTTTCCATTTTTCTTTTTCTCCTTTTGCTCCATTTGTTTTCTTCCATATATCGGGTTAATTCTGCTGCAAGTTTTTGTGGATAAATTTTATTCTCGAAAAAGCCACAAGTCTTTTTGCTTGCTTATATTTTAAACTCTATTTTTTTATCGCCTATACTTTTGATCCTTTAAATGGGGCCAAACATTATTGTTTTATAATAAGGAACTTGCCCGCTTTATCAAGTCTGGCCATTTTTATTTATTTATAATTTTCAGTCTTTTTGCTATCGACAAAAAGCACATCGCTCTCCCCTTTGCTCTCGCAACAAAACCAAATTAAACAGCATCAAAACCAAACCGAACAGCCACGCTAGACTCGTTTTAGACATTTTTTCTAGGCCCTTTTTATTTTTACTTCTTTTTATTCTTGTTCTCTCCCTCCCCCTCCTTTTCTCTTTTCACCCCTACCCCGCAACGCGATACAATTACACCCTGAATAACTTGCCCTATACCCACGCTCATATTTTCACTTTTTTTTGCAGACTAGATTCTGTGTTGACGCTCTATTTTTCTATTCTTGCCTGTTTCATTTATCATTGCTCTTCTTTAATTATAGTAACCCTATTTTTTTGCGCAGTTTTCTTTTTTCCTTTGTTTCTTACATTATTCACACCACGAGTTACACGTATACTCCTGCAAGTGCTTAACCCCCTCCCCCTTGTCTTAGTTTGGCTACTATAAATCCGCTCATTCTCTATTTTATTTCCTTTTGTACATAATCATGATGTATCTAGGCCTGCACAGCGCACTTTTCGAAGCTGCAGCAGCAGCAGCCACATCACCGGGGAACCGGCCATCAGAATCATCAGCAGCAGACATGGCATTGGCGCTAATGACGCACCTGTGCGAAGCCGACGCTAATTCCGCACAAAGATCAGGTAAACCCCTGGGACTCGCCCTGGACGCAGATGACAGCGACGACGACGCAGCCAATGACTTTGACGATGTTGATTCTGTGCCCGACCCCGAATCGTTTGTGGTCTCGTCATCCGACCGCCCAGAGACATTCTCCGCTGGAGGCACTGCTGCTACCGCCGCAGAGTCATTGTTCACCGAGGCGTCCTTGTTCTCCCCAGCAGCGCCAACATGTTTTTGATCGATGATTATCAGCAGCCGCAGAAGGACATAGAGAAAACAGCCGGTGTGCAGACGTCGCTGGCCGAGGCAATGGCCCTAGCCAAGGCAATCAGATCCCGCCCAGCCAGCAGCAGCAGCAGCATCTCTGCATCCGGGGCATATCACCCACACAAAGCAGCAGCAGCGATCATTGTTGGACGAGGATGATGACGACAGTGTTGATGATTCAGCGGCGAACAGCAGCGAAAGCAGCTCAGAGACAGAAAGTCAAAGCACATCATCAAGTGGCAGTCGGTCGCGGAAACCGCGGTCATCCGGTAAGCGCGCACACAACGAGTCCGACGACGACGAGCACAACCGTGTATTCTTCGTCGACCCCAATACCCTGGCGAGCTCATCCAGCGATATGTACTTTGACGACGGCGGTTTCACAAGATTCCTGCGTATCCACGTTAAGCGGCAGCAGGAACGCAACTCGCCGACGGCGCAGCCGACTATTGATCCGGCCACGCATATGCGCAAACCCAGTGCAGCTGACGTGGATATGGCCGATAGCAAGGAAGCCAAGAAGCCGGGTAAGAAGCAGGACGGTTTTGCCGCGGCGTTGGCTGCTGCTCGCGTCATGGAGGACTCGGCGATAGCTGGCGGTATTGAACGGGGGAGCATTCTTCCCTTTGGCGCTGGCCAGATGCGGCAGGCGTCCACAGCGGCGGCAGTTGACAGTGCAATGATGCTGGATAGCGGCCTTTTGGCGTCGGGCTCTTCGGCCATGTCTCTTGGTTTCAGCAGCACAGCGCTGAGCTCGTTTATTGCGCCCAGCCTGGACAACGGCCTAGGCAGCATGCATATGGCCGGTTTTCCGGGCGTGCCCAGCCTAACCGCAATCCCCAACGCCAACCCCTTTATGCTTCCAGGAAGCGGCCAAGGCCCTATTCTGGACTCGGACTCGATCACCTCGACTTTCTACAGCGGCTTTGGCCTGCCTGCACCGCCCCTAGGATCGTCGCAACATATGATGGCGTCACAATTAGCTCACCATCAACTACACTCTGCAGCTGCCGCAGTAGTCAACGCGCAAATAGCGGACAAAGAGGCAGCAGCAGCAGTGGCGTCCGTAGCAGCAGCAGCAGCAATATTGGCTGGCGATCCATGGCCATCTCCAACGACGCACAGCCCCTGGGCATATCCTCGTCACTTCAGTCCAAGCCTGACCAGGCCGCAGACGTCAATGCCATGCTCCGGGCACTGAATGCAGTTGCCAGCGTCACCAACCCCACGCTGCCATCACAGCAGAACACGAACTCGCTACCTTCCGCTGCCATCGCCTCTGGCGCCAATGGGCCATCGGATGCGCTGCAGCAAATGCTGTACTTCAGTCAGCTTGCTGCCGTATCTGGCAAATCTGACGGCGGCATTTCCCTGCCCCTAGTGGGCGGCCGCACGGCGTCCCTGGGCGGCGGGAGTGAGCAGCCGGGCATGTTCAACATGGACAATATCCCGCGCACAATCAACCCCAGCACGATTGACCTGCCTACTGTGACATCTGTGACCGTAAACCAGTTGGGCGACTGCATGGATGTTGAAGAGTCGCCGGCGAAGGCGCCCGTGGTTGCAACACCGAATAAGCGCCCGCGTGAGACTAACACTGCTGCTGCTGCTGCTGCTCAGCCCAAGCCTAACTCCGCCAACGGCAGCAACCAGCAGTCACCAGGCAAGCGCAACAAGCCCAATGCGACAACCGCCACTGCCGCTTTCCAGCCCAAGGACACTGCCCCGCGCGCCACGCCCTCATCAGCAACATCCCCCGCCTCTCCCAGCGCACCATCTGCACCCAAAAAGACACCCGCCAATCCCGCTTCTGTCAACCAATCCGGCGCCATTGCGATCGACGAGAAGACCGGTCACCCGCAAGTCTGCTCCAACTGCTCCACCACGACAACCCCGCTGTGGCGCCGCGACCCCGAAGGCAAGCCATTGTGCAATGCCTGTGGTCTTTTCTGGAAACTGCATGGAATTACCCGCCCGCTGAGCCTCAAGACTAACGTTATTAAGAAGCGCAACAGGACGGCGCGAAGAAGAACACTGCGCTGGTGGCGGTGACGCCGGTGGCGCCTGTGACTGCGATTGGATCTGGACCTGGATCAGGGTTGGGATCAGGATCAGGATCGGGATCGGCGGTGGCTGGGGCTGCATCTGCAGTGCCGGTGCCTGTTGCTTCTGGTATGCCTCAACAGCAACAGCAGCAGCAGACAATGACTGCTGCAAAGATTGCCCATACACAGTTGCAGTTGCAGTCGCAGCCTCGATTGCAGATGCATCAGCAGCAGCGGCCTAGCGCTGTGGCTGGTGGCCATCAAGCCTTTGGCCAGGCGCAAATTCAACAACAGCAGCAGCGTGCGCAGGGATCGCCATCCCACATCCTCCTTCGGCAAAACTGAGCCAGCAGCCAGTAGCCTCGGTGGCAACAGCAGTGCCAGGTGTTTAAAAAGCCAAGCTTGTATGTTCCTAAACGTTATAACTCCTTTTTTTGTTTGACAAGTGTCAATCCCATGTATATTATTAAAATAAACTCCCACCAACCTTAAACATTACCAAAACAGGTCGTTGCGGTTTCCAACAGAACATCAATGCAGTTGCTGTCGATCTGATGGTGCAGCACGATCCGTAGCACGTTGCCGTAGATGGTGACCAGCTTCACGCCCTTCTCGAGGGCGGCCTCGACGAAAATTCTCTGCGCGTCCAGTACTGCAGACGGCGCGCGCACCAGCACCATGTTGGTATCCACAGGCAGGGCGATCTCAAAGCCGCACTTACTCAGCCCGTCGGCCAGTCGCCTAGCCAGCCTGTGCGTGTCCGCCATAGTGGGCCACACATGATCAATGGCATGAGGCCAGCCGCTGCGAGGACACCCGCCTGGCGCCATCCGCCGCCAAAGACCTTGCGGAAATGGCGCGCCTTGGCAATAAACTGCTCGCTGCCCACCAAGACAGCACCAATCGGGCACCCCATGCCCTTGGACAGACACAGGTTGAGCGTATCCACCAGCCCAGCGTACTCTGCGATCGCAATACCGCTGGCCACCGACGCGTTCCACAGCCGCGATCCGTCCAAATGCAGTCTAGCCCCATGCTCACGCGCAAATGCCGAAATCTCCCGCATATCCTCTACCGGCATAATCACACCCGCCATGGTGTTTTCCAAAACTACCAAGTGGGTCGGCGCGCAATGACCCAATTGATTATTCTTTATGAACACGCGCTGAACATCCGCCAGCCGCAGGTTATGTCCCTCGGACGGCTTAACAGGGATCATCTGCGTCTGCGACAGGAGTGAGGCACCGCCACTCTCGTATGCAAATACGTGCGCGTCCGTATGGCACACCAGCGACTCTGGCGGATCGCGCATGTGCGTGCGGATTGCTAATTGGTTGGCCATCGTTGAGGATGCGCAGAAGAGCGCCGCTGGCTTGTTGCATAGAGAGGCTACGCGGGCTTCAAGTGCGGCAACTGTTGGATCTTCACCAAAGACGTCGTCACCGACGGGCGCAGAGAGCATGGCGGAGAGCATTGTGCTGTTGGGCTTGGTCACTGTGTCTGACCGCAGGTCCCAGTTACGGATTCTGAAGAAGCTTTGGTCGGCATGATAAACAAAGGGTGCGGCTTCTAACTATGATGTATATAAAATTTCAAGGGTCTTACCAATAAAATAAGAAAAAATGGAGAAATATAAAAGAAAGGTAAAAAAAGAGACGAGGTAGGCTTGATATAGAGGGTGTTTTTTATTCATCGAGAGGTTCATGGACGTTTTTCCATCTGCTTTCTCTGCTGCAAGCAAGACGTGGCCGCAGCAACAGCTGAAAAATATGCCTGTAATCGTTTTATTTTCTAGTTATATTTGTTCAAAACGAGTACTGTGCCACCTCGGCCGAATCCCACGAAAAAAACCCGCCCGACAGCTTAGGATCAGCCTCCAGAGCCAGCGCGGCAATGACCTGCGCAGGGCGCTCCGGCGCCAAAAGCCCGCCTGAAGTATGCAGGTTGACAAACTTGGCCAGCTCGCCAGCCACCATTGCGCCCTTGCCCTGCTCGCGGATCTGCTCCTGCATGTCCGTAGCCACGACACCGGCCTCAAGGCCACCGATACAACGCTGGGCTCCTCAGCGGCCAAGATCTGCGTGACCATGTTCAGCGCCGCCTTGCTCGGCAGTACGCGCCCCAGCCCTGGTACGCATGCGTAGCAGCTCCCGAGCTCACATTGACTATGCGGCCCGGGACTCGCGCAGTAGCGGCAAGAGGCTCTGCGTGATTGCTACCACCGCAGTGACATTAACATCCAGGTGCTTCTGCAGATCGGCGATCTTGATGTCAGCCAGCTTGGCTAGGGGCTCTATGACGCCGGCGTTATTCACCAGGCCGATCAGCGAGAGACCCGAGCTGGTGACAGCAGCGTGGACTGCGTCAATATCTGCGCTCTGTGTGAGATCCGCCGTGCACGAGATAAACTTGCCGACGTAATCCTTTGTCTCATTCTGAACCTCGAGAAGCTTCTCGGCTGAGCGCGCCACGCCGATGACTGAGACGCCCCGAGCGAGCAGGATTTTGCTGACGGAGCGCCCGATTCCACGCGAAGCGCCAGTGACTACAACGACCTTACCGACAAAAGACATAATAATAAAGCAACTTTTTGATTCAAATGGAATAAAAGAAGAAAAAAATGTTTGTAAAGAGAGAACAAAGGTGGAGCAAGACACAAATGGCCGTTGGTAGCTGGCATCAAGGCACCATTTAGGTTAATGGCGAACAACTTCCTCCCCTCGTCCTCCGCTGAGACCGATCCGCTCTGCATTGATTTGCTTCTGCTTTTGTCTCTCCCCCTGCTCCTGTTCTGCTTTTGTTGGCCACAAGCGACCACAATCTGATGGTGATGACGAATCACTGCTCACTCAACCACACGCTACATGTAGTCCCTTCGTCTCTTCCCACAACTCTGCCTATGATCGATGGCGAGCGCGAGTACGTCTGCGGCTCGCCGCTGCTGTTCCTGCTGCTTCTATCACTCAGCGCCATGCCGCCACAGCCAGGACAGCGACATATCAGCGGTGCTGTAGCGGCTAAATGACTTTCTCGCAGTCCCCGAATACTGTGGCGATGACACCAGCGTCTCAGCGCCGCTGCGGTGCAGCGAATCACGTCTCGGCCTCGATGAGCGCTGGTACTTATTAGCTGTCGGCAGGGCAAAGTTCACTGGGCTTTCTGGCCGGATCTTCTCCAGCATGCTTGGTGCAGCGCCATCGACCAGTGTTCTTGCGGATACTGGGCTGTACACTTCTTTGATATACTCTTGCTCAGCGGCATTTGCTTCTTTCTCAATGACCTCGACCAACTTCTCCTTGATATTCTCAATGGCCTCGATAGCCTCAATGGCCTCGATGAACTCCTCCTTGTCCTCGATCTCCTCAATCTCCTCGATGGCCTCCTCCTTTTCCTCGATCTTCTCAATGACCTCGATGACCTCTTTCTCCTCGATCTCTCTCCTCGATGACCTCCTTGCTCGATCCTCATCTCCTTGATGACCTCGATCAGCTCATTATCGATCTTCTCAATGACCTCGATGACCTCTTTCTCCTCGATCTCCTCAATCTCCTTGATGACCTCGATCAGCTCATTATCGATCTTCTCAATTACCTCACCTTCTCCTCGACCCTTGCATTTATCTCCACATTAATTTCCTCCATATTGTTGATATCGTTGTCTTGGCCACTCTCAACTTTGTCAATGTCTTCAACCACACTGGAATTCTCGTCGATTTCACTGATTTCGCTGATGTCGTCAATATCCTCAATGTTGTCAATGTCGACTTCGTTGTTCGCATTGCTGTCGGCATCGTTCGCTGGTTTTGAGGTAATAATCTCGGCGGCAAATATTTCCGAGGCAGCCAACAGCGGCTGCCGCCTAGTCACCGTCCTGGTTACCGTGCTCGCGTACTTGGCCAGGGCGCTGTCAATAGCCAGCATGCGCGCTGTGCCGCTTCCAAAAGTGGAGGACTGATCAATGGCCGAAAAGTCCGAAAAGCTGGAGCGCACGGTCAGCGAAGGAGAAATGACATAGGACTGCCTGCGTGACCCTAGCGAGTCACTGGTGCGCCAGCGGCGCTCCGTCGTCGAGCACTGACTCAGCGTCGATGTGCGTCTCAGAAGCCTGCCCGGACGCCTTTGAACCTCGTCTCGGCCGTCGCCCACAGCCACTCGGGCTCCTCCGCCCGAACACTGGCCCTGCTGCTGTGCACTACCAACGGCGCCAAACTCCCATGCGTCCCTAGAAACCCGCAGCACACGGGTAAACTCGCTCAGGCAGGCCACGCAGGCCCCATGGGTGGTTTCTTTGTCAAAAGGATTGGACTCAGCCATGCCAAAAGCGTCACCCGGTGCATCCTGGCGGCCACAAACAACTGCCGCACCTGGTCCGGCTGCAGACAATCCAGCGTCTCGTCAACAATGGCAAATCTCGGAGAATGGTACAAAAGCCGACAAATGCTCACAGCGTAGAGCTCGGCTGGACCCAACACCTTGGACCAATCCACCACATAGCCCCAGTCGTCGCTGGCCCTTTGCAGAAGGAACTCAAAGTCCATAAATCGCAGAATGGCACCCAGGTGTCTCTCGCTGATGCCCCGCCGAGTGCACTGCGTTTTGTCATGTGGGAAAATAAGCAAATCCCACAGCGAGCTGCTACCAGCCTTGATGTAGGGTCTGGTAGCAACATGCATGATTCCCGTGTGCGGCTGCGGGCTGCAGAGATGGCCCCCAAGGAGCAGTGTTTGTCTGCCGAGCAGAAGCCGCACAAGGGCGTTGCGCTTGTGCTGCTGCCTTGGTCCGAATATAAGGGTGGGGTGGCCCTGGGTGATGGCCAGTGTGAGCGGTGGCCAGTGCTGGAGCTGAACACGCGCAATTGGATCTGTGAGTTGTCGATTGTCCATTGGGCTTCTGACGCATCCGAGGTGGCTGAGGTGTCTAACCCCTGTGTTGACGCAGTCGAGGCCGTTATTATTGTGATTGATGGATAACCGCCCGCTGGCCTGATTCCTCGGTTGTGCGTTGTTCGGCCTGCTGAATGTCTGCCATGGCCAAAGGGGATAAAGTTGATTTGCTTGGAATAATCCCAATGTCCCAACAACAACAAAAGAAAATGAGTTTGAAAAAAAAGAATAGAAAAGTAAAAGATAGGAGTTTTAAAAAAATACCAAAACAATAACAAAAAAATTATCTTGCAAAAGAAGAAGCAGCAAAGGGGATATTTTTTCCTTGTTTCTTTTAAATGGACGGGCATGTGCTAATATTTTTTTAGTTCCTGTTAAGCGCTTTCTTTTTCTATTTTTCTATTTTTCTCTATTTTTCTTTCTTTTTTAATGCGGAAATAATACTTGAATTTTTTTATCACGCTGCGTGGCTTTTGTTTCTGTTTTTCTCATATTGAATTTTTATTTATTTATTAACAGATGATGCGGCATTGTGGTAGTTTTTTTTTATATATATCTCTTGTACTTTCAGCCTCCCTTTTATAAAAGATGGAGAGCGAGTGAGAAACTATCGTCAACAATTCTTCACAGTGGGGTCTGAAGCAAATAAAGAAAGCAAATATAATATTTCTCTTTTTTTTATTACTTGTACGGAATAGTAGACGTAAACCCGTATTTTCCGAGCATTTGGAAATCGAACGAGGTATATAAAAGGCGCAAGATCGTCCTAATAAAATTTATGTTTGCACTCTTTCATCCCTAAACTTTTTTGCTTGACAAACAGCAGCAGCAGCAAGAAATAAATAAAATGTTCTGTGTAAAGCACGTGCCTTTGTTTATTTTTTACGTTTGGCGGGCATGTCGGTGAGAAGTTAGCATTGTTGGCAATGGCAAAAGCAAAATATAATTTATCATGTATTGTGTATGCAAATGTTCAATTTGTACATGTCAAATAGCAATAATTATATTAAAAACGCCACTTTTACGCTATTTATTGTTTTGTTTTTGACATATTTGACAAAGTTTATTTTTTCATCTCGAGCACAATCCAATGCACTTGAGAGGATAATAAAGGCAACAAGTGAAAAAAACATAAGAGCCACCCTACACTGGAATTCTTTTATTTTTTGGTCATTGTGTATTAGAGTGGAAAAGAAGAAGAAACATGTCTCGATATTTCCTTTTTTATAATCTCTTCTCGGAAGACCCAAATATTAGTTTTTTTTTTCTCCGAATCACATATAAAAAATAAAAAGGCATATTTTTTTTGCACTATCTCCACATTTCCCAAATGTCCCCATCATTTCTAGGCAAACGCTCGAGCACTATAACTACAACGTCTGACCGTCGCACCATCGACAGCGCCAGCAGCACCAGCAGCAGGTTGGCAGAATGGAATCAGCCCAATGCCCTCGCCCAGATCTCGCACACCCTCACCCTTCATCTCGCCTGCCAAAGCAGGTTTCGCGAAAATCTAATATTTTCACACTCGACTTTGAAGTCCTTTCAAACTTCCCTCTGCCACCCACCACACAGCCTGGCCTTACTTCCGTTACCAATTCGCCTCTATCGAAATTTGAATTTGACAACTCCGCTTTTAAATCGGCCATGCACCCGTCACAGCAAGCAGCGAGAACGAGCACGGGCGGCGGCAGCGGCAACGGCGACAGTAGCGCAGTTTGCCCTGGGATTTCGACCTAAACAACAGCTGCGACGACCTGGCGTCCATACGACCGCCGTCCGCGCTCTTCAAAAAATTCTTGAAAAAAAGCCACGACAGCCTCTCGCGGGCAACAGAAAAAGAGAGCCCCAGCAGTGTCGGTAGCATCGAAAGCAGAGCAAGTCGCATTCGACTGCGCCGCATGCCCTCGCTGGAGTCGCTGGAGTCGCTGGAGTCGATGGGTCGATGGGTCGATGGGTCGATGGGGTCCAGGCGCAGATTGCGGATACATGCCCAGGAAGTGTCTCCGTTGGACGAAGAGATGCCGCCGGTATCGCCGTTTTTCACGCGTATCTCGGAGCACGAAATCACAAAGGCGAGGGCGGTCGTGCGCAGGGCCAGCACGTCGCGAAGGAACACCGTGACCATGCACAGCGACTACGGCCAGAGCCTGCACCAGAGGCTGCAGCAGCGAGGAACGTGGTGCTCGCCCGATATCAACACAATGTTTGGTAAGTGCGGCATTTTCCAAAACCAAACAAACACACGCCCTGCTGGGAAAGAAAATGCTTTTTGGCGGTTTTTGTTAAAAAGAAAACAAGCGTGGTGTGAGAAAAAAATATGTTCCCTCTTTGTGTAGAGCCATTGCGGTTGGATCTGCATATGCCCGGCCGCATGCCGCTGCAGCGGGGCCGCTGGACCGCTGGACCGCCTTGTCTCCGACCATGTCCTCGTGGGGCCCGCTTGACGCGCCGGCCAAGCACGCAGACGACATGGCTGGCTCCTTGGAGAGCGCCGAATGGCTGGGCAACCAGGAGCCGCCCATGTCGCCCATATTCGCGGCATACCGCTCGCCGCCGCGGCTGCGCAAGGAGCGGCGGTTCCTCGTCAACATCCACTCTCTGTTTTCGTCGCCGCTGGGCGACAAGGCGCAGCCGCAGCTAATTGTCAGAGAGTTTCCGGAGGGCGGCGAGGCAGTGGACATTGGGGACCCCGACGTTCGGCAGGCGCTGCGGCACCACCCCTGGGTGCTCAAGCTGGGCGGCAGCCAGCGCAAAGCCACGCCTGCAGCCACACGCCTGCGCCTGCCGACCCGGCGTCCGCCCGTAGCCGCCCGCGGACTTGGTGCGCCCACGGTGTCGTTCGTGGCCAGCAATAAGAGCAGCTTTGTGTACTCTGACCGCTGCGTGCGCGCCATAGACATAGATGCCATGGTCAAGGCGTACTTGCCCAGCGTCCATCAGCTGCTCACGGGCGAGGACCCCGAGGACGTGTCGTTGTCCGAGAGCTGCACGGCCACAGTGAGCAGCACGCCGGCGTACGCCGAGTCGGTCCAGTCGGCCCACTCGGGCTCGTCGGATGATACTCTGCGGCTCATCTCGGCCATTTCTCTGCCAAGCACGGGCTGGCCGAGCCGTCCCCGAACATGCTTTCTCGCCGCAGCGACATCGGCACGCGCCCGGATCCGGCAAAGCTGCTTGAAGAGCCGGCGTCGTCAAATGCGCGCTTGGAAGAGCTACCAATGAAGAGACTGGTACGTCGCAGTGACATCGGCATGCGGCCGACCCCGCTGAGGTTCCCAGAAGACGCGCAGCGGCAGCAGCGAGGCGTGTCCGCCATGGATCCACCAGCGCCGAATTCGCGGCTCGTAGAGCCGCCGCTGAGGATACTTGCTCGTCGCAGCGACACCGGGATGCGCCCCGACCCCCTGCGCATTTCCGAGGGCCCACAGCAGCTGCTGCACCACCCGCGTGCAACGACAGCCATGGATCCACCAACGCCAAATAGACGGCTCGGAGAACCGTCATTCAACAGGCTTTCCCGCCGCGGCGACATTGAAGCACGCCTCGATCCGCCGCGGCTTTCGGGGGACGATCAGCGGCCGCCAAGCACATCAGTCGATCCTCCCACTGCAAGGCTGGCCGAGCCACGGCAAAGAAAACTCGGTCGACACAGCGACGCCGGAATTCGCACCGAGCCGCCGCGCCAGCTGCGTGCTTCGGCGTCCGTCGTCAACCTGCGCGGGCATTCACAAACCAGGCACCAAACAAGCGCAATTCTATCCCGGCGCCCAGCCCACGGGTATCCGCGCCGCTTTTGCGCCGGCGCAGCGAGGTTCTGCCGCCGGCGTCCACGCCGCTGCTGCTACGACGGCGGTCGGCGTTCGAGCCCGAGTCCGCGGCGGCGGCGTACCGCGCATAATAGCCTACGGTCGCCAAGAGCGTTCGGCAGCATGGACGATGGCCGGCCACTGCGCGCCGGAGCGCTGTCGCCGAGAACATCCGCGTTGCGCATGTCCGCAGCATCGGAGCCCGGCCATGGGCTGCGCATGTCGGCGTTGCCCAATGCCACATTTCACCGCCGGCTCGCATTGCGCCGAGCCGGCCAGAGCCCACACGGTCGAGCGGTGAGCTTCTGCGCAACACGATGGTTTCGCCCAGGTCGCCGAGCCGAATGCCCAGCCAGCTGCCACTCCGACAAAGACGCGGAATCCAGCTACACAGCTGCCGCTTCCGTGCTGGTGTACGAGAGACGCCCGGTGGACCCGAGTGGTGCTGTGCAGAGGCTGAGTGCGCAGAGGTCGCCCAATATGAACGGGTATAGTACTTTGGGATGCGGCCCAAGGTCTGCGCCGCCTGTGCATGGCTATCTGGGTGTAGACATGCCGGTGCTTTCGAAAAGGCCTTTGGGCACGCGGCGGCTGGACGTCAGGAGCGCGTTTTTGGCTCAGGAAGCAGCTGTTGGTCAACTGGCTATGCGACCGTTGTAACAAGCATTGCACTTTTGTTTTTAGAACTAATTTATACAAATAATATACGAGAGATTCAATGAAAGCATGTAGCGAGAGGAGACACGCCAAGACATGCGCAACACGTGCTTTTTTAAATAGGCTTGGAGGAGTACTTCTCTTTACTGCTTTCAAAATAAGGGCAACTGGGGTGCATTGTAGCGCAGTCATTGCTTCCGTCTCGTTCAGGATTATTTGTTTTATTGGATTTACACTTGTGAACATAAAGCACCAACTTCCCTGACCATTTTCAGTTTGTTTTTATTTTTTTATCCCACCCCTATTTAGTTATACTTTTGCTTTTCTTTTTTTGTCATTTACCATGTCTTACATTGTTGGTCCACACTGTCAACTATCTGCCGATTGAAAATTCGAACAAATCACTTCTTACCGATGGTTTTAAGGAGACAGACTATGTCGCAATATTTAACAACAAACTGGTTTTCTCAGGAAAGACCAACACGTAAACATGTAATTACAATGCGTATGGCAATTGGAAAATATGCCATCCACTCGAAAGTATTAGCAGATATTGGGCTTCCCATTAATGTTCAAATTGTATGAAGGCGCGCACATAGATTCCGAGTTAGACAGTGACGAAGAAATAGAGGCGCCCAAATTTATCAAGGAAACAATGCGCAAGTTGGAGGAAGAAGAGAAGAGACGCGCCAAATATATTGCCAAAAGCAAGCTTTCAAACCAGGTCAAGAAGCGCATCAAGAAAACGCGCCAACCAATTCAGCTTACGCCTGATACAATTGAAGCATATCTTAATGATGAACTTTAGTTATGTTTGTTTTTAATTAGCTAACGTAACGCACTAGGCCTTTTAACAAGCATTCACCACTGCTAATTATATTGTAATACTCCATTTTCGTACATTCATATGCATGTTTTTTGTATATTTGTATATGCTGCGTAAAATGGCACGCGCCTGGTGACATTGTTGCACAGACTAAAGATATGGAAGTGGATGTTGAGGTTGAGAATCGCGAAACAGGTTTCCACCTGCGTACCGATTGATAGGGCGCTAATTGGATCATGCAGGCGTAAATTAGAGGGGCATTACATTGACGCCCAAACATGCTCACCATTTTGCGATGCACACGCATGAGCGCACACGCGCGAAAACCACAACATTGACTTGCCAAGATACTGGCTGCTGCAGAACAACCAGTTCTCGCCAACGGAGTGCATAATTGGCAATGTGCACAACAAAGGCGACGAGGCACATATGTAAGATGAGGCCGGCGCTAGTAGCATTTTAGAAACATCAGTAATAAAACTTTTTATAAATTCAACCCCGTTTTTCTAACACTAGACAACAGTGCTCTTCACACCCCCTCTTATTATAACATGCACTGCGCAATGTTTTTTTTTATAATAGATTCAAAGAAACCAAAAAAATAGCTGCCTTTAACGCTTTAGGTATTAACGTGGCCGCAGCACTTTGTAATACATTATTTTGCTGCAACCATTCGCTGTTCGTAAAATACCATGTAGACGCATACAGATACAACTACAACTACAAACCGTATTTAAACCAAATAAAAGTATGCGCTACTAAATGTGCATTCTTTACCTCTATTTTATTTTTACAATATAATTATTAAACAATAATATAGTACTACAGCTATGTATAACAATTACGACAGGCCGCTCGATACTTGCACATTGAGGGCAGCAAAAAAAAACTGGATGGTGCAGATATCAAGTATAAAGACTACATCAGTAAAGTTAACTACAGTTAGTCAAGTCTGGAAAGGCCAGTGACAAGTACAAGCTACACTACTGTGAAAATGACAAGTGGAAATTATGCGACTCAACGTGTTTATTGAAAATTACTCCACTTTCTCAATGGAGTTTAGAATACCCACCAGCCCCAGTAGCACTGACCAAACGATAGTTTCCAGGACGGAATGTCACTCAAGGATATCAAGGCTTTAGAGCTTAAGCGAGAGGAAGAAGCCCGGAGCACGCAGCTATTTTGTTGGCCAAAAAGGCAAGCGATTCGAAGACAAGGAAAAAAAACACACGCGCAAGGACATTAAGCTTATGCCCGAAAAACTTGAGGGAATTCGCAATGGTGACATTTATTAGGAAATTGATTAATTAATTTGAATTAACAAAGCCAATCAATAGTTTTTTAATAGTTGTAATTTAATTTAGAACGCCTTTGTCATAATATTTTAAATGCATATGCCGCTTTTACATTGCCTTTTTGTTAAATATTTGTTGGCTCTATTTTTTTGAAGTAAATTGCAAATAAAAGTTAGCAAAATCAACAGTTGTGTGCTTAAACGACCAGCATTGTTTTTTGTTTTTGAGCTGCACTGAGCTGTGCTTGGACCTTTGCCAACTAGTTTGGTGGCTAAACCTATTGAAGTTTCAATCTCACTCATAAATTGGCTCAATTAAGTGTACCCAAATAGCGCTTAATTGGGTGCCAAAATTGCAACTGGTTTATTTGGTTTGGTTTAGCATGTGTGTAATTTTTTTTATTGTATAAGCCTTTTGTTCATTTTGTGATGAAATCATACGATTTTTTTACACAAACAAAACACTCAATTCTTTGGCTTTTAAGAGCATAGCAAATTTTTGTTGGCCTGCTTTGCAGCATATTTTATGTTTTTTATTTGTGCTTTATACAGTTGGCCTTGGCAAAGTATAGGAAAATGCAAGAGCAAAAAATAGAAAATAGAAAATAAAAAAGCCCCAATCTCTATCACTCACTGTAAAATAAAAGTATACCCTGCCCTTAGTTTCCCACGTTGGCCATATTCATTATAATTTCTATTAAATATATTCCCTAAAGTGCATGGCAAAGTTGGACGCACCCGGGTTGTATTTCCATTTGATTTGATTTAGTGTGACATTTTGTAAAGAGCGCTGTCATTTTAACTATAAAATCAACAACTCAACCCCTACGTTTTTTTTGTTGCAAGAATTACAGTCAACAAAGCTTGATTTTTCACTTCTATCACCGTGCTATTAATAATGAATTTTATTGGGCTTCTTTTGTTTAAAGGGGGTTCGAAAGGCGACACGGTGCCGTGGCTTCAACGGAAAATAAAAAATAATTGGGGTTGTGTGCGCTTGCTATGTGCTACTGACACTACCAGAGTAGATAGGGTGTAGCCTACTCCAGACCTGTGATGCAAAAAAGTAGTGGGTTGGGTGGCATTAATAGACAATTAATTGTGAATGGTTGTAGCAACGTGGGTATTTTTGCCTGTGGCAGGAAAAAAGGGTTCCCATGTTTGCCCAATTCATTATACAAAGAGTAAAAATCTCCATTAATTGGGTTTTCCGACCAACATCGGCGAGACAGCTTTGTAGCGATTTATTGCACATTTAAATGCTATGGCATCGTGTAATGAATTTTCTTTATGCTTTCTGTGCATTTTTTTATTTATGTTTAATAAAATAGGTGCAAGGGTTTTTGAAGCTTTTTTTCCGCCCCTGAAGTTATATATTTAAGGACAAGCACCATTGTCCACATCTTGTTTTTGCTAGTTATTTACTTTGTTATTTCTTTATTCTTCTATATATTTACTCACCATACTTACAACACTATGCGTTCCAGCAATTATGTTGCGCAACACCTTCCCAACCCGATTATCAGCAGCATTTTGGAGTATGTCGCCGACTTTAAAAGCATCAGCCTCGTTAACAGCATTTACCTCGCTCGACCCAAGATTAACACGTATCTTCAGCTCACGCAAGTCTGTAGCAGCTGGCGGTCGGTTATGATGCACCCCTTGTGCCGAGACATGTCCATTATACTCGGTTGCATAGATGGCCTTGACATGTTTGGGTACCGCATGTGGCCAGTCAACGAGTCGTACGGAAAGTATACATTTGACCACTTGGTAAGGTCACTGCGCTTGGTTATCGACTACTGCACATTAAAAAACGGATCGGCTCTGGAGAGGTTGAAAGAGCTGCCGTACAAGGACATGGTTTTCGAGAATGCACACACATTGAACTTGGTTTTTGGGACTGTTACTGCTGTAAATATACAAAGCAAGCGGATGTGGAAAATTTGGTCGAAAAACACGTGTTGGCGATAAAGGCTATGGTTCCGAACGTGCGCAATATCTTTGTAGAGAGCAGGCCCGACAACACTGGTCTGGACGGCCGTGTATCTGGGTCGTACGACATAGTGCCCCTGCTGTTGAGCGGGGTTAAAAAGTCGATGTTCAGTCTGGGTGACTCGAGGTTTATTGAATTTGTTAATGCGGAAAGTTTTCTCGGTCTAACTCACTTGGCTTTTGGTGGGGATATTGACGATGAGAGAATTATAGAGCTCGTTCACAGCAATTCAGCGACCTTGGAGAATCTCGAAATAAAGTTTATCCGAAATGGCAATGTGGCCCACCTAGCTAGAACTAGCAATGGCGCGTGTGCATCGTTTCCATGCTTACAGAAGCTGCACTTGAAGAGAAAGTCCAAGGGCGTATCAGTCGAGGAAGTTGCGCTGACCGAAGCCATTATGTTCCCCAGCCTCCAGTGGCTGACCATTGAAATGGAGCATCCGTTCGGTGACGATACTATTTTCAGAGGAAACGCCGAGACGCTTAAATACATAGATATGCAAGTAGACACGTCGACATTGGACATGGTAAGCAGATGCGGTGTTTTTGCCAAAGGTCGGTACCGAAAATTAAATTATGTATCGTTAAAGCCTGTCAGGCCGGGTGGAACCGGCATTAATGTGTCTCCAAGCCAGCTGTCGTCGATTGCAATGGCCATGGCTGCCGGCTCCCAATCCTTAAACGTCAACTTGTTTGACCTGGGCAGAGAGGTAATTCACTATATTAAAGAAAGTCCTAGTGTGCGAAACATACGCGTGCTCAATATGACAAGAACAAAGCTGTCTCTTTTCGACATAATATATCTGGTGCGCCAGCTGCCTATTCTCGTAGAAATCGGAGTTCAATATTCCGGAACCGGTTCTGAATTTGATGAGCTTAGTCCCGGTGACTTTCCAGACTACGTACATGCACAGTACCGCCCGCTAGGCCGTTATCTGGATTGCCTGAACCAAGACCACAATGGCACCGACAGCAATGCCGAGAGAATAGCCGCATGTGCTATGCTAATGGCAATTATGTGCCCGAACATGACGCTGGCTACCGTTCCTGATAATTTCAAAGACGGATACACCGGCTTTATAGAGCAGGCACTCACAAAAACGCCATTTGGAAAGTATGCTGACCGGCTCAAGTTTTTAACCGAGCGGACAAGAAAGCCCATCATACATACGCTAAGAATGTAAACAAATAATAATTTATTGTAATTAATACTGAATAATTTTTTAAGAGTACTCATCCATCTTTATAGTTGAATAAAACCACCAAGCAAGTTTTGCTAATAAATGTATTCACGCTGCTCAAATCTTGGGCGCGGAAAACAGCTGCTTCATCGGGTAAAACTCCTTGTCCAGGTAAATGGCGATGTGCTCAAACCTGTCCGACCCAAAGTACATTTGCGGCTCGGACTCGCCCTTTCTATACACAAGAATAGTCGGCGCGCCGAATCCCTTCATCTGCTCAACGTCGGCAGTGTTCTGCTTTACCGCCTCTAGGGTGTCTGGCACACTGATTGCCTCCTCGACAACACGCGCATCTACCAGCCCATCGAGCGCCTGTTTTATGTCATCGGCCGACTCCGGCGCCCTGCGCTCGACGTACTCCATTCTCCACAGGCGGCGCATCGCTGGCACCATCAACCGCGGGTGGTGCGTCTTCAAATACTGTAGCGTGCGTAGCGCGGTGGTAGAGTTGTAAGGGAATTTTGTAGGCTCTCCCTTGAACGGAATCTTTGTGATACTCGACGTGCGACGGGCATCAGTTATCAGGAAAGGCCCCTTGTTCGGACTCAGCATGTTTTTTGTGTTCCTCATAACCTGCCCAAGATTGAACGGACGGTATTCAACCTCGATGCCCCACAGCGCCGTGTACTTTTCCATAAACTCAAATCCAATGTAGCTGAACACGGACAAGACGTCAAAGTAAAACACGATCTTGGGGATAGTAGGCATTGGTTTATTTTGTAAAAATAATAATAATAATAATGGCTAAAAAAAGATAAAAAAAGTGAACAAAAAATGATAAACATAATAGGTGGTAAAAATTCCAATTGTTTTAGAATATCCAGACTCGCACGACAGCGAGCTTTCTTAGGATTGTCTTATTGTGCATGAATGAGGCGGCCGAGTGCATGTTTGCGAGGCAAGGCATGTGATTTGACATTTGAAATAATGAATTTTATTTTATTTTATTTACTCCCAAGTGCGGCCTCGCCGCTGCTGCCACGGCGGCAAGATATTGCATGACTATCAGTAAAAAACAAATGCAAATGCCGCAATCAATCAAATAAATATACTGATATATACATATACACGACATGTGAAAGTAAGCAGCGGCATTGAATGTCGTATATAAAAGCAAAATGTCGAGACGCTAAAAAAGTACATAAAAAAATATATTGGATGAGAAAAAATAACAAGTTGTACACGGAAGAGATGAAAAGTTTATAATACGAGGTGTGTGTGTGTGTGTCCACGGGACAGCACAAGAGGCGCCACTCTGACCGCTTTTCACTTTGCAATTGAGCTGCGCAGAGTCCACAGAGAGCGAGCCTTGCGCAGGGTCGGGATGTTCGAGGCAACAGCAGGCGAGGCGTTGGCCGCCGGTGGAGCGGCCTTGGCGGGCTTGACGGGCGCGGGCTTGGAGGATGGCGACATGAAGGACGAAAAGAGGGCATCGGAATGCCAGAGACAGCCGACGATGTGGTTTCGGGTTTGGCCAAGGACTTGGTCCTGTTGCGACTCAAGAAGCTCGGTCTGCCGAAGCGTCCGCTGAAGCTGCTCCTGGTGGCCGTGTTGGTGGAAGCCTTGGGCGTGGTAGACTCGGAAAAGTCAACAACAGGCAAGCCTGCCGGGCTGCTCAGCGGTGACAAGTGCGACTGCAGTGCCCCTTCGGTATTCGGAGACACCTCAGGGACAGTTGCCAGCGCGCTAGCAGCAGCATCGGGGCTCTGGGGCACGTTGCGCGCGCAAAACTCGCCAAAGTCCTCGACTTCATCGTCGTCGTCATCGCTTAACGTGTAGGCAAAGGTGATGGTGTTGACCTTGGCGTGTGGTGAGGCGTTGGTGCGGAGCATGTCGGCTATGCTACTGTGCAAAATGCCGACGTTTGTCTTGAGCATGGGCGTCATTGCGCGCTCCACCAACGCGGGTCAATGGTCCGCGGCACAATGTCTGGCGTGTGCACCGGCCGCAGCGTGAGGAACTCATCATCCTGCTTGAACAGGTTCTGGATGCTCGGCCGCTGCAGGCCAGATGCAGAGGCTGAAGCAGAGCTAACTGTGGTGGATCTCCTTGTCTTCAGTTCGTCGCTATTGCGTTCGCCATTAGCATTCGGGCCGTTTGTAGGTCCTACGCGGTCATTTGAAGTGCTTCCATAGCCGCTGCTGTTTAAATTGATGCGCCGGGTGCTCGTTGATCCAGCAAGGCGCAGCTGGCTGGCCGAAGGCAGCCGCCGGACCCCCTGCCCATTGGCGCCGACCGAAGTTGTGTTGGCCGTCCTGGCCGCTGGCGTGCTTGCCGTGGGATGATCCTGCGACGCGCGCCTGTAGGTCAATGGAAGAGAGCTGCCGTTGGACGACGACAGCCGCGACACATTGGTGCCGCTCAGTGCGCCGATGCTCGCGTTTAAAGCGCGAGTTCCGCACGCCTGGGATAATATCTGGGCTCCTCCTCCTCCATTGCCAGTGCTGCTCCTGTGCGCTGCGTACACCTCGGCATTGAGGCTGCGCGACTGCTGCGAAAACGCATCGTTGAAGCCGGTCGCGCCGACATCATTACGCGCAGCGTCCAGGCGGTGCTGCTGGTGTCTGCTCAGCGTAGCTGCCAGCGAAACCGGCGCGCGCAGGCCCGAGACAGGCGACGGAATCCGTGAAATCTGCGACGAGTCGTATCCGGACTCGGACGCCAGTGAGTAGCGCGAGCCGTTCAAACCCATGACCATTGACCGCGGCGACGCAATGCTCGACCGCAGCGCGCGGGCCTCCTTGGAGCTGCCAAACGATACAGGAAACGACGCGCGTGGGGGCAGCGTGTGCCTCGCGGATGTGGACACCGGCAGGTGGTACGTTGAGCTGCGGCGCATCCCGCTGTTGAGCACGGCATTGGCCTGCGTGATAAGAGACTCGACCTCGCTTCTGCGGCGGCAAGAGGGCAAGGGCAGCAGGGACCGTGAGGACCCGAGCTGCGATAGGGAGTGGTTCGAGCTGCGTCTGTCGGCCATTCGGGCAGCCTGCTGTCCGTCGAGGTCGACAAAGGCGCCTCGGAGATTCATGACTGACGAGGGCGCCCGCAGCTGCCGCGATGCCGCCGACGGCTCGGGCTTGGCGCCCAGTCCGAGATCGCTGCGGCGAGAGGGCTTGCGCAGCGACGACGGCTTCAGACGGGTACTGGGATTTGAGCTGACAGTGGGGGCAGTTGTAGGCGCGCTGCGTCTCAGCGTGTCGTCGGACGATGCGGACTGGTAGGACTCGGCGTATGCCGACTTACCTGTCATTGTGAACGAGCTGCTCTCGGAGGGCGTGCGCTCGTGGTTGCTGTCGGACTCGAGATCCTCGTCAATGATCTCTGTCGGTTGAAGCAGTGCGTGGATGCTGGGCAAATATGCCTCGACCATGGCTTCAATGTCGATGGCGCGCACGTTGCTATCGGAAACAGACTTGACAGTGCTCGCGTTGCTGACCATAAAGGACATCGTGGGTCTGGTTAAACAAAACCCACCAAATGCCGGCGAGTGCTGACGGCAAGAAGGCAGGCGCAAGCGCGATGCCGCAAGTCTTTGCTCGTTGTGCTGCTGCTGGCGCTGGCGCTGTCGGTTGCACAGAGACAATACCCATGGGTAGCCTCTCAGTGCCCTGCGCACGTCGGAGTCGCTGCCAAAATCTTCGACCTCGACCAGGGTGTGGCCAAATTCACCCCTGACGAGCTCGCTGATGGTGACCCGCGGCAGCGCCTTGCTGTTGAGCGGTGACGAGAACGGCGAGAACACATCGACTTTGAAGGTCCGTTCGCGCGCAGGCTGGATTGGGCGTGCGGGGGCTTTGATAATGGCTTGGTTTCTGGCCAAAGAGCTGGGTCCGGTGAAGTGTGGGGAGATGGGTGGCCCCTGGTTGCCCAGCCACTCTTCGGGGCCCTCCGCGTCCAGGGACGGTGAGGCATTGGAGGCCAAGGCTGCCCACCGGACCATTGGGCCCAACAGTGACATGCGCGCTGGAGCGGCGCTGTTAATCTGAACATTCGAAGCTAAGCGTGCAAAACAAATCAAGAAAGCGAGCGAGCAAGACACAATGCCAGCAGGCAAAAAAAAGAGGGAGGAAAGATAATTCAAATTTTAGTGCTTCATGTCGTTCACAAACATCAATGTGGTTTTTTCTTTTACTTGAGCCAAATAGCCGTACAATGACTTACCGTATATGGACTCCCTGTCGGGCGCGCACCATGTATCGCGCTGCTTCGAGCGGCTCTGCACCTGGGGTTCCTCGACAGTCGTGTACAGGCCAAAGGTGTTGCGACGCGTCAAGCGTGCCCGCTGTACAGTATCCCGTGCCACCACAATGTCGTTTGCCGAAATTCGAGAGAAAAACGGCGACACAGGCGGCATCTCAGCGTCGAGCATCGACAGCTGAGGTGACACATCACCAGCATGTGCGACAGCCGATGTGTCCATGGCATTCGCCATCGATTCTACGGCGTGCAAGGATGGGATGCGCTGCAGCTGCTCGCGGTGCTCTTGGCTCAGCGACACCTCGTCGGTGTTTCGGCGTGATGACGCAGGCGTCTCCAAAGTCGCGGTGAACTGGCTCAAGTCACTCATGTCGCCGAGGCTCTTGTCGAAGAGCACCGATGGCGGCCGCATTGTGGCCAGGTTGTCGCCACTGTCGCTGTAGCCAAAGCTCCACGCATAGGCCCTGCTGGCCGCAAACGAGGACGACTTGGTCATGTCGCTCGGCTGGTGCGGTGGTGTGCAGCCCATGGCGGACTCCGAGTAACCCAGCGGCAGTGCTGCTGCTGGTATATTCGCTACTGCGGTGCCCAGCTCTACTGCTGAGGGTAACCGCTGTTGTGGTTGATGCCTATAACCTGGATCTTCCTTGCTCGGTGGATTTACCGCTCTGGAAAGCGTTCCGGAGACGCAGTAGTGGGGTGATGTATCTGCGGCAGATTCAGCAATGCCCTCAATATTGTGTGCAAGCGCGGTAGGGGGGCTCTCGGGTAAAATTGAATAGTCGAATTCAGAGGAATGCAATTTGGGTGAGCTCGGAGGAGAAAGGGGCGGCGGAAGCTGGCCGCCGGCCAAGTGCGTAAAAACACTGCGCGGCGCCTCCGGCCTGGTCACTGGCGGCTCGGGCAGGCTGCTCAGCAGCGCCTGCAGCATGCTGTCCTCGGTCCCCCCAACCCTCCGTAAAGCATGGCATCGTTTACAGCGTCCGTGTTCATCGCGGCTGTTGTTGTGCTGGAGGCTGCTGTCGACGTACTGCTGGCAAATCTACGTATTCGTTCATGACAGCAGGCATTGATAACGCGCGTTGCTGTTGCTGCCGCCGCCAGCGGCGAAGAGTACTGCACTGGACAAGCCGGCATACATGCCTAGTTGCTCTGTTGCTGCTGTTGCTGCTGCTGGGCGTCGCCGTGGAAGCGCCGATTGCCGAAAGCTGCGTGGTAATGTGGATGGCAGGCCGATTGACCTGGCCTTCAAGTCCCATCCGCTGCCTTTTCAGACAGTGTATCGGGGACGGCCATTGGCGGACGAAACAAGTGTTCGACTCCAAAACAATTGAATGTCTAAGTTTCTTCTTTCCCAGGGCTCCAGAGAAAAAGAGAAAAATAAAAGATGAAATAAAATAAAAAAGATTGACGCTATGCACAGTGTGAAGAAAAAACAAGGGAGCGCTTGGATATGTATGGATATGTATGAGTATGTATGTGGCCTCCTGTTTGGGTTTGTTGTTGTCCTAGTCTGTTTATCTGTTTGTCTGTTTGTCGGTCAGTCTGATAGTGCCTGTGTGCAGATGGGGGAGAGGGGTTTGGGTCCCACTAGATGGCAACAGTGGCCTTTTTGTGCGATTTGTGGAAATGAAAAGGATTGAAATAAAGGGCAAATAGCACGCTAGACCTGGCTAGACTATATGAAGAAGAGAAAAGACGGGTCTCGAAAAAGTAAATAGGAAATAAAAATAAAAAAGAAGAAGCCTGGATATTGGCCAAGCAGAAGACAAAGTAAAGTATAAAAATTGAAGAGTGCAGGATTGTCAATTATAGTACGCCTTTAAAAAAATTAAGAAAAAATTATAAGCAAGTTCGCTGAAACTAAAAAATTGGTATGTACATGGAGTAAGGAACTGTAACAATCAAAATATGTGGCCTCTTTAAAAAAAGCTTATAAAAAAAAAGGGCCAGAAATAATAATAGAATTGGTATTAAGAAAATATCTGTTTATTGCGTATTAGTACCCGAATATTGGACCCAAGTGCGTATTTTATTTAGATTAAAATATCAATGGACGCAAGAAAAATAAAAGAAGAAAAATAAAAGCACGCACACAACCGTTATTTGAACAGAATATTAAAAAAAGCTCAAGAAGGGGAGACAAGGGAGGAAAAAAGTAACGAAAAATATAAAGCAAATAAAATCGTGCAAGAGAGAAAGAGGAAAAAAAGAGATGGGCTGAAATGGGCTTTCCCGACACATATGCCTGTTGAAAATCACTTGTATACCTTTTCTCTTCTCTTTTTTTCTATTTTTGTGGCATCTTCGGTTTGACCACCAAAAAAAAGAAGGAAAAAAACAAGAAAAAGTACGGCTCCGCCTTGGTCTCGACCTTGCACCAGGTAAAATAAAAGCGTGCATTTGGCCAAACAGGAAAAGGGGGGAGAGGTAGAGGCAATGGCAAAATAGACCGCTGAGCAACAATTGGTAATTTAGTTGGCCCTAAGTCCCTCTTTTTTCTTTTCTTTTTTCTTGTGGTTGGCTACATACATTTTTATTTCAATTTTTTCTTGTTTCCAGCTTCAAAGAGCAAAATAACAGATGCAAATATAAACAGCTTTTAGTCGACAATCGACTAACAAAAAATATGCAGAAAACGGTGCGCCTTATTATCTTGGGTGAGGGAGGCACAGCCTGAAGCGAAAACAAAATGCAAAAACAAACTGGATAAAATAATCTGTGCTGTCATATTCTTCCTGAGCACGCTCTCAAATTTGCATTCATATTAACAGCCCAGCCAAAACAAATAAAAAATTTGGGGGTGGGCTGAAAGAGAATTGCAAAAAAAAATGCTGCTCTTTTTCTTGTCAACTGCTTCCGCCTTTTTTTGCTTGTCTAACGTGTGTCTGACTGATTAACACTTTTTTTCTGGTATGAGCAAAAAAAAAACATCATCACATTCAAGCCGGTTTTTCTGTTGTTCATCTTTCAATTGGGCTTTACAAAAAATATAGACTGGCACATGCGTTGGTCTGCCTACATGGCTCAACATTTTTCTTATTTTGTGCCTGAAGCAAAAAGAAAAAGAAAATATAAAGTCAGATCATTGTATGTGTTCACTGTTTGATTCATTCATCAGCAGTTTTTTTGGGTCTTTGGTCCTTGCATCGGATGCTATGTATAAGTGACCAAGTGATTGATTGATTGAGTAAGCGACTGTGTACCCAGGAAGAAATAAAAGTTTTTTCTTCCCTTTTTTACATTACTAGGTTCCTTTTTATTCTACTTTGATTCAATGCAAGGAGTATGCCGTAAATGGACATTGACCGGTAGTCAGATATTTAATAAACAGTCTATACTAGCTTTAATCCAATAAAAACAAAATACTATTTTTTTGTTATTCAATAATTATTTTATTTTGCTCAGCCTTAATTTACCACTTGCATTAAAATGATGTATTACTACTGTATTTCTACAAGCAATGCATCCGTCCGCAAAAAAAGTAGTAGTAGAGAAAAACGTGGAGAAAATAACATAAAAATTTATGCAAAATATTCCGTTACTGCTTCTAGAATTTTCTGATATTGCAGGACAAAAATTGAAGAAGCAGAAAAAAAGGTTTAGTTCAATTGTTCTTGGCTCCAATATTTCAATTGTGCTAACGAACCAAAAGCCACATATTGCCTGTAAGAAAAATAGAAGAAAAAGGGGAGGAGGGTAGAAAAAAGTAAATGAAAATGAAAGACCGTTTCTGAATTGGTAGAAAAAGAATGAAAAGTGCCTGCACGCTATGCAAAAACGTAGAAAAAACAGAATCAGTACGATTAATATGCAGGATTCAGGACACCAATGGATCACAATGGTCTTAATCAAATGAACCGCCATTTTATTCAACAAAATCAACACTGAAAATCAACATGTTGGTGTATAAATTCCAACTTTATGAAATTGGAAACCTACATAAAAAACTCTTGCGGATCAAGCGTTTTCCATGGGTTTTCTTTTGTGCGATAACCCCCCCCCCCCACCATGTAAAGTGAATCAATTTCAAGTTCACCTTATATATTTTTGTTATTTTGCTGTGGTGTTTTCAAGTTTGGTATAGGCTGCGTCATCAAAAAAAACAAAAAGATAAAAATTGATCGGCGTTCTATTTGCATTTCCATGGAAAAAAGACTCTCGGCCCCATGTTCACACGGAACAATGTACAATCGATAATATGCCGAGAGCGGAGGAAGAAGAATAAATATTATAAATTAAACTTGGGCTGTTTATATAATTTTTCTATTTTTACAAATAGAATATTGGCGAGCGCCAATCAAACAACAAACAACATTCAAAAACAAAGTGATGTTATTTCCAAAACTAACTCCTTTCCCTCTCTCTCATCTTTTTTAGTTTAGTCTGTGCGTTGTCAGAAGGACAAGCACGCATAGTGAGTCTCATCGGACATTTAGTCAGGATTGGCTGGAACGATTGGCGCAAAATAAAAAAGTATGTGTGTCTACAAGCCCATAAAAGAACAGAGACGGACAGGGGGGGAAGGGGGCGAGGTGGTTGACAGGGAATTGGTTGTGCGGAGTTTTATATTTACTGAATTTGACAAACCCAATAGTACTCCACTGTATTGAGAGAGAGAGAAAAGCTCGGGTTTATGATTCTAATTTAGAAAACATTTAATTTTATTTTGATCTGAGCGTCGCGACCAAATTAGGTAAAACAAAATTTATTTATTTATTTATTTTGTTGTTTGGTTGCGAAATTTCATAAAGATTGTGTAATTCGCCACTCTTTCAATAACTTTATTATAAATGATCCCAATTACAATTACATTGCAATGTATTAAACAGTCTGTTATGTTGTCCATTAACAATGTATATTAATTGTCAATTGTAGGAGTTGATTTGGCCAAAACGTAAAAGCATTTGGTTTCTGTATATTATTTGTCAGGAAAATTAAAAAAAGTGAATAATGGTTGCAATGGCGTGTACAATTTAACAGTACCCGGTTGGAATAATATAAAACAATAACAATAACAAAAAATGTACAGCAACAGCCTTGAGGTGGATTGCAGGCCAGGTTGTTTTGCGGCAAAAAAGGGGGAGGGGTGTTGGCTTCCAAGCACACAAAATAGAGTTGGAAGACAATGGAAAAGCACGTTGGGACGGAATATGGCGTCTTTTTGGGGCATCCCTCTTTGTTTAACATGTTTTATCTGCCCAAAAATAAAAACAACAGACAAAAAATGACATGGCAAGGATGGGGGTGGGAAATGGAATCTAAAATTATCATTCAGATTAAATCAACAACCTAGTATTAAATCAAAGTTTATCGTTCATCGCTAGAGATTAGCCAGCACACACGCGTGAGGTGGCGTGGGGGCTCGTAAGTATGGGGGGGGGGGAATGAGCGCGAAGAGTGCTTCAAGATTTCATTAATTCAAATTCAAATTCCATTTTATTTTTCTTCTTTTAAATAATTATTTTAATCGCCATCGCAACAGCCTACCAAAAAATACTCCATTTCCTCTCTCTCTTTCATTTATATACTTTTTTTTCTAAATCCAGACGGGAAGAAAAATGAGCAACCACACATCAGCAGCGCCCTCGCAGGACATGCCGCCCAAGGGCGGGTTCTCGTCGATCCGGTACGAGCGGCGTCTTCCCAAGCGCGGACCCAGCGGCGTCGGTATGTTTGCGATTGCCGGAGCAATCATGGGCTACGGGTGGTACAAGCTGTACCAGGGCTTGGACGAGAGACGCGAGCTGGACCGCGAGAAGATCTGGGCGCGCATCCACCTGACACCGATGCTGATTGCCGAGGCAGATCGCGATGAGTACCGCAGAAAGCTTGCGGCGCTGGAGAGGGAGCGCGTTATTATGAAGGATGTCCCTGGATGGGAGGCTGGGAAGAGCGTCTACCATGGCACGCGCTATGTTCCCGATGTCATTGCGAATGTTCCGATCCATCAGCAGCCCGGGTTCAAGAAGGAATAGAGGCCCATTGTGTGGGTGGAGCAGAAGCGCTTTAAAGAAATAAATCAGTTAGAACAAAAAGAGTGAAAGAATGAAAGAACGAAATAGGTTAAAGAAGTGAAAAACGAAAACAAGGAGACGCAACGGGAGATAAAAAACGAAAACAATTACAAAAGGCTGGCTGGCAGGGGGACACCTACAGGACGGCACTGCTGTTGTCCGGGTGGTCCGCAGCATCCATTGCCGCTCTTATGGCAGCGGCAGCGCCGCTCAGTGCGCCCCTCAGGCCGGCGTTCTCCTCAGCCAAGCGCGCATTCAGCACACCCTCCGACTGCAGCAGCACCCGGTACTTTTCCTGCACACTGCCGACCTCCACGTGACTCTCAAACGCCGCCGCCCTCAGCGCCCCCAGCGCCTTCGCCAGCGCCGACTCGTAATCGCGCGCCATCCCCTGCTGCTCCTTCAACGACTGCATCAGCAGCGCAACATCGGCCCTCAACACTTGATTCTCCTCTGCCAGGCGGCCGGCTCGCTCACTCAACGCGCCAACATCCAAGTCAGTCTGCACCGCGCCTCCATGCGCTCGTATACTCCCCCAATGGCGTGTGGAACGCCGATTCTGACCGACCAGAGGACTCTGCTGCAGCCAAAGAAGAAAAAGAAGAGCCGGAGCCATTGGCGCGGTTCACTTGGATCTGTAGTGAGTTGAAGTGCTGCATGAGGTCTTCGGCCGCCTGGCGGTTGCTGTGGTTGAGGTCACCGAGGTTACTCAGCAGGTTGTAGACGGTTATAATGGCTGTTCCTCGGTCAATGTCTTCGGTGTCGGAGGAGTCTGAGGCAGAGTCTGCACTCGGTGCGCTTGCTTCGTCTGGCTCGGCGCTGGCGCTGGCACTGGTACTGACGACACTAGTGTTCGTTCTGGTGCTGGTGCTGGTGCTGGTGCTGGTGCTGGTGCTGGTGCTGGTGGTGCTGGTGTCGCTGGCGAGGCGTGCACGCAGGTCACGCATGGCTTCGTTCTGCGACGACGTCCGATAGTTGCGGAATTTGTAGAGACATCCATGTGAATTTGGGTTTTTGGGATTGGGTTGATAAAAAAATGGAAGAGATGTTTTGGAAAAATAAGAAAAATTAAGGTGTGGAGATATCCTTTACATTTTAAAACCCAAAACAACGGAAAGAGGGAAAGGTGGGCGTTTTTGTTTGTTTTAATTATTTGATTGATTTTTTGGTGAAAGGCAAACAGCTGGATGAGGCTGGATGAAGGGCGCTTGGCTATGGCAGTAGTTGGCTATGGCAGTTGGCAGTTGGCAGTCAGGTGAAGGTGAAGGTGAAGCCGTGTCAATTTACCCCTCATCTCACATTCTTTTTCTCTACTGTCAGCATAATGCATAAATTGGTAGTGGTTTACAGGGGCAGTAATTATGAAAACTGCAATACAATTACAATATGCAGGAAATCGCTTTTCTCCGCATAAAAGCCAGCCAGCCAGCCAGTTGGCCAATTTTCCTGTCTTTTCTCTTTTTGGAGTGGCGACGGAAAAAATATATTTCTTTGGCGCTGCAATTAAATCTTCCTCTTTTGCCTTTTTCCCTTGCACTTACTTTGGCTTTGTTATCTTTTTTTGCTCTTTTATCTTTCAACAATCACCCCCTTTTAAACACTTCTTTTCTTATTTCAAACAGCCCATGCCCGTTTCGTCAACACACGGCTCCCGTCGGAGCCAGCGCAGGTTCTGCGCATCGGCACGCGCGACTCCAAGCTGGCTCTCATCCAAACACACCTGGTCGTCGAACTGATCCAGGCAGCGCACCCGGGGCTGGTAATTGAGGTTGAGACAATGAAGACGATCGGCGACAAGATCCAAGACGTCGCACTGAAAAGTTCGGCGACAAGGGGCTCTTCACCAAGGAGCTGGAGACAGCTCTCGAGGCCAAGGCAATCAACATGATCGTCCATTCCCTCAAGGACATGCCGACGCACCTGCCGCCCAACATGAAAATACTGGCGATCACCGAGCGCGAAGACCCTCGGGACGCCGTCATCATGCACAAGTCCAACCAAGGGCAGCTCCTAGAGGACCTTCCGGAGGGCAGCGTCATCGGCACCGGCAGTGTGCGACGGGTGGCGCAGCTCCGGCGGCTGTACCCGCACCTGCGGTTCGCGGACATCCGCGGCAACTTGACAACACGCATGGCCAAGCTGGACGCTGCAGACTCGCCATTTGCTGCGCTGGTCCTCGCGGTGGCCGGCATGCGGCGGCAAGGCATGGGCGCGCGCATCTCGCAGTCGCTCGACGCCGTGCTGTATGCCGTCGGCCAGGGCGCGCTGGGCATCGAGGTGCTTGAGAACGACACAGACACGCAGGCACTGCTGCACGGATGCCTCGACCACAGGGCTACACGCCTGGCTTGTCTGGCTGAGCGTGAGCTTATGCGGAGGCTTGAGGGCGGGTGCTCGGTGCCGATTGGTGTCACTACGGCGTGGTGTGCAGCGGACGAGCTGCGCCTGTGCGCGGTTGTTGTGTCGCCGATGGCGCTGAGGAGGTGCGCTTGCAGGCGCAGGCCGCTGTGGCTAGCGACGCTGACGCTGAGCGCTTGGGCGCTCGCTTGGCCCAGGATATGTGCGCGGCCGGCGCCAGCCGCATCCTCGCTGCCATCCACCACCCGCCACCGCCGTCGGCCGAGGTGGTTGCGCAGGCGGCAGTAAGAAAGTAGATTCTCAAATCCACATGAGGGGGTCTCTAGGCCAGATAGAGAGAAAGCGGATTTACTCGCAATTTGTTAATCTAATAATTTCTAAAATGAAAAATGAAATCTTGTCTAGTTGCCCGGCTCGTGCTTCCAAAGCTTGAACTGGGGCCAGTCGATCGCATATCTGTCGCTGCTGCATGCCCACGAGGGATCCAGCGGCAACGCGTCCGCTGCAGTCTGCCATTGGCGCGCCTGTTTGGTCAGCAGTGCCTCTTGGCGTGCGGCGCTGCGCTTTTTGCGATCGCGCTTGGCCTTTGACTTTGACTTTGGCGTGAGCTCCTCCTCAGCCTCGTTCTTGTCCTCTGGCCTAGTCGTAGCCTCCTCGGCCTCGGGCTTGTCAGCTACAGCCAGCATGTGGTTGCGGTACGCCAGTGCTTGCGCGCCCGTCACACACAGCGCCGGAGATCGCATTTTGATGATGAGTGCCAGGGCGCCGAGGTTGCGTTCGGCGGCAAGTCTCAGGCCAACACGATCCTGGTTCTCATCAGCATCAGCATCAGCACCAGCACCACCATTACCATTATCGGGGTTTCCACCAGTGGAAAAGCACTTGGCATTTAACGCCTTTAGCGCCTCACCCAGCATCGACACCGCGTGGGAGAACAGCTCACCGACCGGGCACTCATCCAGCTGCGCAGCCATAGCGACCCACCCAGTGAACGACAGTGCCGTCGGCGAGTTAAGCCTCGAAAAGGCACGGAACCTTAGGGCAAAGCGCACAGCCTGGGCTTCCTCAGCCTCCAGCCGACGCCAAGTCTCCAGAGCCTCCGGAGACACCACACGGCGATGCCGCAGATCCACGGCGCACGCACGACGCCTAGGCGCTCCAGCGCGTGAGCTACGAGCCACAGTGCCGTTGACAGGTGCTTCTGCGCCAACACAAGCTGTGTCCAGCGGCTGATCTGCGCGCGGCACTCGGCCTCGGGCACTGCATGCAGTGTCCACTGCGCCGGGCTTGCCCAGCAGAAGCACAAGCCGCCGGCCCTGGCCCACCGTTATCTCTGCCAAGCATCTGCGCCATACGGACAAGGTGCGCGTGGTGCGCCTCGAAGACCTGTGCCGCATAACCCAGCACACAGGGCAGCTCGTGGGCCAGGTAAACGTCCAGGCGGAATCCGCCCATGAGCGCAGCCTCGATCAGCAGCAGCTTCATATGGTACGCCCACGAGCTGAACCAAAACGGGTTGCACCGTGGATCCTCCGCAAGCTCCGGCTTCCCCAGCCGCAGTGCCTGAAACAGGTCAATATCCAGCTGCTCCGCGTCCCCCTGGAGGGCGTCCCACGAGGCCGCGCACTTCGTGGCGATCCGCCGCTGCCTTGGCGCATTCTGGCATAGTGCTCGGAACCAGTCCAGCAGGGAGCGCGCAGCCTCGCGGCAAAACACGTCCACGCGATCATTCGCATCCAGCAGCAGATCGCTCGTAGGGTGTGCCAGCAGCGCCCATACTTGGGGCCCACTGAGCTCTGCCACTGCACGCTTGACGAACGCCGCCAGCGGCTGCCCCAGCAATACGCGGTTATCCGCCGCAAGCACAGATACAAACAGCGACCTTGCAAATGGCAGCGGTGGAGGCTGGCGGTGGGCTACGCCTGCGAACACCCGCATTAGCCGCTCGACGCTCTGGCAGCGCACTAGTGGTGTGATCAGCCGTAGATCGCGGATCAGCTGGGCAAACAGGGTGTGCGACTCTGCCAGCGACAGCAGCGGCCGCGGCTTGACTGGCGCCAGCGTCGGGTACTTGCGCATGCACTTGCGGTCGAAGCACCCGGGCACCGGCACTGGCGCCATGGCCGCATCCCCCACGCCATTGCTGCGCCCTTGGTTCGCAGCAACATGCTCGCTGTGCTGGCGCACCAGCTGATCCAGCAAGCCCGAGCCCTTATCCAGCGCGCCCGGGTCGTCGCTCAGGTGGTCGGCCGACAGGTACACCAGGGCGCGCAGCCACAGTGTGCGGATCTCCACCATTTCCAGCAGCAGCGCTGCCGCATCCCCCTCGCCGCCGACATTGGCCGCGCTGGCGTCGGCCAGATATGTGCTGGCCTCGGTGAGCATCTCCGAGGCCTGGGTCAGCGTCACGTGGTCGAAGAACTCCACCGGCACGCCGCCAAAGTACACGTCCTCCTCGGCAAACACGTTCTCCCTGGCGTACTCCGCCCACACGCGACGGCAGCAGGCAGCAGTGGCAATGACCAATGGGAACAATACCAGGTCGCGCGGCTCCATCCCGGGTTGCCTCGGGGGCAGGTCGCGGGCAGTGAAGTAATTGCACGTTACAGAGTCTGCAGCAGTGAGGCCGAGTTATGCCAGGTCATTTCGCAGCAGAAGAGCCGCTCGGCAATCCACCGCACATCGGCTAGTGTTAATCTGCGGTTTATGTCCCATTGGTTGATTTCTGCCTCGTCCTCCAAGGTTAGCATACCCATGTCTAGCCGGGGATCCATCACTTCGACTGAGGTCATGGCGTCGAAGAGAGTGAGGCTGGAGGGCTTGAGAAGCTCGCCGACATCGAGCTCTTTGGTGGCTTGCGTCACCAGAGAGCTGATGTCCAGCCATGTGTCACCATTACTGTCGCTTATCACCGACTCGTGGCTGTTGCTCTGCTCGAAGTGGTGTGGCTGCGTGGTGCTGTCTATTGTTGTTTGAGGAATGGACATTGTGCTTAGTGAGTCCAATGTGTTTGCCAATGCATCTACCGGCGCCATTTGCCTGTGGAATGAGAAGAGAAAAAAGTGTGTTTATGTTTGGGAATTTTGGGTTTCAAATGTAGAATGTGGTGCTGCTGCTGCTGCTGTTGTTGTTGTGAGAAAGATTACTTACATTTCAAGCCCTGCCCTGCCCTGAACGCATAATCTCACGGTGTGAGAGGCGACGGTTGCATGGTCAGCTTGTTATTTTTGGATGATCAAATGATCAAATATAATTCGAATCAAACACGATCTGATCTGATCCTATATTGATATTTATATTAGTATTAGTTAAAAGGAAGAAAAAATTTTCATTTTCAATCTTTTTTATTTCTTCTCCTTCTCTATCACAGGGGGAGAGAGGTATAAAAGGCACTCTGGAAATTTGTCCACCCTCTCCAGCCTTTGGCTGGCTCTCCCTTTCTCTTTTCTTTTTTTCTGTTTCTTTACATTTTCAGCAAGCGCCTTAGATCGATTGACATTGCCACTATTTCAAAACAACTATACACACTTTAGAACAGCGAACCAAGGAATTGAATATAATAATAAATGGGGACTTTAACATTCTAATTTATATTATGTTTTACTCTTTCAGTACCTATTTTTTAGTGCTAATTTTTGTTTTGTAGGTGGCAAGCCAGCCCTACCAGGCTGTTTCATTGTCATGACTTGAGTCATTCGCCTGCAAGATCAATTATAACCTATATGCCCCTTCCTTCGTTATGCCATGATTTGTAATGTATTTTATGGTCTCAGCGTAAATGAACAAAACTCTACTTGTTTTGTTGGCCAAGTTTGTGTTTCTATAGCTAGATTGCTCGGTTGCGTTTTGCAACTAGGCTCATATTTAGTTTGATTCACACAGGACGCCACTCGTGAGTTCTCCTTTTTGTCATTGTTATTTTTATGATAATGGTGGGAGGGGGATGAGTTGCCGGAGGACCTTTTTGGGGGGCTACATTTTTACTTTCATTATTTTCAACAAAGCGTAAGATTCAGAGTGAAATTCCGAATCTATCATGGCCTGAGGCAACTCCTTAACGGAAAAGCCTTGTTCCTGGGCCAATGTTGCAAAGTTTTGCTCCTGTAGGTTGCGGTGCTTGTAGATGAAGTAACCCACTGTGTGGTTTGTCTGCATGAGCTGGGAGAGCGTGTGTAGGAGCGCTGTGTGCTGTGATGAGAGGTAGAGGATCTCAGAGCCGAACACCACGTCAACAGGCAGCAGATCTGGACTGACCGGGTGGCCCCTATTGAAGAAAGCAGAAAGAAAAATGATGAGAATTAGAAAATTGGAATTGAATTGAATTGAATTGGAGGGGTTTTTTGGCACTCAGAAAGGTTGTGTGGCCCGAGAGATTGCATTGGCGCATGGAAAAAATAACTTACCAAACGAGCTCACGCACCTCAACCTCAACCTCAGCTTCGGCTTCGGGCTTCGGCTTCAGCCTCAGGTTTACTCGCCGTGTGCTGGTTCCAACGCTGTTCAGGCCGACATTCGTGCGGATAAAATCCAAATATTCCGGCATGTCCGTCGCCACCACACGCGCAGCACCCGCCAGCCGGGCGACAATCGACACCAGCGCGCCTCCAGCGCCCAGCTCCACACAGCGCTTGCCGCGCAGATGCAGGCGCGCATACAGGAACTTTGCCAGAATATACGCGCCATCCCAAACCAAAAAGCCGGTGTTTTGCTGGAGGCTAATTTCCCTGTGCGGCTGCTGCTGCATCACGACAGTGTGGGCGCCAAAGACGAAAAGCCTTTCGTGCTCGCGCTGCTTGAGGCTGTACGGACTACGGTACTGCCACTTGACAAGCTCCATTTTCTTCTTCTAATTTAGTATTTAATTAATAGTACAACAACTACAGAGAAAGAAAAACGTTTTTTTTTTAAATTTTCCAAAAAATAATTTGGTCAGTCGTCTTTCACGCGGATCACAATTTTGCCGGTTGCGTGGCCGGCCCTCAGCTCCGCAAACGCGTCCTGCACGCCCTTTTCAGTGAACGGATACTCGGTGACGACAACCTTCAGGCGGCCGTCCTCCAGAAGCGGATTGAACGAGTCCTCCAGATCGCAGCCATCCGGTACCACGGACGCATACAGATACTCGACTTGTTTCGCGCGAAACCCCCTGGTCAAATACCAAGCGACGCACGCCACAATGCACTTCAGCGCCAGCAGCCTCAGCCACTGCCACAGGGACAGCGGCACACCCGGCTGCTTAAAATCGTCAATCGCCCGCGCATCCGGCACCATCGCCACAGAAACAACGCGGCCACCAGAACGCGCCACCTTGTACGCCGCAGAGTCACCAATAGTGTCCAAAACGACATCCGCTTATCCTCCAGTACCTCCGTGTAGTCGCACCCAGTGTACTCCACCACGGCAACGCCTTGGGGAGCAATTCCTTTGCCTTGCGCGCCTTGTCCGCGGACACCGTCACGGTAAGTCTGTAACGCCAAAGTGCAGCTGCGCCAGCTGCACGGCGAACAAGCCGACGCCGCCCATGCCGCCGCTGACCACCAGCCGGTCGCCAGCCTGCAACCGCGCACGCACCAATGCTTGCTTCGCCGCTAGCCCAGCCACCGGCACCGCGGCAGCAGCGACAAACCGCACTGTATCCGGTATCCGCGCGAGATTCTCCTCCTCCGTCACGGCGAATTCTGCCACGGTGCCGGCTTGCTCGTTGCGCACCCGGCCGTAGACGCGGTCGCCTGGGGAAAAGCGCCGGACGCCCGAGCCGATTGCTGTGACGGTGCCGGCGAGATCGTAGCCGAGCTGTAATGGGAATGGCTCGGGCAGTGGGATCGCCAGCATGCCCTCGGCGCGCTTGCTGTCTAAGGGATTAATCGACGCTGCGTGCACTTGGACAAGCACCTGGAGCGCCGTGGGCGATGAGGCTGTGGGCGCGAGACGATGGTGTAGTCTGACGGGTTGTCCGTATAGTGGTTGACGACAGCAACGCTGTGCATTTGAGTCATTCTAAATGAGAAAAAGAAACGAAATTTATAAATACAAAGGATAATAATAAAAACAAAAGATAAAGAGAAAAGGGGGGAAGGAATTTCAAGTGCAGATTTCAACACAGTGGCTTTTCGCCAGGTTTCTCGTCCGAGTATATGCGCGACGCATACACTGTGGCGCACGGCGACTCTGGAGGCGTCATCATCACCGGGCCCACAATCTCACAGCGTCCTTGGTGACGCCCTCCGCAGCCGCAGCCGCAGCCGCAAAGTAAATTTCTAGCAGATCCACAGCCAACCACGGATGCGCCAGTGCCCGCTCGGCGGTTAATCTTGCCTCCGGGTCGACGGCCAGCAATGCGCGAACAAAGCCCCGGGCCGTGGCAGATACCCAGGGACTGGAGCACCATGCATTCTCCAGCAGCGCATCGACAGCCTGCTGGCTCGCAATCAGCTCCGGGCGCACCCGGCTGTGGTGGAACGGGTTGGACCCAGAGAGCATGAAGCAGGCAACAACCCCGAGCGCCCACAGATCCACGCCCACCGCGTATCCGCGCCGAAGGACCATTTCAGGAGCCATATACCCGGGTGTCCCACACACCGACGTCATCGGCCCCAAATCCGGATCAAAGCTCCGGGCCATTCCGAAATCCGCAATCGCCACAGACCCATCGCTGCGCACCAGGCAGTTCTCTGGCTTCAAATCCCTATGCACCACCCCGGCGCCGTGCATCACCACGAGGCCCTCTGCCAGCTGGCGCACGACGCGTATACACTCTATTTCATTGCGGCCGCGCATATACCGCAGGAGCTCACCGCCGGAGCACAGCTCGGTGATGATGTAGACGCTGTGGGGAGTTTCAAAGTAGTCGTGGCAGCGGAGGAGGGGGCGCGCGGGTGGGAGGAGAAGCTGGGTGCGGAGCTCGTTGCTTATGGATCGGAGGTTGGTGTGTGCACGCTTGTTGATTATTTTGCCTGCGTAGGTGCGGCCGCTGGCAATGTGCTGCATTTCCTTGACTACCGCGTAGGTTCCGGTGCCGAGGATGGCGCCGCTTCGGTATTTGCACGGCACGGTTGTGCGCAAGTGCAGCTGTGGGGATATGCTGGTGGAATGTGTGATTATGTCAGCCATTTGTTATTATTAATATAAAAGGTTTAATGTACAAGATGAAAAATAAGAGCCAAGTTAATGAGTAAAGAAATAAAATAAAAATAAAATAAAAATAGAATGTTTTTTGTTCTTGTTGTTCTTGGGGTTTGTGGACTTTGGTCTTTGGTGCGTTATTTTAAACTTTATATGAAAACTTCCTGTTTGTTCCACAGCAAAAAAAACAAAAAACAAAGCACAAGAACACAAGAACACAAGAATAAGATAACGACTGATGACAAAATATTTACCACTTATTTATTTTATCTTATGCTTTTTATATTTTTAGTTTCTTGGCTTTTTCATGCTTGGCTTTTTCGTGCTTGGCTCTTTGTGCTTGGCTGACAGAACCCCGAATTAAAAAATAAAAAAGCCCGCTGTTTTGTTTTGCTTCTTTTTCCATTGTTGCTTACTGTATTGTATTACATCAAGCGATGGGAAATAGAAGAATCACGCTATCAACTCGCTGTTATCGCGCAATTATTCTTATAAATATAAATGTAAAAAAAAAAAAAAAAAGATTCGTATCGGATGCTTTTTTTAAAGAGTGGCGATATTATAAAAAATATTGTCCAAGTAAGGGATGAGAAACTTCTAGGTCCAACATTTCGGGAAATCCCAACCCAACCAAGGAAATACCGCCTGGGCTATCTAATCAACCATCAAGAGAACTCAACTCAACTCAACTCAATCAAAACCCAACCCAGTCCTTTTGAACACGAACAATTTAATTGGATGATAACACCCATCGAGTTTTCCTCCTTTTTTTTGCTGCGCTCAAAAAAAAGGATGGTTTTTAGCTTGGCGTGGGATACCCAACCCAAATACACAATCTCGGCCCAACAATTTTTCAGTTCTTGTGATAAGTAAAGCTTTTCTGTTCCGTATCATTAGCGAGCCGATTGCGATTGCGGTTGCGGGCTGGCTGAAAAATGGTCCGATCGGAATTAATGTCCATTCCGCGCGAAAAAGAAAAAAAACACCAGATTTTTATTTTTCGATAACATCAGGTTTTTATTTTATTTTCACATGCTTTTTTTGAGTTTGTAAAAAATAAAATAAAATAAAAATCGAACGGAGTTTCCGCGCACCCATCAGAAAACCCCACTGGAAAATTTTCCACTCTGCCAAGCCTGCAGGACGTTTTCTGCTGCTTTTTTTCCAACCAGCCTTGGCGATAATAATCAAAAGTGATCGAGAGTGATTAAACTTTGTTTTCTGTGATCAAATCAACTGATTGGTTTTTATTCCTTTTAAAAGCACATTGCCCTTTGTGACGCAAGCACACCAAAACAACCCCCCTCTGTACGCTTTGTTTCTTCTCACTTTAACCAATTCGCATTTTTTACTATTTTTTATATTCAACAACCCAATTCACAGCCAAAAACAACAAGTTATAATGGTAGGAACAGTGAGCATGGTCCTTTTTTTTTTTTAAAAAAAACCACTTTCTTTTTATTGAATTCGACTAAAAAGAAAAGCTAATTCCCTCTTTAATTACAATTGCATTTGCAATTGCATTTGCAATTTGTAGTACGCAGACGACGACAGCGACGACTACAGCTTCGAGACATTTGGCGGCGGCGGCGGCGCTTTCAGCGCCTTTGGGCCCATGCGCGGCTACAACGTGCGCCAGTCACGTAACCAGCGGCAGTTCACGCAGTTCTACAGTGCCTACCCAATAGCAGCCCACATGGACAACAAAGCGGACGCCAACCACGGGGGGAAAATCTTCATGCCGCCCTCCGCCCTTGAAGAAATCAGCCAACTCGAAGTAGTCTACCCACTACTCTTTAAGCTGCAAACAGACCACACGGGCGAGCACAAACGCACCCACTGCGGCGTCCTAGAGTTCACAGCAGAGGAGGGCCGGGTGTACTTGCCACAGTGGATGATGGCCACTTTGGGCTTGCAGCCGGGCGCCGCCGTGGAGGTTATCAATGTGGCGCTTTTGCATGGGTCGTTGGTGAAACTGCAGCCGCAGTCGGTAGATTTTTTGGATATCAGTGATCATCGCGCCGTTCTGGAGAATGCCCTAAGGAGGTTTTCGGCACTTACCGTGGGTGATATTATTTCCTTCGAGTACAATGCCAAAGAGTACCAAATCGCCGTCATCGAGACTCAGCCTTCGCCCTCCGCCATCAATATTGTCGAGACCGACCTCAGCGTGGACTTTGCGCCTCCCATCGGATACATTGAGCCCACCAGGGCCGGGTCATCATCCGCCGGCAGCGTAATAAAGGACGGCAAGGGCGGCAGCAGTATGGCGCGGGATATTAAGATCAAGGAGGAGAAGCCAAGGAGAAAGGGAGAATAGCCGGTTTGCGGCCTTCAGAGGCACTGGAAGTAGGCTGAAGGGGGGCGAGGAGAATTCGGGCGCAAAGTCGTATGCTGGCGATGTGCAGGCTGAGAAGGTTGATACGGACGATGGGGCTGGGGAACCGGTGCCGTTGGATTTGCCGCTTGGGACTTTATTCTTTGGGTACCCTGCGGTACTGCCTCCAGGTGCTGAAAATAAGGATGATGCAAAGGATGATGCTGGAAATAAATTCCATGGGTCTGGTCAGGTGCTGCGTCAGCGCCGCAAGCGCTAATTTTGTTGTTGTTGAATTTTTTATGATTTAAACAATGTTTGTTAAATAAAAAATTTTAGATGCAAAATGACTAGCTTGGGATAATCCTTCCTGCATATAATAAATGCTAGTTGACATCATATGTATTTGCAATATGTTATATGTATACATCATGTATACATTTCAGACAAAATGTTATTGTTTGATGCACAATTGCGACATTAATTTTATAAATTATATTTTGGAAAAAAAAAACTTGCTTTAAGATGCCGCCACTTTTATCTATTACTCTTCCTTTTTTCACGTTCATCTGCATTGGACTACTTGTTCGGAAACACACCTATTTTTTCATCTGCCCCGAATATTCCATTGAAAAATATTAATGTACAATTACGAAATATAACATCTACGACCAACCGATGTCGACAAACTACGCACATGCACCTTCTTTTATTCATATGTGTGATGGAGTTCCCAAATACCACTAAAGTGCGTCGATCTATGTGCTTGTAGTGGAAAAAAAGAAATAAGAATACGGCGAAAGAATTCCATTATCAGGTTTTTGTATCCAGTGGGCGCATAGCCACTGTGGGTTTTTAAACATTGGGTACACGTGGACAGAGATATTGGCTCACTCGACATAAAAAAATTCCACTATATGCATGCACGATCAGATGCCCAATAAAGATGATCCGGCAATAAAAAAAAGGAAAGAAAAAAATGCTATGCAAGATGGAGTTTTGCCTATTGTCTGTTGGCTTTTATGCCCAAATTAGTCTTTTTCGCACTTTATTTTGTGCATATTATTGAGAACCACCAATGGGGTGAGAGAAACCAACCACGACTAACTGAATATAACCTGCGATTGGATATTTTAAAAGGCGGATTTCAGCCCGTGAGACAAAACTTTTTTACATATCAATTCAGGTTTGCGTAGTCCCGATTGAGCAAAAAGAACAAAAATAAAGTGTTGGATAATTTTTTATTTTAGATATCAATTTTTTTGCTTTTTGTAGTGAAGATAAAAAATTATGAACTCGGGCTGACTGTGTCCCACCTTCGGCACTATCAACTCTATAATTTTTTTATCCCTCCTTCCCCCCCTCCTCCACCAGTAAAATGTCCGAAGTTGACATTCACCCACCCATTCGCCCCCCCCCCTCCCTCCCTCTTTGTGTCAATTTGCAGGCTGATTGACTGAAAAAAGCACTGGTAGAAAATAATAGTTCAGTTGCTTTTCCTTGCACTACCTCACATTAACTTCCCCCTCTGGGCGCAATGCTGGCGCGGGGAGAGAGGGGAGGTGGTGGTCATTTTGAGCGTACAGAAAAATGAGCAGTCAAGTTTTTTTTATACTCCCGGGCCATTTACCTCCGCTCTCCAAACATATATAAACCAACCGTAGTGCACTGCGGGGTAATACAAAAAAGAATATAGAACGTGTGTCTTGTCCAATTTTCCTTCCTTTTAGCAATTCCTTTGCACTACTTTCTTCATTCTTTTATTTTGTTCTACATTGGAACAATAGTTTAATCATATTTTTAACTTGTATTTTATTCCATTGACATCGCCATTGTTCAAGAACAAAAGCTAGTTTTCCATTCGATTCTTCATATTTATTGCCCGTGTCTGTACGGCTATTTATATTCTAAAGGCCCGTGTCCTCAAGAAGCGCTTCGTTACTTCTCACTAGCTGTCCGTCAATTTTACATCCTCCACATTTTTTTGTTTTATATTTCTCTTAAACTTTCCTTTTCTTTTTTTTATACTTTTTTCTTCTTTTCACGCACACAAATGGGCTTTCAAAACACAAACAGCGGGTCGGATATTGTCGAGATAGAGAAGCCGCAGTACCAGCCTGACTGGACATCGATGAGCGGGATCGAGATCTCCTGCGCCGCCAGCAGGAACTCGAGGAACTCGACGGTGAGACAAAACTCAATTGGGAGATGATCAAGAACTGACAGTCTGCGGCGTAGCCTTCCTTAACGACGCCTACGATATGTTTGCCATTAACATTGTTGCGATGATCTTGGGTTTCGTGTACTACCATGACGTCGAGGGCAACGAGCAGAACACAGTGCCCAAGAAGTGGGATACTCTGATTAAGATGCTGTTCAGATCGGTTGTCTGCTCGGCCAGCTGGTCATGGGCCGCCTGGGCGACAAGATTGGACGGACAACAGTGTATCGGCTAGCCTTATGATCGCCATCATAACGACCATCGCTTCGGCGTTCTCCAGCAACATGGTCAAGGGCTTCAACGTCTTCATCGTTCTCTTCATCTGGCGCGTACTCCTTGGATTCGGCATTGGAGGCGATTACCCCTGACCGCAACGATTGTCTCCGAGTACTCGAGCGTGCATAACCGCGGCAAAATGATCTCCGCGGTATTCTCATGCCAGGGCTTCGGAAATGTTCTAGCCCCGATCGTGGGCATTATCGTCACAGCGTGTTTCAAAAACAGCATTGACCGCGATGTCGAGTATCTGGACTACGTCTGGCGCATTATTATCGGTATCGGGTGTGTTCCTGGCGTGGCCACTTTGTACTGGCGTCTGACTATGGAGGATTCTAAGCGCTTCCAGCTGGAGACTGCCAAGGCTGCTGCCGCCAATGCGGACGAGGAAATGCAGACAGAGAAGCTCCTGGCTAAGCGGCAATTCAACGAGAACGGAGATTACGAATCTCATGTCGAGACCCCCGACGAGCTGCAAGAACGGGCGTCCCCTGCTACGGTGAGCAAGGTTCGTCGTGCGAATCATTTGGGCAGTACTTTGGTGAGTGGAACACATGAAGGTTCTTCTGGGCACATCAATCGCGTGGTTTGCTCTTGACGTGCATTCTACGGCATCAACCTCAACAGCTCCATTGTTATTGACGCCATTGGGTTCGCCGGCGACATCCACAATGACAAGCCCTCAAAGTTCATTATCCGGAATTGTCTCGGCAACATTATCATCAATATTCTCGGATCCGTTCCTGGATACTGGATTGCCGTATTCACGATTGAAAAGATGGGCCGCAAGACCATGCAGCTAATGGGCTTTGGCGCGCTCACCGTTCTCTATATTGTTATCGGCTTCGCCTACCACCAGATTCTCGACAGATCCGTCGCTGGCTTCATCGTCCTATTCACTCTCGCGCAGCTGTTCCAAAACTTTGGCCCCAACGTCACTACTTTTGTCATCCCCGGTGAAGTGTTTCCTACGAGGTTCCGCTCGACCGCTCATGGAATTGCTGCGGCTTCGGGTAAGCTTGGAGCTATTATCGCGCAGGGCGGGTTCATGCAGTTGAAGGATCGTGGAGGAAAGAATGAGTTTATTGATAGGTTGATTCAGATCTTTGCGCTGTTCATGTTGCTTGGGTTTGCTGTCACTTTCTGGATCCCGGAGACTAAGGGCAAGACTCTTGAGGAAATTTGCGACGAAAGCGAGGAGTACTACTGAGTTTATAATCGTCTAGTTTATTCATTATGTAAAAAATAATAAAAATACAATATCTATTTTTTTATTTTTGACTGACATTCTAGCAGAGTTTTTTTGCAATTATGATGACTGGTTACAGAGTTTCATACTTTGTTTGTTCATCATTTTCTATCACATATGCGCCAGTATGCTTCTTACGTTCCTTGTCGGTAAAATCGGTTTTACTCATGGTAATAACAACGAGGCCATTTGCGGATGCGGGGTATTCCAGGATACTTTTTTATTGCCGGATAATTCAACTATAACGACGCACTCGCTCTTCATATATTTGTAGATTTCAATAGCCAAAGCCATTACGGTGATCTTTTGAGGAAGTTTAATTACTTTAAACTCAGTAGCTATATACTCACAAAACCATCCCTGTTTGACTGTAGCGTAGCGATAGGTGTGTATTGCCATGTCAATTGATGCGTTGTAGTATATAATTTTTTTTAAAAAAATTTATAATAAAGAGTGAATTATTGGAATGCAATGAGAAAATAAAATATAGAGTGGAGAGGGGAGGATAAACATTCAACTTTATATACTACTTTTTTTATCATTTCAGCTCAAGCAATATTGGTCTAATAGGCAATTAAATAAAAAAACACGACTTTATCATTTATGTTTTGAAAACACAGGGTGTACCATTGGGGGAGATTTATAAAGACCGCAGTCTAATAGTTAATGTGAAGGAATACTCACTCAACTTGGTCAAATATTCATTCTAGTAAAAAATGGGTTGGTGTTATTTTGGTTGACATACGTCATTTGAGCTAGTCTTTGTAAAATAGAAATGATGTAGTTGCGTCACTTTATTTTCTATTATTTATTTCGCTTATTTTATATAGGTGTTGTGGGGGTGGGGGGGGGGCACAAGTGGGTGCGCAGCAAGGAAACCACTTGATTTTCTCTCTCACAAGTAGATACGCAGCCATTTTTATTCCAAAATGGACAACACCAACACCAACCCTAACCAAACCAAACCTAACAAATACTTTTTAAAAATTGATTGGTGAGAATAATAACAGGATATGCTTTGCTTTTTAAAACTATATTCAACTAAAAAAAGTGGAAAACTTAAAATAAATGGCTGTAAAAGTATACGTTGCAATTAAGACAATACAAATTATTTGTCAAGTGCTTTAATGTACTCCTTGATAACGATACATGGACATAACTAGGCTGTAATATAGCTTGCCATATTTTTTTCCCCGTACACTGCTTAGTCATCTTTTTCTATAATATATGCGCCAACATATTTCTTACGCTCCTTGTCTATAAAAAGCTCTTTTTTATCACAATAAAATACAGATTTTCTTCAGATGCCTTTGTGTATTCAGTTATTGTTTTTCTATCTCCTGACTTAACTATAATAACACACTGTTTATTGTTCTGCTTGTGTATATTTCAACTGCCATACCCTTAACTGAGGCATTTGGGGGCATGTCAATTTCTTTCCAAGCGATTTTTGCCTGCCTCATAAAACCCCAGGTTTAGCGGTTATAGAATGGTACCAAAAAATAGTTATTTTTGATAATGAGCTGTCAAATAAAAGAAATTAGATAACAGAAAATAAAATGGCAACCCGTTTTCTCATCTAAATAATTATACTTCCATTGCTAAAGCTGATACAAAAACAACGGTTAATAAAGTAGGAAAAATATGAATGGCCCGCTTGCCAGTATGACTGAAAGTTCCAACTTTGCACAATGAAAAATGTGGAGTGGTGAAATAGTCATTTTTCTATTTTTTTGTCTGTCTAAAAATATAATTACTCCTTTTTTGAGGAAGGGTAAACAATTTGGTTTTAGCACCTAAAGCATGAAGTTTCTCGACATTCCCTGAATTAAAAAATGAATTTTCCATTGAACAATTCCATAGTGATTCTGTAGAGCGATTCCATACACAATTTCGGGGGTTCAAATATTTTAGATTGGGGTTTTGGGGTTTTATTTATTGGAAAGTACTATAAAATGGCTGGTATTCAGCGCGCCCTGTACCCACGCCTATTCTTCAGCACCATTGCAGACTGAAAATAACAAGGAATTGGGATGCTGGCTTTTTTTAGCCCTTTAGACACTCAGTCCGGTACTGGGGCCGGTGCCGGTGCTTGCTCTTGCTCGCGGCTTGTTTGTTTTCTTGTCTTGTTTTGTGTCCTGACTTAACTGAGAGGCGGCGGCAGTTACAGAAAGATACAAAGGAGCATAAATCAAAAGAAATCAAATTGAGTACTTGTTTTTGCTCTTGCTTTTGGCTGTTTGCTGGTGGTATTGTCTTTGTATTAAAAAGCACAATTATACTAATTATTTAATGATTACTCCCACATATTTTCTATGATAAAATGTTTACTTAAAAAAGGAAGAAAGGCAGGAATTTGGAAAAGGCGCTGAATCTGAGCTAGCAGCTATTTGAAAATGTTAATTTATTAGCATCTTTTGACAAAATAGATAATTCTGGATGTATTGATTAAACCACTAACTGCAATAAATGCAAACAAAAAACAAAAAATGTTAGTTTGTTAACCTCAGTTACAAGTTAAAACATATACAAACTAAATATAAATAGTTGCTAGAGTGTAAACACAAATATTTGCTAAATAGCAACACCAATATTTTAATTTATCAATTATTATGCTGCTTATTCACGTTTATATAAACCATCTGAAGTATATCTTACGCACGCGTCGGCATACCTTTCTTTTAATTTATTTGTGTACTCATCTTTATGAATAACAACTACCACTAGATCATTTGGAAACGCGGATAATTTTAATGATTGCTTGTAATTAACTTTGGTCTTGACAATAACAACGTATTTTTGGTTTTCATTATCATAAATAGCCTTAGCCATGCCCGCAAGGCTGAATTAAGAGGAATTGAAACAGATTTATTAATTAAGGAATTGGAGCCCTTTTTTTTAACTAAATATTGGAAATCTGGCATTGTTGTCAAAGTATTGAATATAAGCTTTAAAAATATATTGTTAATGCAAAAGGTCGAGGTGGTGGTTGGTAAAATAAAATAAAACAAAAAAGTACTGCCCCAACTCTGCTTTTTATACCTCTCATAATAAAGAGCGCAAATATATTGTTCAAGTGTACAGTCAAGCAACCAAGTAAAGCTCAGAATTTATTACCTGCTTGACTGGACACTCAAGCATTATGTTTGTTTTATCTTCTTGCACCTACCATAAAACCAAAGTTTGAAATAGAAGCAAGTTATAAATAGAGCAACAAGGCCACATGCTTAGTGTACTGGCGGCTTTCTACACAAATGGCAGACACCCTATTTATTGGCAAAAACTCAAATGACGGCTAAAATGAGCAGCGATTTTGTCCTTATTTTTTTAAAGCTTGACGTTTTTAAAAAATACAAAGGCAGGTCACTCCATTTTCTATTTCTATTTTTATTTTTGCGTCACATTAGCATAAAATAGTGTTTGGCATGACTGCAGCGAAAAAATGAGCACGAGTTGTTCAAAAACATGCAAAAAGTATACCATGGCGAGTCATTGTGAATTATTTAAAAGCATGTGGACTGTATCTAGGTTTAACAAAGCACTCGAGTGTGTAAGCTTCCGTTTCTTTAGAAGGCTTAGTTTTATTTATAAATATTTTGTATTTCTCGTACATAAAATTTAAAAATAAAACTAGATGCGAGTAAAACAAAACAACACGGGTACAGCGCACAATGTAACGCTCTAGAAAAATGTGGGTCTAAACTGATAGATTTTTATATATCAAGGATTACTTAAGGAATTACATAAGGGGACATCAGTGTGTGGGCAGTGCTGTGAATATAATGTTGTTCCTTGATGTCGGCCAGAAATAACAGAAATGTGTATAGCAGCCATGAGGGCAATCTTGATGCTTGAAAAAGAAGGTAGTGGCTTGGAATGTGTGTTGGGCACCACACACAATGCTAAAGATGTGAAATGAATTGGTCAGAGGTTTGTAATTCTGTGGTTTTTTTTGCTCAGTATAATTTGGGTGTTTGGCTGACAAAAGCAAGAATAATGTCGCCACTGTTAAGCATAATAATTATGTGCTACCAATAAGGTATTTAAAGTTAACAAAATTTATATTTATTAATTTTTAGCATATATGGTAAAGACCTCGTTTTCCTGAGGTATAAAATCAGTTTTACTATAATGTCCTTCAGGCATGACGATGACAATCATAGAAGATAAAATAATTGTGTCTTTTGACAGTTTTTTTTGCCTTTAAATTGCACAAGAACAGCGCATCCGTAATTAACTGATTTGTGAACAGCGTCGGTCAACTCCCCTACATTACACGTTTCGGATATTTCAACGGTGCCTTGGTCAAAACGTTTAGAATCTCTGCGGTTAACCTTGTAGTTGATTGTCACCATTTTTAAAGCGTTGGAATTTTTATATAAGTAATGAATATAAAACTAGTGAATGAAAATAACTATCTGGAAAAGATGAGGATTAGGTTGAGCAGGGGCCACCCACATCATCATTTTATACCCATTCTGCAATTGAAACTAACGGATAATTTCACAGCACAAATAAGTGAGCAGGAAATTCACTTGCTTTTGGTTGACTGCACATGCAGTCATTTCTCGTTTACTTCTGTTTTGCCTTTGCACCTCGATTTTTGTACTAATGCTTGTCTTTATATAAAATAACAAACGAAAATAAATGATTTTTGACAAACTACTTTTTAGCTTTATAATTTGTACTGTCTTACATCTCATACTTTAAAAGCGGCTTTGACGGTTGTAAAAAAATAAAGTTTAAATTGCAACTGGTACTGCGCCAGATAAAGTATGATTAACTCATTGAATAATGATTTAATCACAGTTGGTAACCTCTGGGGAGGCCACGCATGCGCATTGTAAAGTGGCTGATTAAGCGTATGTATTATCGTAACTAATAATTCTTATTTTCTCAACTATTTTATTTTCATGCAAGCGAATGTTCCCTGCTTGGTGTGAAGTTAGATCAGGGGCTGGAATGGTGCGCGTGTGTGTGGAGGGAGAGGAGCATCATTTTGCATCATTTTGTCTGGATTTTACAACTTTTCTTTTGTTCATTTGCTTAAGTTGTATAGAGGCTGGCCCAGCCCCACCCTCGGATTGCAATTGTATATTTTAAAATTAAAATTTTATTTTCTAGAAAAAACACACTCATATTCACACTCGCCCCCTTTTTCATTTTATATCACAACATAAATTTAGTAACCCCCCAAAAATTTTATTAACAAGGTATATATATTTTTTTATCCCCGTCATGTCGACCGGTGTGCTACCCACATCCATGGTTCCCGAAATCCAAGCGGAATGGCAGGTCTCAGAGCCGCCAAGTATCTCCTCCGGCATACTCTCCGAAGACAAAAAGAACGAAAACGCAATCACCACTGATAACATCGAAGCCGACCAAGACTTATTGCAGCGCCAGTATGAGCTTTCTCAACTCGACCACACATCAAAAGCAAACTGGGACAAGATAAAAAAGCTGACCGTCTGCGGCATTGCCTTCCTCAACGACGCCTACGATATGTTTGCCATTAACATTGTTGCGATGATCTTGGGTTTCGTGTACTACAATGACGCCGTGGGCAGCGAGAAGAAACAGTGCCCAAGAAGTGGGATACTCTGATTAAGATCGCTGTTCAGATCGGTTGTCTGCTCGGCCAGCTGGTCATGGGCCGCCTGGGCGACAAGGTTGGACGGACAACAGTATACGCGGCTAGCCTTATGATCGCCATCATAACGACCGTCGCTTCAGCGTTCTCCAGCACCATGGTCAGGGGCTTCAATGTCTTCATCGTTCTCTTCATCTGGCGCGTACTCCTTGGATTGGCATTGGAGGCGATTACCCCTTGACCGCAACGATTGTCTCCGAGCACTCGAGCGTGCATAACCGCGGCAAAATGATGGCAGCAGTATTTGCCTTCCAAGGCTTTGGCAACGTCCTCGCCCCGATCATCTCCATCATTGTCACCGCATGTTTCCTCCAAAGCATTAACCGCGATGTCATGTACCTAGACTACGTCTGGCGCATTATCATTGGCGTCGGCTGTATTCCTGGCGTGGCCACTTTGTACTGGCGCCTGACTATGAAGGAATCGGACCGTTTCCAGCGCTTAAACAACAACGATTCGGCGCCAGTTTGATAACCGCAGGCTCTGAGAATGAAAAACTGCTTGTTTCACCAGAGGATGCAAACGAAGCTGCGGAAAGTCCCTCATTTGCAGAGCAGGGTATTGGCCAAACCTTGTCTGCATCTTTAGCCCTAGAGGAAGCTAGAAGACCGCGGCAGCTCAAGTCGTTTGGGCAGTACTTTGGTGAGTGGAAACACATGAAGGTTCTTCTGGGCACATCAATCGCATGGTTTGCTCTTGACGTTGCGTTCTACGGCATCAACCTCAACAGCTCCATTGTCATTGGCGCCATTGGGTTTGCCGGGAACATATCCACAGACAAACCGTCAAAGTTCATTATCCGGAATTGTCTCGGCAACATTATCATCAATATCTCGGATCCGTGCCTGGATACTGGATCTCTGTATTCACCATAGAGAGAATTGGACGGAAAAAAATCCAGTTGATTGGATTTGGTGCACTCACTATTCTCTACCTCATCCTTGGATTCGGATACCACCAAATCCTGGGCAAATCATCTGGAGCGTTCATCTTTCTTTTTTCACTTGCGCAGCTGTTCCAAAACTTTGGCCCCAACGTCACTACTTTTGTCATCCCCGGTGAAGTGTTTCCTACGAGGTTCCGCTCGACTGCTCATGGAATTGCTGCGGCTTCGGGTAAGCTTGGAGCTATTGTCGCGCAGGGCGGGTTCTTGCAACTCACGGATATTGGCGGCAAAAACGCGTGGATTAACCGGCTGCTGCAGATCTTTGGGTTGTTCATGATGATTGGATTCGTTGTCACTTTCTGGATTCCAGAGACTAAAGGCAAAACTCTCGAAGAAATATGCGACGAGAGCGAGGAATATATTTAACCATATGTACTTAATTACCTCTATTTTTATCACAAATTTCAAATATTTTCTTTTGCTATAATTTCAAAGTGGGTTTTTTTCAGATTGATATTTATTATTCGTTAATTCATGATTAAAGGTAGGAGCTTTGTGTAAAAATGTGGTAGTAGTCAAAAAATGGAAGGTTGTGGTGTGGGAAATGGTGTTATCGAGAGACAGGAAGGGGTCAAATCGGCTGCAAATAGTCAGATTGCTGGAAGACAAGGAGCTGGCGTGTGTAGGGAAGATTGGGCGGTTTGTCGTGCGGTGTGAGATTGGTGAGAAAGATATGTGAATGAAAGAGGAGTGCCAAGCTGAGTGCGAGTAATGAAATGTTTAGGTGTGCGAAATAAAAAAGGGAGGGATTTCAGGAAAAGGGCGAATTAGGAAGTAGATTGGACGAAAATGCGTATAAATTGGAGGCTGGGGCTGAGGGTGAAGCGATATGGCTAATGGAAGAATTTGAGAAGCGGTAGAGAGACGAGAAAGAAAAAGGGAAAATGAAAGTGTAGACTATCTCTTTTATACTCTAGAGTCATTTATTTTTTAATGTTCTCCAGTTTTTATTATGCGTACATTGTAATTGTGCATAGGCATTTTCCAAAAATAAAAATGTGCACATGTCGCAGCAACATCTGATATCATGAACAATGGAAAAGTAATAATTGTATAAAAACAACGTGATGAAAATAATGCACAGATGACACTTTGACATGTGATATGCGTCCATCATCCAAACAACGCGCGTTTTGGCTGGCATTGTAAAATCGGTGTGAAGACGTGGCTTTTTAAAAGTAAAACCTTATTACATCTCTTAAGCCCACTCAATCTCCACTGCCACTCGCTCATTCACTCATTCGTTTATTCGCACGGGCCACAGGATGGCTGTTGATTTTTTGATTACTGGCAAATATACTGTGCAAAATTGAACAAGTAAAAATAAAAAACTGAACTGAGATTTAAGTACGCTGGGATTTTATTTTTGTGAATTTTATTTGGCACCAATATCATTTTTATGCAGGATGTGCTTGCACTCGCATATGATTTCCACAGCATTACGTTCTCATGAGGGTGTACATTTATGCCAGCAGTCGTGTGTAAGCAACTAATTTAACAAGGTCACTCGAACTTTTCTTTTGGATAATATGCGTGCATGTCTGCGAGGTGCAGTGTTTATTCTTGCCATTTTCTTTTTTGTCACTATTACACACCCATTTTCATTTGCATACTACTCGGCCTTGAGCAAGATAAAATCATTCAGGTGGCTCCTGCAGCTTAACCATTAAAACGAAAAAACATGGGAAATAATTTAATTTATTTAAGGATAAAATAATATAATACAGAGAATAAAAATAAAGGTTAAGAAAAAGGAACAAGAAGCAAAAGACTGTAGGCTTATGGTTGATCAAGAGTCAGCGGCCCATTTGATTGTTGTCGGGGGCATTGGTTCGGTACCAGCGTCATTGTCTTATTTGAGCGCTTATGTAGGCGTAATCTCGACGGGATCCAGATAGAGCACTCAGTGACTTTTTTGTACTTTAATTCTCTGATGCGCTCGCGATGGAGCCGATCAGCCTCCCTGGCCTCGTACTCGGCCCGCTGCTGGGCCTCGAGGCTCTCTCGGCGAGTGAAAATTGATTTGTACAGAGGATAAATGGCAAAGTCCATCTTGAGTGGTGTTGATGAGTGGAAGGGCGGACAATAAAGAGCAGTTTTGCTTGTTTTTGCGTGTGCTGAAGAAATAAATAATAAATTGTGAAAAAGAAAAACCAAAGAGAAACAGAAAACAGAGAAGCTTGTGTGTAAGGTTGCACTATTTGCAATTTTACTTTCTTGGTTGCTTTTCTTTATATTCTTTTTTCCCATTTCTTTTCTGAAATGTATTGCGAGCAATGACGCTTGACTGTAATCCGAGAAAGGACAGTGTTTGCTCTTATCACGCGGCTTTCGGAAAATAAACAGCCAGAAAATGAGCTGATTTCTCCCCTTTTTTGTGGGTTCATTGTGAAATGATTGAATGTAAGCCTCCTTTTCTTAGCTTGGCTGTGCTGTGCTTGGCTTTTGATTTGGAATTTTCCTTTCTGTGCATTCGGCATCTAGTACATGCTTTTTTATTTGCTAAGCACCTGATAAGTCCTGTGTTTCATTATCACTGACAGGCACAAGTAAAATAAACGGGATGGTGTTTGTTGTTTTTAATTTACTTTTGTGTGTGTACAAATCCACATGCACAGCGACCGGCGCTGGCGTTTTTGCTGCCGATGCCGATGGCTGATGGTTGGTATAGTGCGTGCATCAACCCCAACCTAACCCAACCCTATCTTTTTTGTTTATCTCAAAGTGACTGCAGCTGTGTTTAAAGAAATAAAATATTTTTGTTCAGGGGGGGGGGGCTAGCGAGCGGACATGGGAAATATATGTCCAGAATATACAACCAGTATTGATGCATAATTCAATGTCCATTAATGAAAGGAACATGGAAAAAGATAAATAAATTCATTCTTGTTCATTCAAAAGTCGTAATCGCCAGCGTCGTCCAAACCTTCGCCATATCCTTCAGTATAGCCCTCATTTCTGCCCTCTTCAAACGCCTCCTCCCGCTTCTCCTCCTGGTGCTCCTGGAACTCGTTAATAGCGTAGGCCCCAACTGCACCGGCGGCTAACCCGGCCATTAACGGGTGCTTGCTCATAAAGCCCTGCTTTTTCTGCGGCTGCGAATCCTGAACAACAATTGTCTGAGGCTGCTGCTGCTGTTGCTGCTGATAGTATCCTTGCTGGTAGTACCCTTGCTGTGGCGGCTGTTGCTGTTGGTAATTCTCTTGTTGGTAATATCCCTGAGGAGGATGACCCTGCTGCCATTGCTGCTGCTGGTAAGGGGGTTGCTGTTGCTGGTAATGCTGGGGCGGACCTTGCTGCTGCTGATACGGGTTTTGCTGATGATATTGCTGCTGTTGCTGCTGCTGTGGATTAGGTGACAAGGAACCGTAGGATGAAGCAGCGGCTTGGCGCGCTTGGTTGGCGTACGCATACGCTGGAATCTGCCAGTGCGACTGCCGAGTGGCTGTGTCGACGTAGTAGGGGAGCTGATGAACAGTGTCGAATTGCTCAATAAAGCCCGGTGGAAGTTGAGGTCTTTGCTGCGCCATAATGTTAAAAAAGCGTAGTAACTTTAAGATGATTATATAAATAAATAACTAGCACACAAAAAAATTTAAAGAAAAAATGCAGTTGTATAAAAAAAGAAAAGAAAAGAAAAAAAGTTGAATAAGCCTTCTTTTCCATTCTTTTTATTTGTAGCAGAGGTTGGGCGGAGTTTTCTGAATGCCTGACCTTTTGCGCCCGCCCAAATATATTCTGGAGGATGGCGTAATCACAGCATTTGATTACGCCAAGTTACACGTTCTGTTTGTATGTCCCCCCCTCAAAAAAAAGAAAAAGCAAGCAGGAAAAATCAAATCAACGTTTTAATCACAAAATTACTTAACCATTTAATCTTTTTAGTTTATTGTATCTTTTGTTTGGAGGACACGAATCGAAAGCAATCTTAGCATTTTTCTTTGGGGGGGGGGGGTTTGCCTCCATTTTTTTAGAGAAGACGAAAACATACGCAAATAGGCTTTACATTCTCAATCCATTTTTGGTCTCTTTTTTCTTGGTCAGCTTTTTTTCTTTTTTATTTCTCTTTTATTTTATTCTTTATTCTTCTGACGACACACTTTTCTCTATAAATTCTTTTTTTTGTAACATCCAATTTTTATCAGCAATTCTTAAAAAAACAGCATTTAACTTTGACGATGGGAAAGCGAATTCTCCACGTTTCTGGTTTCTCTCGTGACACTCGCGCCCGCGATGTTGCCCACGCGTTTGAACGGTACGTTTGTTAATGGTGCTTCTTATATTCCAGCCACAAGCGGAAAATAAAAAAGCCTTTATTAAATTTGAAAAAGCAAGTCCAATTCCTAAAACCAGGACAGAAGCAATAAATAATATTACGCGCTTACTAAATTTCAGCTTTGCATTCCACCCTGGTCCTCTTACTTTTACTAAATAGCTATGGTCGACTCGTTCGATGCGATATTCCTAGCGGTCGTCGGGACGGCACTCCGTAAGTACCAATATGCATTTTGTTCTGTCATCTTTTTTAACAAAGCTTTTTTTCCTCCCTCTTTCTTCCCCTCCTAGCCAGCTAACTTGTAAATTTTCTATTTATCCTCGTTATATTCGAATGCGCCGCCGACGACATCGCGCGACACATACACGCTAAATAACGTTTTTTTATTTGAAATCGACGAAACTTTTATACCTTTGTTAAACTCGTTCGCTCGTTCCCCCGCAACATCGATTTCGCACTCAATCTCGCATACACTAAAGACTTTCGACAGCCCCCCTCTTCGAGATTGTGATTTATTTTTATTTATTTTTATACTATTGATAAATTTTTAATTATATTGCATTTGTTCCCTTCCAATGTTGGCCCGAGGGAAAAAATGGGCAAGTCTGCTTTTTTTCTTCCACTGCCACTGCTTGTGTCTCGTCAACTCCACATATATATCGAATTTAACAAGCCACTTGGCTTTTATGACATATAACATATGTGCACTTGTAGTTTTGCTTTTGTCGAGTACGAAGACTCGCGCGACGCAGCAGATGCCTATGACCGCCTGCATGGACAATACGTCGGCAACCACCGCATATCCGTGCAATGGGCCAAGCGGCCACCAGCCCGCGCGTGGAGATATGATAACGGTGGCACCAGACGTCCCCGTTCGCGCTCTCGTTCTCGCTCTCGCTCGCCCAGCCGCCACAGCCGTCGTCACCACAGCCGCAGCCGCAGCCGCAGCCGCAGCCGCAGCCGCGATAGGCGTGGTTCCGCTGATCGTCAGTATAATAGTCGCGAGAGGAGACGCAGTAGGAGCCACCAGCGCTCTCCGTCGATGTCGCCGCGTGGTCGCGATCTCTCCCATGGTCGGTCGCGCTCGCCCTTGCCGCTGAGGCGCAGATCGCCGTCGCCGTTGCCTGCAAGGTGCAGTAGTCGCTCGCGCTCTCCCTTACCTGCGCATAGCCGGTCGCGCTCGCCACTGCCCCAGCACTCGCCGCGCTCACCGCGTTCGGATGCTGGTGCTGAAGATGAGAGGGTGAGGAAGGGGAGAACCCAGCTATAGCTGAGGATCACGCCGCTAGTATTGAGGGTGACGAGGATGCTGCGCACAATGTGGATGCCAAAGATAATGAGGGGGCTGTGGAATCGCCCGAAGCTAGTTTGGCCAGATCTGAAACGCACTCTGATAGGGATGCTGACTACAAGGAAGACCATGAATGATTCAGGGGCATGTTTGGTATTTAAATAAAAAAATGTTTTGTTTTTTATTCTTTCTCTTTATTAAATACACACTTTTGCTCGCTTACTTTTTTTTGAAATATGAATTTTAGATAACACTTAATTTCAGTAACTGCTTTGACTGGATCTGCAGTTCCCGTGATTGGGGGTGGTAGATAAGGAGGAGGATACATCCACCCATGGCTCTTGACTTTGAAAATTAAAATGGTGAATAAATGAATAATGAAAAATATACACATGTCAGCATGGTCATTGTTCCATGTTTAAAACAACTGTATTGATACCTAACCCGGTACTCTGTTCTTTTCCTTCTTTATCGAATATCCTCCACTACCAGCTTATTCACACATATATAATGGTGTGGCCACATAATTTGGGGGAGGGTTGAAAACACCTCGAATATCTATATTTTTCCTTACTGTCATTTTTTGCCTAATTTTTTATATCATTCCCCACTTCCCCCATTTTGTCACCTCTGCTCCCCACAAAAAAACACATAAAACACAGACACACGTATACTCTGTAATTGCAGACAGCAGCATTCCTGCAGCCATTCAATCACAAAAAAGTAGTAAGCTTCAAGCACCACAATCTCCATTCACAGATTTTTTTCTCACTTTTTATCTTTATCTCACCTGCACCCTCTCCTTATTCTTTACCTTACCACATTTTTTTCTGGCTCGAAAAGACCATTTTATCTTAGTTTGTTGGTATTCTTCCGTTCGACTCAAAAAAATCATTTTATCTTTTCATACGCCTCATATTTTTTTGGTCATATTAATTGTTTGACTTGTTTTGCATTGTTGCACTGTTGCACTGTTGCATTGTCTTCTTTTTATATCAAGAGGCTTGTTCTTATCATTTTTTTGCTCGATAGATCTTTCGAGTGAGCAGTTGAAAAAAGCAATAACAACGTTAAAAGTTCAGCGTTGACGAAGCAACGTTTTGAGTGTTCAAACTCTTTTTTTACTTGATATTGCCTGTCAAAAGAACACCCAACAGAATTCTACATATTATATTTCATATTTCACACTTTTCATTTTCATTTTTCCATCCATTGATTAACCACGCATTTTTTCGTACAAAAACTCCGACTGGCTTGACTGGTTGATTGAATTGCTAGCAGCACCATCATATTTGCATAATATCCAATGACAAAGACATCTGACGGGATGGCCAGAGCCCAGCCGCCATTGTCTTCGTCATCGTTGTCGCCGCCAGATATTTCGCCGACTGACGCGAACTTTACAGACGTCCTGCTGCCACAACTAAACACACCAAGCACCGCCATTGACAATAAAGAGCACCACAGCCCGGTTTTTACTTTGCAGACGACAACAGAGCACCACCCGAGGATGCTGAGCTTGGCCTCGGCACGAAGCTCGGAAACAAGCATGATTTGGAGAAGGATGAGCAGCAGCGGCTGATAGACGAAAAAGCCGATGGTGGCCAGCAGATATTAGCTGACGACGAAGATGACTCGCCATTCGAGGTTGTGCGCTGCTCGGTCTCCAACAAGGATAATCCGTCCATGTACTCTTTGACGTTCGGGTCTGGGTGCTAGGAATCATATTTACCTGCATTCTGAGCTTTGTCAACCAGTTTTTCTTCTACCGCCAGAACCAGCTCTCGCTGGGCGGCTCCGTCGTGCAGCTGCTGGCGTTTCCTGCAGGCTACGTAATGTCGCGCACATTGCCGACCAGAAAGTTTCACACGTTCGGCTGGGAATGGACGATGAACCCGGGGGCGTTCAATATTAAGGAGCACGTACTGGTATCCATCTTTGCCACGGCATCGTCAGGCTCACCATATGCGATCGACGTAGTGACGATTAAGAAGATCTGGTACAAGAGCGACCTGGGCTTTATTGCCAGCCTGCTGTTCATACTGACATCGCAGATGATGGGGTACAGTTTTGCCGGCCTGACAAGAAAGTTCCTCGTGTACCCAGCAGCGATGATCTGGCCATCCACTCTGATCAGCGTCACCTTGTTCCGCACCTTCCACGAGATCCAGAACTTTGGCAGCCGGATGACGCGCACAAAAATGTTCTGGATGTGTTTCACAATCAGCTTTTTCTGGTACTTTGTGCCTAACTTTATTGCGCCCGCGCTCAGCTACATTGCCATCATGTGCTATATTGCGCCCAACAACGTTATTGTGCATCAGCTCAGTGACGCGTATAACGGCCTGGGCGTGATGAACTTTACGCTGGACTGGTCGACAATCTCGTCTAACATGGGGTCGCCGATTGCATACCCGTGGGCGATGGCCTGCAACCTTTTCACCGGCTTTGTCATTCTAATGTGGATAATCACGCCCATCGGCTACTACACAAACACCTGGGGCACCGGCAACCTGCCCATATACACAGCGCACCTGTACAAGATTAACGGATCAGCCTACGACATTAGCCAGATCATGACTTTGGACCAGAACCTTGATGAGGCCAAGTACGCAGAGTACGGGCCGGTGCGTATGACATTCCAGTTTGCCATCTCGTACGGAATTGGGTTTGCGGCAATCATCACTCTGCTTGTGTACATTGGCTTGCATTACGGGCCCGAGATCTACCAGCGCATGCGCGAGTCGCGCAACATGGACGAGGACGTGCACATGAAGATGATGCGCAGCTACGATGAAGTGCCGCACTGGTGGTACATTACCTTGTTTGTCATTACGTTCTCCACGTCTATTGTTGTCTGCGAGGTTTACCATATGATGCCCTGGTACTGGGTAATCCTATCGATCATTGTACCCTTTGTGTTCACCATTCCGATTGGCATAATCACGGCCATTTCGAACCAGCAACCCGGATTAAACATCATCACCGAGTTTATCATTGGCTACGGCATGCCCGGTAACCCGATCGCCAACGTGACATTCAAGGTGTATGGGTACATCACCATGGTGCAGGCGCTCAACCTTGTGGGCGACCTCAAACTGGGCCACTACATGAAGATTCCGCCGCGGCATATGTTCATCGTGCAGCTCGCCGGCACCCTCTTAGCATCGTTCATTGAGCTGGCCGTGGCGTACTGGCTGATGAACTCGGTCAAGAACATCTGCACACCCGAGGGCTACCCATTCACGTGTATTTCCGCCAACACCTTTTACTCTGCATCCGTGCTCTGGGGGCTCATCGGGCCCGGCAAACTCTTGGGTCATCCAGCCCCTACCACCCAATGCTCTACATGTTTTTTATCGGTGCCTTGCTCCCCATCCCCGTATGGTACCTTCAACGGAGATATCCCGGAAGCGCCTGGAAGTATGTCAATATTCCTGTGGCTATGTCGATTGCTGGCGCAATGCCGCCGATGCCTGCGGCGAGCGTGGTCAATTGGTTTATTGGCTGCGTTGTGTTTAATTATATACTGCATAAGTATCGCAATACTTGGTGGCAGAGGTATGCGTTTTCGTTGTCGGCTGGGTTGGACTCGGGGTTGGCTATTTCGGGTATCTTGCAGTTTGGGTTTTTTGCTGGCACTAAAATGCCTGAATGGTGGGGGACAAACACAACCATTGTCCGTTGGCCGCGAAGGGCGGGTATTTGAACCGGCCTCTCTCTTGAATAAATAAAATTGGTTTTTTTCTTTCTTTCTTTTTTTTTGTTTTGGGATGGCCAATATGTGATTACGAATAAATGGATAGATTTGCATTTACATACAATGTTTCGGACATTTTCATTTTCAAAGGTACTTCTTGGCCGACAAAATTTTTTTATTCAAGCAGCGAGCGTTATCATCGACGGTGTCATTGACATTCTGCATTGTACTGCTGCTGCTACTGCTGCTGCTTCAAGATGCAAGGCACAGGCTGACAGCAACACGTGTTTAATTTTTTTTTACATTTATATGGGCATAATATTGCTGCTCGGTACAGGTTGTACATGCATAACAACAGCGGAAAATTGAAACTGGAATGCGCTATTATATAATGAGCAATACACAACAAAGAAAAAACGACAAATGTGAACTCACTGTCCTTGTACAATGCATCTGTGCATTCGCAAACAAAACAAAAACAAAAACAAAATACAAAACCAATCAAAATCAAAATCAAAATGTTTTTTATATCATGGTACTTTTTTTATTATATCAATTGAGAAAATGAGATATTTGGGTGATGATAGATGTGAAAGACGAATGCAAGAAAAAAGAGAAAAAAGTGATGCCCACTTATATACACATTGTGAACAGTAGAAAAAAAAAGAAAGTGCTGAGGACAATAATTTCTTTTATGTAATCCTTTAGCGGATATTTTGGTGGATAGTCAAATCGTACCAAGGATGATCCCTCGCAATATGCTTGAGCATACCCTGAAACGTTTCTGCCTCAATACTACAAAAAGCGCACTCATAGTTATCCTGCGTAAACCTATGCTTATTATCGAGCACATTGTTGTATATGGAAGTTCGCGCAGGGTCTCTACTATTGCTACTGTTGTCTATGCTGCTGCCCTTAATGCTACTGCTTCCCATGTGGATGCTGCTGATGCCACTGCCGCCACTACTACTGCCGTTGCTGTTGCTACGAGGCCGTCCCCGCGAGTAAAACCCATTTGTGTTGGATGATGTTTTGTCGCCGCTGCCATCGTGGGAGATATTGTTCTGTCGATTATTTGATGTGGTACCAAAGCTCTCTATATTGCAGGACACTGGCCGAGTATTGTCCGCCATGTTTGATATCAATAGGGGGGTGGGGTGTTTTTTTTGAAGAAAGGCAATGGAAAATATAAGGAGGTATGGAGTTATTGGGCGGAGAAAATAAGGAAGAGGAGAAAGCGAGCAAGTGAGAGCTAATAAAGAGGTACAATAATAAGAGCGACAGTTGCTTTTTTTATGTAAAACCTTGAGAGAAAGAAAGAAAAAAGGGGTGATGGAACAGGGTTGGCTATTTATGTGTCCTCCTTTTCTTCTTCTAAACCACCTCTCATCATCATTACATTGCTGCACCAGCACAAATAATTTTTTGTTTTTCGGATGGAAATATATTTTCGACCGACTTATTATCTGCTACCTTTTTCTTTTTATTCTTCTTTTTTCTCTCTTCCACACAAAGATATAAAATCAGTTTTGGGAAGTGCTTGGATTTTTCTCCATTTCTCACATGAGATTGGCTTCAAGCGCATTTCTCTCATTTTTCCAGTCGATGCGGAATGACGTAATGCGATTGGAAGACACGGCAACAGCATAAAAATAAAGTTTTTGTAAGGGGGAAGGGGGAAAGGGGTTAAGCCGAAAAATGCAGCCCACAAATGAAGAAAGCCGGGATTTAGAGCAGGCCTAAAATAGGCACAAAAGCATATTAAAAACGTGTGCGTGATGGTTTGCTTTGCTTTGCGTTGCTTTGCTTTGCGTTGCTTTGCTTTGCGTTGCTTTGCTTTGCCTTGCCGATGGCAATTCGGGGCAACAGGCAATTTGGAAGAACGCCGCTGTGCTTTTGTCTTGTTCAAACATCCGGGTTAATCGATATCTGCATAAAAGCCATCAATGTCTTTTTTTCTATTTTTGATCTTCATGGCTGTTGGCAGCAGAGCCGGTACATGAGGCCATATGACATCATCGGGCTGGGCTCTGCGATAGGCGCCGAAATTCAAAAGCAGCAAAGTGGATGGCTGCTAGTTTTGCAGTACAGGCTTTTTCCTATACAAAGCTTTGGTTCGGGCCAATTTTTTGCTTTAAAATTGCAGGCGAGGTTTTTTGTCAGCCAGCAACAACGTTCACACATAATGTGTCCAACTCTTAGTACATCATGGCAAACGCACTAGCATTCTTTCTTTTCTGAACAGGAATGCGCAGCAATTTTAGAATGACGTTTGCCACAGCCTGGATTAGGTCTTGCACGTGATGTAGATTCAATCCCCGCGTAATTTAATCTTGGAAATCCCATTGGCAGGTGATGATGATGACGCTTTGGGCTGGGCGAGCCAGCAGGAAAAAAAAGAAAAGAAAAGGCGGAGAAATTGCTTCCTTCGCTGGCAAGTTGGGCAGCTGAACGATTGGCAACTGTGCGTTTTGTGTGTGAGGGGGGGGTGACCTCTCGGTGGGCACTGCTCTTTTTTCGTTTCTTTCTCTACATTTGGAATTTATACTACTTTTATATATTTTTACCTTGTTCTATCATCTGCTCTTCAATTCAACAAGCTACATATATTCCTCAATCGAGTTTACTTTTTAATAACTCACTTTATTTTTACTTTTCTTCTTATTCAAACTATGAATCCCGAATAGTAAGTGCACAATCGAGTCCACGCTTAAACACACTCGCGGAAAAAAACCACTGCCTTTTATTCGCACTATTCACCAACAATAATGACGTTTTCTCCACCCGCTTTAAATTTCATTGTAGCGATTACTTGTTCAAGCTGTTGCTCATTGGCGACTCTGGAGTAGGCAAGTCGTGCCTTTTGCTGCGTTTCGCCGACGACACTTACACGGAGAGCTACATCTCGACAATCGGAGTGGATTTCAAAATCCGCACAATCGAATTGGAGGGCAAGACAGTGAAGCTTCAAATCTGGGACACGGCAGGACAGGAGCGGTTCCGCACAATCACGTCCTCATACTACCGCGGAGCACACGGCATCATTGTTGTCTACGACGTGACTGACAACGAAACCTTCAACAATGTGAAGCAGTGGCTACAGGAGATTGACCGGTATGCGTCGGAGGGCGTGAACAAGCTGCTGGTGGGCAACAAGTGCGATTTGGAGGACAGTCGCCAGGTTAATTATACGGCTGCGGAGGAGTTTGCCAAGCAATTATCTATTCACTTTTTGGAGACCTCGGCGAAGAACTCGACTAACGTTGAGACTGCCTTTTTGACCATGGCTAAGCAGATTAAGGATAGAATGGGCTCGTCGAATGTCCAGCAGCAGCAGCAGAAGAAGCAGGTTAACCTGGGACAGGCCCAGAACTTGCAGCAGAACAACAATGGATGCTGCTAATGCTCCCCCGGTTTATAGTCTCTTCTTTCTCTTGGCTTTTGTTATTCTCCTTTGCCAGTGTAAAAAAGGGCGCCAGACCCCTTTTTAGCTCTTTTTTTCTCGCTCGGGAGCAGCGGCGACAGTGTTACGAGGAGTAGCCCCAAACTTTTGCTTTATTTTGTCAGGTTTTTCTATCTATATTTTCCCACTCCTTCATTTATATATTGAATTTTAATTATCAGTCTCACCAAAGAAAAAATGAGGCTACAAGTATCCTGCAAACCGACATCCTTCCCTATATGGATTAGCTACCAACCTAACGTGTTTAGAAACTATGGCAATCGACGACCACTATGTGTATCGATATTATCCAGTTCCTTGCTTCTTTGAAGAGAAGAACAGGACATGTATTTTGCGCACACGCTTGGTCTTGGCTTGGGCTTGAGCTTGATTGAGCATCACTGTAGACTCACTTGGGCTCAGCCAACTCTGAAGATGCCTTTTCGCGCAAGAAACGGGAGGAGATTGGCTGTAAGCAGAGCATTAAGAATGATGTGAAAGGTCAACATCGCAGCCGCGTCATGACTCCGCTTCCGTCTGCTGATGGCGCTTTTCGCCATCCTTGATCTTGGTTCCGTCGACCCTGAAGGTTTGCAGGCAGTCTTCCATTGTGCACTGGAGCAAGCCGTGGCACAAAATTTGGCGAGGTTTTTCTACTGCCAGAATTATATCCACGCCTGTTGCAGCTACCTGCTGCTGCTGCTGCTGCTGCTGTTTCTACTCCTGGTGCTGCTGTGCGGCCAACTCGTCGCGTATCCTCTGTCTGATTTTACGCTCGATTTTGCCCCCGCGACCAGCCCTTTTCCTCCCCTATCCACCGGATGATATCGGCAGAATGTGGGCAAATAGGCACCCACTGGTTGCAACTCTGCTGTGCTTTTCTGTAAAAGATGCGGCGTCGGCAGCAGCAGCTTTAGTTGCAATGGAAAAAGCTGTGGCTGCTGCGACAGAATCAGCGGCTGAAGTGGTTGCAGCTGCGACGAAATTAAATGCTGCTGCTGCCATTGCGACGTGGTGCTTGTGCTTGGAATTCTTCAGACGAGGATCATCAATTTTGTGGAATTTCTCCATCCTGCTCTCACATGCCGGAAAAACGTTGAGGTCTAATACTCGTTGATCAAGTAAACAGTGGATTCCTGACCTACTAGCATTTCTCGCAACCCCTTGCCACAAATTGGCTCATGGTGACGGGTCCATGCCTGGGGTCCAATTACCAAGAATTGGGACCGGATATGGTCCAAATTTTGCACGTAAAGATTTTACGAGTTCGACATCGGCGCGCTTTCTGTTAACAAATGAAAGATAATGGAGCTTGCGGTGCAAGGGGTCAGTTCAGCTGCTGCCGTCATGTTTCCGACTCTTGCCGAGGGTCTATGTGTTATGATAATGTTTTCCCAATACAAAATTACCTTTACAGCGCTCAAGGAGGTACTCAACATATAACTTGCAACCAAGTGTGCTGGAGCCAGGGTGGTTGAGCGCATGCTCGGCATCCTCAACAGATGTATACCAACCATTTGTTTTCGCCTTGGCGAGCTTTGTGGGCCAAGCTGGAATATTTTTTTTGCGTTTTCATGGATCCGATGAAATACATGTTCATAATTTTTATTAGCCTCAAAATTTTTGGTATGGTGGAAGTCTCCTCTAACCCTTTTGTAATGCTGTTATGCCCAGACAATAAAGCATATCCCGTCAACCGGTATCACAGAGAACTGATCTGTCAACAATATCATGAATGCCATTTTTTTGACAAATTATCAATATATTTGGGGAGGAGCCTTCTTACTGTGGGGGCACACCATTGGAAAGTTTTCTGTCATTGCTGTTGCTGTTGTTGTCGTCATTGTTGTTGCCGTTGTCAGTGTCATTAGAAACCTTCTTAGACCATACAATCCTCTCTGCCTTGATCCTCTTCCCCTGTGTGTTGACAGGTGAATCTAGTAATACGATAATTGCAATGCCATATCAGTACGGATAATGCCACCAAACCTATGGGGTTTTTTGTCCTTTTGAAAATTGAGCGAGAATGGCTAACATGAAATATCACAAAAGAGTGACCAAATTTATTTTGGTGACTTGTCTTTGAGGTCTTTTAGATGTGGAGTCTCGGGAATCTTGATATCTAGGCAAAGCTTCTCCATGTGTAGCGCTTTAAGTCGGCTCTTTGCGATAGACAGAATACACCGTGCACTAATGGGTCTTGTCGAGCGTAGTAAAACCTGGTACAATAGACATCTTCATCAGAAATAGGAAAATTGTCTTCACAGCCTTGTTGAGCTTTAAAGAGTGGAACATCCCAACAAAGGCTCCAAAGTGCTTTACTGTATTAGCCACAGAGTCATACTTTAGTCCCTTGCTGCCAAAAATGTAGTCTTTAATGTATGCGCCAAAGAAGCTCTCAATTAGGTGTGCCATCCTGTCGCAGAGAATAGGGTCTGGAATCTGCTTGGTGTCAATTAACTTGCTGGTCTCAGCACACAGCAGAGCTCACTTCACCTTGCCCGCTGGAACTCTGATCTCCTTACTAATGGATTATTGTATTTTTTCGGTATTGCTATCCTCACTCTTAAGAATCTCGTATTGCCGTTTAGTCCTTTCCTTTATGTCAAGTACTATGTTGACCATATGTTTCAACTTCTGGTTAAAGTGCTGATGAGACATATGTTATTTATATGCTGCGAGGATTGTCGTACCATCATAATTAGCAACAAAGGCCGCACTAATGAGATGTGGGTACTCAAACTTGGTTTTCTTGACGAACGTGTACTTATACTTGTTGACGAGTTTGCCGTTTGCAGTTGATAAGTTGTTGCCGCATGGTTTGTTTTTTATCACCTCTGCATTTAGATGGTTGGTGATATTAAAGCCCTCATTATCCAGCTCTTGTAAAAAGACATACTGTGTGAGCTCGTATGTGGTTGTTGTAGCACAGTAGACAGTGACAATATGCTTGCATAAAACTGGCAGAAAATAGGACAGTGCATTTTGCAGAGGCCGAGTAGGGCCTCCACACTGATGGGCATAAAAAATAAAAAATAAAAAAAAGTTGAATGAATTAATTTGAAAATAGTGAAAAATGTAAAATTTTAAAACTACTTATAATACTATGTAACTACATGTAGTGCTACTGAATGCTTATGTATATTTGTATTTTATTTGTAAAACAAATTATTATGCAGATACTTTATTTTAAAAAATAAAACTACTTGGCTATTAGTCTTTGTTTCTTTAAAAATAGTAAAAATAGATACATTTGTTTATTATGCCGTGCTCTATAAAAATGTGGTCTAAATTTTATATATTAAAGTCTTACAAATTACTTACTGAACTGAAAAAAGGGGCAGCGCTGTAAACATCATGAGCAAAAATGTGTATAGCGGCCATGAGGGCGATCTTAATTATTGAAAAGGAAAATAGTGGCTTGAAATGTGGTTGGGCACCACATATTATAATACAATAATGATATTTTTAAATATAATTTATAAAGTCGGTATCAATGTTTTTACACATCTTTCATGTAAAACCAAGCTTATTGAGTTACAAAGAATCAGCTCTTGTAAAAGCATCTGGGCGTACTTTGTAAAATTTAAGCCTTATAAAAGGGTTAAAAAAACCCCAGTTACAAAAATATAAAGTCTTTTTTGCATAGCTTCCATACCCTTTCCAAATGTATAAAGCCACAAAGGCAAAGCATAAAGCTGCAAATAGAAAAAGTAGCCTTTTTGCTTTAGTGCCAAGATATTATAATAATGGTAAATATAAATATGCTCTGTTTATTTATTTACATATCAGATAAAAATAAAATATTTTGCCAATTACTGCTCGCTTGGCAGAATTCATGCATACGCTTTACAACGTCGACCAGGTGGTCTTTATCGCATGTGAAGTCGGCGAGGTTGCAGATAATGGCCTGCAAAAAACTGCTTGCCTATGGTGTTAGAAAAACTAGGATGATAAAACGTTTTATGAACATGTAGATAAACTATTATTATATAAAGTGTATTTAATAAATAAGTGCTATGCACTGTTAACGGTAAAAAAGAAACCATATTGCTTTGGTCACTGTCTGACTTCTTGATTTATTGTTTGTGACTAAACAGCCAAGACCAGTTAATCAGTTGATCGCAATCAACCAATACATGGTAATGCCCAAGAATGGCAAGTAGGCATTAAATAAAATTGGTTTAGCCCTGCTTCTCGTACAGTGAGTGCACACACCATTGCTGCTGTTTTTGTTTCTGATATTGTCGCTGTTATGAAGATATTCGGCAATGGCAGCTGGTGGTGCTGGCGGGCGTGGTGGTAAAGTGGCTGTGGCAGGGGTTGTGCGCAGCAGGGAGTTTTATTTCATTTATTAATTTATTTTAAAATACAACAAAAGATACTAGAAAACAGCAGCAGTACTAAAAAAATATTTATTACACTATAAAATTGGTTCTAAGAAAAGAGGAGGATTCTATTCTAGAAGAACAAATGGTGGTTTAAATCCCCCGCTTAAAAATCTAGAATTTGCTATAAGTGTCTGGAAATTACAAAATCCATTTACACCTGTGTCAATACATGGAACAAATGATAAATGTCCTCGCTATCCACCACGCCAACCTTGGCCTCGCATTCTCCACAAACCACCAGCCGGTACAAGTCCTTCTTTTTTTCCTCAGCAACAGTAGCTAAAATAGCCTCCAATCCGCGCCTACCATATACGTAAATCTGGTCATCAAGCACGCGACAGTGCTGTACTGAAAGAGCGCGAAACTGACCCTCGTACCGCGTATGGTGTTGACAAACAAAGCATATTTGGGTAAAGCACATGGGACAAGAAAGAACTGCATCGGTGGTTCCTGGATGCTGCTGTTCGACCCATTCAGAGTCAACATTATCGGCGTTTTCATCGTATAGGTCGTCCTCATCCACCTGAATGTTATTGATTTTGATTTTAATATCACTCGTAGATGAGCCGCTGTCATTGCTGCTTCCGATACTGTCGATACTGTCAAAACTTTGACTGCGCGACCGAGCGATATTTTCAAATTTTATATTGTCTCCTTCCATTATTTTTTATGGCTTGTAGATATACGTAAAAAGGATAATATAATTATTTTATTTTTGCCAGCCAATCAGGTAAAAAATAAAATACATTACATCTTTTTTTCAAGTTGCTTTATTAACCCCCTTATGAGGACAACATAAATATGGGCGAAACTGTCTACCACCTGGGCGGACCTCAGTCCGGACCGAAGTCTGACTCCAACCACATACAGGAGCTACAAAAACTAAAATAGCTAACGTAGCCCCCGGAACTAATGAGAGTTTATTGTGTTGGGTTTGACCCTCTATCCTCGCTGAGCTTTACCCTCTTCATCTTGCCGCGGGTCCAATCCCTGACCAGCTTGTGACACGACTTTCTGAACTCTGCAGTCTGTCTCTGCATGATCTATGGCCACTTGGGCGTCCCGCTCGTGCGCTCCAACGGCGGCCGCTCCATCCTCATGTGCCGTTGTCAAGTTGCCGGTGATATTCCCGACGCCTCCTCCTTCGCGATCTGCGCCGAGCAGCGCGATTTCTAGCAGCCTTCGTAGAGCAGTTGCCATCTTTTTCTGATGGCCACCTTGTGGAGTGCACATCCACTCATGATTATCGACTTCTGCTCTTTCTCACCGACTTCTATGACCGCCTGCCAGTTCGCTCCTTCAGACCTCTGGTTCTGGCGATCCTCCATTACTGCTGCCGACGACGATGGCTCAAGCCGCCCGTCTGGCGCCCCACTGTATGGGTTGCAGTCGCGTGTTGCGCGCTCAAGCCAATTGTTTGCTGCCCGTTTTGGCCATGCCTGTTGCACTCTTGGCGCCCCCATCGTTCCTGTTGTCCCTGCCCCCCTACCTCTGCCGCCGAAAAAAATATATATTATAACTGCGTTGATGTTGCTGGATGTTGGCTAAAACACAAATAGGTGTTATGGTAAAACTTTTTTTCTTGGGTAGCCAAAATAATTTTTTTGTACAATACTGCTTGGGGTGAATGAAAATAATTTCAATTGTTTGTTTTGGTCACTTGAGTGGTACTGGGAATCAATATATGCAAGCTGAAAATTGAATTATATTTGAATTAATTGGACAATCCATGCAATAGATGCTTACTTTTTTCATTTAGCAGACATGCCTTTAATCACATGCTCGATTATTTTTAGTTGCAAATAAAAACATATATCGTTTGCTATGATATTGTGTAAAACTGTAATAAACCCAAAGATTGAATCTCAATATATATTCTCTGTTTACATTATCAAATTGGAGACTGTATTTAATGTAGGAATGTACTTTATAAAGGTGACTAATAATGTAAAACAATAAGATTGTGGGGGGTGTGTATTTTGATTTTGTATTTTGATTTGAAAATTTATTTTGGAAAAAACTATAATTATAAGAAAAAGAAAAAAGGTTGTCAATACACTTACAATTCTGGTATTTAAATTGCTTATTAAATGATTTTTAATAAAACGTCCCCGGCCATTCACTGTCTACCGTACTACTACTACCGCTGCTGGTACTGCTGCTGGTGCTGCTGCTGTTGTTGCTGCTGCTAATACTCAAAAAAATAGAGTCGGGCATGGTGCGTGCGCAGTATTTTAAACTTTTTATTTCGTAAGAGTACAAATCAGCCAATGGGGGTGGGGGTGTTAATAAGTGTATGCGCAAATGTAGATGTAGGAGTTGGCGACAAGATCTGAAAGAAAATAGCTTTAGTTTTTTACTACAGGCAGGTACAGGGCAATCCATGGATAGTGCAAGTAGTGCAGATACTGGCGCTTGGTGGAGCATCCCTACCAGATGCATAGACGCTGGGCTGGTAGTGATATTGACTTGGGGTAGAGTTCTGACTGTAGTAGCTGTTTTCATAACTGTAGGGGTAATTAGAGCTGTTCATTTTTAGTGAGGTGTTTTGGTGAGGGGTTTTGGATGAACACTAATTACAAATAAAAGGCTTTGCTGAGAGAGAGAATTAATAAACTGTATTATTTAGCGTTGCAAAATGGATTTGAGGATTATGCGTTCGTTTGGTCGAGTTTAAATACATTTATTCAAAATACAATTTTTTTATTGTTGACATGCAATTTCTATAATTGTTCCCCCTCCCCCCTCTCTCCCTCTCTTTCCAATTTATTAGTGGATAAATAATAATTATAAACTGCTGGTCTTACTTCATGTCCAAATCATCAATAAATCAACACCCACAGTCAACACAAACGAAAATGAGTAAAATAAAGAAAAATATATATTAAAAGGAGAAAAAGAGGAAAAGTCTTGATACACCAACTTGTCTAATTTATTCATTATAAAAGAAAATATAAAGAGAAATATAAAGTAAAAAAATAAATAAAATTAAAAGAAGAGGAGAGGAGAAAGGAGCTGACTGCCAGCTATTTTTTTTACATTAATTGATGATGAGCAAAAGAGGGGGAAAAGGTATCAAGGCAGTGGAAGGATGGGGGTTTTTAAACATTATATTCTTTTATATGTATATGAAATAAATAATAAAAGGAAAAATTGTATGGCAAATATTTTCTTGTTTGTGTTAATTCAACGGCAGCTGAATTTTTCTATTCCTCACTTGAAAAAATCACATAATGGAACAAGAAATAAAATTAAACAAAAAACCAAGCTGGTTTGAAGAAATTAGACATCAAATATACACATTTATTAGTTTTTTGTTCGTTTGCTATAAAGTACGCATATGTCATTAAATTAAACAAAGAGGAAGAGGTTCAGTATACAAGAAATAAATATTTTTCTCTAGTCTTGTATAGGGAATATTTAATAAATGGGATGATTTTGTTATTTGTCAATAACATATCCAATTCCTCAAGCCCAGAAATAATAATAAAAAAGGAGGCCCTGTCAATCAAAAGAAATAAAGGAAGACTTGACTTCGGGCTACTATTTAACAATTTTTCATTTTCATTTTTTCGTTTCATTTTTTTAACGTCATAAATCCATTGAATCCAAATCCTCGTCTCTCACCAATGCAGCTCTAAACAATACATCTGCTCTTCGAATAAAATCCCAGGCTTTCAAACACCCAGCCATCCACGCACCCTCCGGTTCCTCCCTCCGCCAAACTATCTCGTTTCGTTTATTCCGCACCATCAAATCTGTCCTCAGCTCCTCCGCAGCCATTTCAAAAGACATCAAGGGCAACGATGTGCCCAGAAGAGAGTCCCAAGAAGACACCAGGGAGGATATCGCAGCAGCGTCGCCACCAGGAATCGGGTAAAGCGGCAGCAGCGGAGACTGTGGCTTCTGTGCCCACCGGCCAGCAATATCAGCAAACAGCCCCGGCTGCTGCTGCTGCTGCTGTTTCAGCACAGACTTTGTTGGCAAAAACGTAACGCGAGACACAGCAACACCCGTTCCTATCGCATACGCATCAGCAACAGTCTTGGAGGCAACCTTGGCATGTCCATTGACCACAATATGCAGCGACACCTGCCGGGAATTCAGGGTCGCCGCTGAGCTTAGTCCAGGAATGGTCGCAGCCAAATCCCTCGCGTTCCTAATCAACTTCACCAACGAGCGATCCAAGCACCGCTCATCCACCTGCCGTTGCCTCTCTGGCTGCTGTTGCTGCGCCTTCCCTGCGCCAGCCGGCGCCTTGACAACCACCACCAGCGTATCGCAGACATTCAGCATTAATGCGCACACCTGGAGGTCGCGTAGCCGCGCGGTCGCCAGCCGCGACATTGATCCGTCCCTGCGCGGCCACTTATCCGCAGCCGCCAGCGCTAAAACCGGTGGCGAGTCCAAAAGCAAAACACGCGCCGGCGTCACCCAAAAATCGACACACTGGGTCATTCCGTTGGCAGGAAAAATATTGTTCCCGGAGAGCTCCGACATGACCGTTGACTTGCCCGAGTTGGTGCGGCCAATGGCTCCGATGCATGTGCGGGTCTGCAATGTGCTGAGGTTGCGCCGCAGCACTGTGTCTAGGAGTTTCCCTGAAGACGCCAGGAGGGTCAGTCTGCTGGGCCTTGGTTGGTCCTGGATGTGCTTGAATGAAGAGATAATGTCGAGCGTCTGCTGCTTAGTTGCTGCCGGCGATGTTGTGGCGGGCGTCGCGGCAGCGGCAGCAGCTGCAGGTGTTGTCGACACGTGACGGCGCTGGGTCGGTGGTTCCATAGGCGGCTCCCTGGTTGGCTCGGTGTCTCTCCGCATCAGCCGCGGCGACTCCGTCATCAAAGACAAATTGGAGGCGCGGTGGGAGGTGTTAGAAGTGGGGGCGGAAGCAGGCGGTTCGGACCGGTTCTTACTCTGGGTCTGGGTCTGGCTCTTGCTCTGGCTTTGAGCTGCTGTTGTTGGCCTGGCCAGAATGCGCGGAACAACCGTGGGTGTTGTCACAGTCGAAGCGGACGCCGATGATGCTGCCTTCTGTTTGCTCCTCGGCAGACGATTGCGCGACGGCATTGTGTTTGAATTTGAATTTGAATATGTGCCAGCAGTCAGTCTCCTGCCAACTGCTTCCATTGCGCCTCGAGTAGGAGTATGAGCAGAAGCATGAGCAGGAGCAGGAGCAGAAGTAGAAGCAGGGGTAGGAGTAGGAGTAGGAATAGAAGGGGCGGAGGGAGGAGGGAGTCTGCGTGGGCGTCCGCGACCCGAATTCGCGCTACTTCTCGTGGAATTTTCGGCACTTCCGCCGCTCTTTGTCTCTTGCTTTGTGGACAAAGGAGTGGCTACTGGTATATTTTGCTTTTTATTAAGATTTGGCATTTAATTGGCAAAAAAGAAAGAAAAAAAAGTGTGGGAAATGAGTTTGAATGAAATTGGATTCAAGGAATTTTTTATATAGAATGCAGCTAATTGAAAGAAAGAGTTACGGGTCTCTTAGACAACTGGAGTGCGGCGGCGGCGAGCCTCAGTTTTGACAGCCTTTTTGGCGGCCTTTTTGGCCCTGACCTCTGGATCAGGGGTGGGTCTCTGATGAGCAGCCACGTCCCTCGAGTCGTCCGCAGACTGCACAGCGCTGTCAATCGCGGCGCGCAGCTCGTCATCTTCGCTCTCACTCGTATTCCCCACTTTAGCATCCTCAACCACAGGCTTCTTGTAAAGGCCCACAGCGGCCAGGGCCTCGGTGGCTATCCAGACCGGCAAGCTAACAATAAGCAGGCGGCGAACAGCCGGCGGCTTCACAGTGTACGGATTAATGACGCCCTCAGTATTAACCAAAGCGGCATTATCCTCCACAGGCATCTCGCCATCAGCCAAGGGCCGATCCTGCTTGCGACGCAGCTTAACCTTTCCGCCATTCCTCTTGCTCTCCTCTTCAATCTCCTCAATCCTCTGCTGCGCGCGCCAGAACGACAACCACTGAAACAAAAACTGCATCCCAGACACAAACATCAAAAGCCCTACAACCACTGTGCCAAACCCAGGCCTCCACCGGCTGTACAGATACCCGGTACCACGCCACATTGGCACGCCGTTCTTGCGAAAGAAATTATACCGCTTACGCGACTCCGCATCGCGCAGAATGTTGACGACGAGCCCGATGCGCTGGAACCGCTTCTTGGACGCTTTGCCAGCGGACGCTGGAAGCCTTTGGAGCTTGTCCGGGTGGTACTTTTTCGATAGTTGGCGGTAGGCTTTGTTGATTTCGTCGACTGTGGCTTTGGGCTTGATTGCGAGGAAGTCGTACCAGTCTGTGGTTGACTCGTGCTGCTTGATGTCGTCGTAGAGCTCGAAAATCTCATGGTCCAGCTTGTCCCATGCAAGGACAAGGCTGAGGAGGGAGGCTAGAACCACAAAAAAGAGAAGCGGCTTCATTGATGACGGGTGGTGGTGAAAATAATAAGGAAAAAGAATAAGGAAAACGGAAAAATAGAAAAAGGAAATAAGGAAAGGAGGGATTGTTAGCGAGAAAAAAAGCAAGAGAAAGAGAAAGAGATGAGTGGGAATGACAGAAATGGACAAAACAAATAATTTTTTTCTCTCGGAGGTTGTCGATTGTTAGCATTTATTTTACCATTCTTTTTGTGGTTTACTGTTTGTTTCAACTCGTTGGTCTTATAACATTGTTTTTTATTCTTTGCGAAATCAACCCCTTGTCTCATTGACTAATTTATAAGCGCTCCCGAAAACCCGCACGTTCGCAAAATAATACTTATGAGCAGCAGCAGCAAGGGTAAAAGGCACCACAACAACAGCGATGAGGAGAAGGACAAGCGGAAGCGCGTAGACGCAAGCTCCTCCTCCTCGGGCGAAGAAAGCGACAACAATGGTTCGGACAGCCAAGACAATTCTGACTCGGGCTCCGACTCCAACACCTCCCTTGGTGAAAACGAGCACGTCGACATTGACTTTGAGTTCTTCGATCCCAAACCCGAAGACTTCCATTCACTCAAACGCCTTCTTCAGGGCGGCTTTGGCGATGATGCCGAGGACTTTGATATCAGCGCACTGGCTGACCTCATCCTGGACCAAAAAACCATTGGCTCAACGGTCAAGATGGAAACTAACGGGGAACCCTACGCTCTGTTCACTGTACTCAATATGCAGCACCATAAGGAGACAAAGGTCATGCAGCAGATCTCCGCTTATTTGCTGAAAAAGGCCGGCGCCAAAAGGGAGAAGCTGCGGGAGATTCTGGAATCACACACGGTTGGGCTTTTGTTCAACGAGCGTGTAGTCAATATGCCGCCGCAGATTGTTCCGCCAATGCTGCGAATGCTTATGGAGGAGCTGGAGTGGGCGGTGGAGGATGGCGAGCCGTATAATTTTGATTATTACTTGATCCTGGCACCGATGTACAAGGAGACGGAGGAGCTGGAGAGTGGCGGCCGTAAGGTTGGGCTGGACGCCTTTGTGCATGCTGAGGATGAGTTTATTGAGGAGTTCGCTGGAATCAAGTTTGATTACAAGTTCACTAGGTCGAAGCGCGTGGCGGACTCACGCAATTCGTTTGCGGATACTGGGCTGGCTCCGTCAAGGCGCTGCTTGGTTGTGCACAAGTCAAAGGTTAAGGACATGATTAAGCGTGTGGAATCGGTGCTTGAGGGTTGATTACGTTGGGGGAGCTTTGAGATCAAAAAAATCTAGAATCATATTTAATGTTCTGCTTCTTTTTTGTTCATGATGAATTTATGTTAATTAAATTTGGATTGAACTACATAAAGTATGTCGTGCTCTATAAAAATGTGAGTCTAAATTTTATATATTCAAGTTTTAAAAATTACTTACTGAACTGAACTGAAAAAGGGGCAGCGCTGTAAACATCATGGTTTTCTTGGTGTCAGCCAGCAATACAGAAATGTGTATAGCGGTCATGAGGGCGATCTTGATTCTTGAAAGGAAGATAGTGGCTTGAAATGTGTGTTGGGCACCACAAAGCATAGATAGCAAATAAGCTGTAGTACATTTTAATAAAGCTATTATGATGATTATAACTATTATTTGAAATTAAAATATTATATTATAATGACAGCTATAACAGAGTGCTAGCTGCATCCTCTTGTTTATCAAAATTCAATATTGTCAAAATTGAAGGAAAGTAAATAAATTCACTGTAAATCAAAGTTGATTTATTTGGTTTTTAGTTTTGATCAATTATTTATTTAATTTTGACGCGCGCAGTCAGCTTGGGCAAAAATAAAAAGGAATAACAACTGTTATGTAAGAGGGGGGTGGGGAGCACTACTGTAATAGTGTTAAATAATGGTGTGAAATTATAAAGGTTTTATTACTAGTGTTTCTAAAGTGCTATTATCGCCGGCCTCGCTTATATATATCTCGTTGTCTTTGTGGCACCACTGGCAGTTGTGTGCTCCGTTCGCGAGAACTGGTCCTTATGAAATAACCCGGCTCTCTGATATGGCATGTCTGTATTCTTGCGCCCACACATCTATTTCGGGATAGGCAATATGTCGGATGTCAATTGTGGCGCCTAATTTGATCCCCTGTAATTTGGCTCATATCAGATCCATCTGTTAGCTGACGAGAATCTGTCTCATGATTTTGCCCTCAGCGTCTACATCCATATCTCGGGCTGCGTAACACAACTAGCTGACAACGTTGCTGTTAATTGCGCCATATGTGGGGACAAACCCACCACATGTTGGATAAAAGTCGAACGCTCTAAACCAACAGAGCTAACGAGGAACTATTTGCCGAGTTAGTCATTCTCGCTAAAAAGCAAATAACAGTATGAGGTTGGGCATACGCCTGTTTTTCTGACATTAATATGCTGTGCATTTAATACACACTTTTAAACTTATCAACTTGTACAAAATTTATGCAGCTGCGTAAGCTGGGGAAATATTTTACTAGTTTTAAAAATGACAGCTGGTTGCATCTACTGCTCAGGTGTGACTAAATATGTAAAGGCTACTGGCATTCAATATTTTAATAATGCAATGACGTACTGGATATTAAATAAAGTATTTTTAAGGCACATGTAATATGGCTTGTTAGAATCCTGTAATTTAAAATATTTCTAAGCAATTTTTATTAAATGGCACCTGTCTAACCGTTACCTTTTCAAGGTATTCATTAAAAGCTTGTTGAAACAAAAGAACTTAAACCTTTTATTGAGACACCAACATTTAAATATGTAAGAGTTTGTGAATGTGAATTGGTAGTAATTAAAATTTAATGTATCAAGTTTGCTAAAATATATAATGCAAATGATTGTTCTTGCCACTTTATATATTGTAGCAAATTAAATAAAAACTCAAATCAACAGATCAAATATGTGCACATAAAACACTAACTATTATTATTAACAAAAGCAAATATTTTATCCCAAAGCCGGCTACCGGTAAGTATTAATTATTTATTTATATTATATTTAAAAGCTTTTGACCAAAATCACCTTCAATAACAAAATTAAGCTTAATAAAAACTTATCAATCCAAAATTGCTGCTTTGTAATATTTTTGCTCAAAAATGCCCATCAGCTTGCAAGGTTACCGCCAAAATATGGCCAGCCAATACCCGGGTCATATAATGCTAATTCAAAATATGCCGAAAAATTGAATAAAATATTTAAAACCCAGAATTCAAAACAACACTATTGCTGACGGCAACGTTGTAATAACATTGAGCAATAAAAGCTGTGATAACCAAAAAGACAAATGATTGAATACAATAAATTAGTTTTTAAAATATATCTAAAACTAATGGCACATAATACATGACACACCACTAAAGTTACAATACAAGTGTTTAGAATACCAACTATTGCAAGGTATAACTTAAAATGGGTATCTACAGAATTTAACCAGTTAATGAAAGATAAATTATTTATTAACTATATTATGATAAAAAATATAAAAATATAGTATAAATAAAGCGTTTGATACAGGCAAGTTTATTGGTAAATTATTAAGTTAATCATATATTTGTAGTTGTTAGCTCACAGATAAAATAAGTTCTTGTTAGTTAATAGTTAATTATAATTAAGCAAATTTAAAACCCTTCAACTATAATAATGACTATCTGGATTAAGCCATCATAACCACACCACTTTGCTTAATGCTTTAACCGCACATGCAAACAGTTACACTCCTATTTTCTCTAAACCCTTTAATGAATAATTCTTATAGTGTTGTGAGAGTGGTAAGAGCAAGGCCAGTAACTATGAACTAAACAGCCACAGGGAGTGCTGTTAAAAGGAATTAAATATTTAATATATTTGAAAACCAAGGTGTTCTCGTCCTCATGGCAGGAACACCTTAGTATATATTGAATGCAAACTATGATAAGTGCGTGGCATCTCCCATGCCGCATATATGTAGACAAATATCAAAACAAACGACAATAGCAAAACAAATGCTATTTTGATGCACCTCGAAATTGCATCAATTTCCACTATTGTCAGGATCTGGCAAAAAGAGGTTCAATCATGATCACTACGCCGCTTTGCAATCAATGTGGTTGGATCAGGACATCAGATGAAGTCCTATATCTGTCCGATGTACCTGTGTGCGCAAAGGGGTCTCAGCCCGGGCCGCTGGCCTGGGTGCGGCCCCCTGAGGGGTTTCAAAGATAACATTGTAAATAGGTAAATTTCAAGTAATAGTAGTATAAGAAAATTAAAAGATTTATTCACAAGAAATGATGGATTGTTTGTTGTGCCATCTCTCTTTTTAAAGATAATTAAAGCATATTGCATTGTATGCGCTTGCTGGCGCTTATGGTGGAGAACAATACGCCGACTTGGAATCCCTTTTATTTGTTTGGCACAAACATGCTATTATGAAAACAGTTGCAAGCGTGGATACAATTCCAATTGTGTTAATAGTGAACGCTGCGCCGTATATGTCCAATGTTGTCGCAAGTCAATGTTTTTGTGATGAGCAGCAACCTCATGTTTGTTGTTGTCGACATCCATTCTGTTGTCTTCAACTGCTGGTCCCATGATGCAACAATACAAAACTCCAAGACAAGGATGCATTTCGAAGAATTTTTACGCATATTTGCATAAATCGGTTAACTAACATAGATTGGCAATAATAAAGCTTTATTTATATACACACAAAAATAATTTTCTATAGAAAAATTAAACTTTTGTATTGTGTTTACCATGTCCCAGATATCCCAACGTATTTACGTACGACTTTTGATATTCTAAAGAGTACACATAACATTATGCAAGGTATGTTCAATTGAAGGAAACTAAGGATGTACAGGACAGTGCTTGGTCATATGGTTCTGGAACCACACGATGCACACTTGGCGTTGCTAATATCGCAAGCAGCATTGGCAAATTCAGTGTTATTTTGCGAGAGCATTTTTATTTATTATAGATGTCCTTAATACTGGGTTTTGGAGTGTAAAAGTATTGTATTGGTTGTTGGAATGTTGTTGATGGTGATGATTGGTTTGGAAATGATGGTAGAAAACCGTTTATTTTATAGTATTTTGTAAATTCCATTTTTTTGTTCAACTGGGATACATTTAGTTGGAAAAATACAATATGCTAACCAATGAATTGTGGGAGGGAGTATATGTGCAACTTAAATTTTGGATGAGAGTAGGAATAATGTGTGCCGAGTATTGCACAATTAAATATATGCATGGCGCAATCGATGGATACAAATGCGCAATCGATCGGAAGAGTGAGCCAATGAGCAAGCATTGCTATGAATACTTTTTTTTTTAGCTAAATAGGTTTATTCTTTTTATAAAGCGTCAACGGGGTGTATTAGAGAAAAAAGTAATGATTTTTAATAGGTTTGGTGTACACGGTAGAGCTACGAAGGGCTTATTTTAAACATCCATTTTATTTCTTATTTAAAAAGATCGGTTGGGAGGAACCCTTATATTTTCCGCTTTTTAAAAACTAATGAATTTAAAAGAGGAAACCAACTTTAGAAATAACAAATGTAAATAGGCGCGATCGAGCGTTGATAAGAGAAATACTGCTTAAAGGCATAATACTTCACATACTCACAACACCCCCAATGTAATTGCAAGTAGTATTACTACAATGTGTGTGTATCGATTGTTTATTTTACAACACGTTCTTGTATATATGCCATCTTATCAATGTTGATCAAGAAGTCGGGAATAAGAAGATATCCCATGCAAATTTCTATCTGGTTTGCAAAAAAAAGCATGAATTTAATACAAAAGTAAATTAATCTGATTCCTAGATCTTCATATTCAATCAAATGATCAATCGATCGATAGCAACAATATTGCAAGAATGACGAAAATAATATTAAAAGTACGGTCCAGAATTTACATGTGCTTCAAATATACTGCGATGAACTTTTCAATGAAATAATTAAAAATCATAGCACAATTTTTTAACAAAAAGAATGATCTGGGCCGGAGAAGTAAATGTAAAAATGAGCTATATATTTTAGTAGCTCAGCGACAAATGCTCTCTTTTAAAGTGAAAAATTTTGTCGTCTTTTAGCCCAATTTTTTAACATCTATATTTTCTAATAATTTTCTTGACATCGAAATATGCAGCAAAATTATAACAATGAGGTGACCGGATGGCCTGATGCGTGTCCGGCCAAACAAGGCCTCTACGACCCCTCCAACGAGCGCGATTCCTGCGGGGTCGGGTTCATAGTCAACATCAAGGGCATTTCCTCCCACGCGCTCCTCCTTGACTCCCAATCCCTCCTCTGCAATATGAGCCACCGTGGAGCCACGGGCTCGCACGAGCACGACGGCGACGGCGCCGGAATAATGACATCCATGCCACACGGCTTCTTAACCAAGGCGTTCCATATCTTGGGAATCAATGCACCCATGGAGCATGGGCACTACGCTGTGGGCAATGTGTTTATGTCTACGGATAGCGATGAGAGGCAACGGGCGCAGAAGCGGTTTGAAGCCATAGTGCGCGATGTTGGTTTGATTGTAGCTGGCTGGCGGCGGGCTCCTGTTTTCTCAGAGTGTTTGGGCCCGGTGAGTGCCGGCGGCGAACCTTGGGTTATGCAGCCCCTGGTTGTTTGCTTGGGCGCGTGGGTCGGGGATGTGGAAATGAATAGGATGCTGTTTTTAATTAAAAAGCGCATCAGGCCCGTGGTCGGATATCTTTGCTCACTGGATACGCAAACTCTGGTGTATAAGGGGCTGTTTTGCCCATGGCAGCTGTTTGAGTACTATGCAGATTTGAAAGATTCCACGTATTCAACGCATTTTGCCTTGGTGCATTCGAGATTCAGCACCAATACGTTTCCGTCCTGGGAGCGCGCACAGCCGTTCAGCCTGTGTGCGCACAACGGCGAGATCAATACGCTGCGTGGAAACAAAAACTGGATGCGAGCTCGAGAGGGTCTGCTCAAGTCGGACTTGTTTGCGGATGATCTCCAGTCAGCGTTCCCGATTATTGACGAGTCCGGGTCGGACAGTGCGGCATTCAACAACGTATTGGAGCTGCTCACAGCCAGCCAGGCGTTTTCATTACCAGAGGCTCTAATGGTGATGGTTCCGGAGGCGTGGCAAAACGACGCGCATATGTCCGCGGCCAAGCGCTCGTTCTACGAATGGGCGTCGTGTATTATGGAGCCCTGGGACGGGCCTGCACTTTTTGCCTTTAGCGATGGCAGGTACTGCGGCGCACAGCTGGACCGGAATGGGCTGCGGCCCTGCCGGTACTATATTACCCGGGACGACCAAATGATCTGCGCGTCAGAGGTGGGGGTGGTGAGTGTTGCGCCAGAAAAGGTCGTGCAGAGAGGAAGGCTGATTCCCGGCAGGATGCTCCTGGTGGACACGCAGTTGGGCATTGTGGTGGACGACGAGTTGATGAAGGAAAATATCGCGGGGACGAGGCCATTTTCGCAGTGGATAGAGCAGCAGCAAATCCGCCTTGAGCACTTCGAGAGCACCAGCGACGATATTCTGATCGACAATATTCCGCTGTCAGCTGACTGCCGGATGGCAGCGTTCGGGTACTCAGCGGAGCAGCTCGATCTGATTCTGGGACCGATGGCGCTGCACGGCAAGGAGCCGCTGGGATCCATGGGCAATGATGCGGTGCTGGCATGCCTGGATACCCGGGTGGTGCGACTACCATACGAGTACATGCGACAGTTGTTCGCTCAAGTGACCAACCCACCAATCGACCCGATTCGAGAGAAGCTTATCATGTCTCTGCGCTGCCACGTCGGGCCCGAAAGAAACCTCCTCCAGGTCTCCGAGCACCAAGCGCACCGACTGTCGCTGGACTCGCCGGTTCTCACGCTGCCGCAGCTCGCGGCCATCCGCTGCATGGCTGCCACAAAGTACCCAAGCTGGACTACAAAGACCATTGACATTACTTTTGATGCGGCGCTGGGTATCGATGGCTACGCGGCTGCGCTGGACCGTGCGTGCGCAGAGTCCACAGAGGCTGTCGAGGATGGGTGCCGGGTCATCATACTGTCCGACCGTCTGGCCGACGACAAACGCGCAGCGGTGTCTGCGCTGCTGGCGCTGGGCGCCGTGCACCACCACTTGGTTGCGCAGCGGCAGCGCGCGCGCGTGGCACTGATGGTGGAGACTGGCGAGGCGCGCGAAACGCACCACTTCTGCGTCCTACTGGGCTACGGGGCCGACGCCATCTGCCCGTACATGGCGTACGAAGTGCTGGCAAAGCTGCACCGCGAGAATGTCCTGCAAGACTACACCATTGGTGAGCTGGTCGCAAGGTTCCAGCATGCGGTGGACGATGGCATGCGCAAGGTTATGAGCAAAATGGGTATTTCCACTCTGCAGTCCTACAAGGGCGCGCAGATCTTTGAGGCGCTCGGCGTTGCCAAGGGCGTCGTTGACCGGTGCTTCCGCGGTACCGTGTCACGCATTGGAGGCACAGACATGCGCGGCTTCGCCATGGCCGCCTTGGTGCGGCACCACCGGGCGTACGGCCATCACGTATTGGGCGACGAGGGCGAGTACGCGTGGCGCGCCGGTGGCCAACGCCACGTCAACATCCCGCAGACGATCAGCAGCTTGCAGGATGCTGTGCGGCGGCAGAACGCCGATGCCTGGCGGCAGTACACAGACGCGGCGGAGCGCGCAATGGAGCAGAGTACGCTGCGCGGGCGACTCGAGCTGCATGGCGGCCAGGCCATTGATGTGAGCGAGGTGGAGCCATGGACGGCCATCGTGCGGCGGTTCTGCACCGGCGCCATGTCCTATGGGTCAATTTCCATGGAGGCGCACGCGGCGCTGGGCGTGGCAATGAACCGACTCGGTGGGAAGAGCAATTCGGGCGAAGGTGGCGAGGACGCCAGGCGCTCGCAGCCGCTGGCCAACGGCGACTGTGCGCGGTCAGCCATCAAACAGGTGGCGTCGGGGCGGTTCGGCGTCACGAGCCGGTACTTGGCGGACGCCGACGAGCTCCAAATTAAAATGGCGCAGGGCGCCAAGCCCGGCGAGGGCGGCGAGCTGCTCGGCACCAAAGTGTCAACGGCGATCGCACGCACGCGACACACGACCCCGGGTGTCACTTTGGTGTCGCCGCCGCCACACCACGACATTTACTCAATCGAAGACCTCAAGCAACTGATCTTCGACCTGAAGAGCGCCAACCCGCGTGCGCGCGTGTCAGTGAAGCTTGCGTCCGAGAGCGGCGTCGGCGTGGTGGCGGCAGGCGTAGCCAAGGCGCTGGCCGACCACATTTTGGTGGCCGGCCACGATGGCGGCACAGGCGCAGCGCGGTGGACTGGCATCAAGTACGCCGGGCTTCCATGGGAGCTCGGGCTGGCCGAGACGCACCAGACGCTGGTGCTCAATGCGCTGCGCGGCCGCGTGGTGCTGCAGGCCGACGGGCAGCTGAAGACTGCGCGCGACGTGGCTGTGGCTGCATTGCTAGGCGCCGAGGAGTTTGGGTTTGCAACGGCGCCGTTGGTGGCGCTCGGCTGCGTGTACTTGCGACGGTGCCACCAGAACAGCTGTGCCGTCGGCGTGGCTACGCAGGACCCAGTACTGCGCAGCAAGTTTGCTGGGCTGCCCGAGCACGTCGTGCATTTCTTCCAATATTTAGCCGAGGACTTGCGCGTGCTTATGGCTGCGCTGGGTTTCCGCACGGTGGCCGAGATGGTTGGCCGCTCCGAGCACCTGCGAGAGCGCGCTGGCGCAACACCAGTCGGCATTGATCTGAGCGCGCTGCTGCGGCCGGCGCACAGCATGCGTCCCGGCGCGGCAACACGTTTTGAGTGCGCGCAGGACCATGGCATCAAGCAACGCATGGACGCGCGCCTAGTGCCGCAGCTTCTGCAGGCGCTGCAGACTGGCAAGCGCATGGATGTCTCTACTGATGTGCACAACACCGACCGCGCGGTCGGCACTCTGCTGTCGTACCATGTATCGTGCATCAAAGGCGCTGAGGGTCTGGCCGAGGGCTCTGTGCGGCTGCGGCTGCGTGGATCGGCCGGCCAGTCGCTTGGCGCATTTTTGGCGCCCGGCATTGCCATTGACTTGGAGGGCGATGCCAACGACTACGTCGGCAAGGGTCTGTCTGGCGGCCGGCTAGCCGTGTACCCACAGCGCGCTAGTTCTGATGTCGACAACAACGTCATTGGCCTGGATGGCGCGGCCACCAGCAACAACGTAATCGTCGGCAACGTGTGCCTTTTTGGTGCAACCTCGGGCGAGGCCTTCATCTGCGGCTTGGCTGCAGAGCGGTTTGCTGTGCGTAACTCCGGCGCGCTGGCCGTGGTTGAGGGGGTTGGCGACCACGGGTGCGAGTACATGACCGGCGGCCGCGTTGTCGTCCTGGGCAATGTCGGCCGCAACTTTGCCGCCGGAATGTCGGGCGGTATCGCCTACGTGCTGGCAAGTAACCTGCACAAAATGTGCAATGTGGAATCCGTTGGCCTTGTCGCGGTGCAGGGTGGTGAGGAGGCGCGGTGGCTGAGGCGCACTGTTGAGCGCCACGCAGAATTGACCGGGTCCATTAAGGCACGCAACGTTATCGAGCGTTTTGATGAGCTGCTTCCCAAGTTCACCAAAGTGTACCCGCATGAGTACCGCCGGGTGCTCGAGGCAGAGGCCGAAAAAGAAAAGGAGGCAGAAACACAGACAGAGACCATTTTGCCGCCGGCCTTGGCAGACACGGTGGCGTCGCTGGTGGACATCGAGGATGCAATGGTCGATGACTCGCAGCTGGCCAAGCGCGTCCAGCGGCTGGACAAGCTGCGCGGGTTTGCCAAGTACCGGCGGCGTACTGACGCGTACCGTCCAGCGCACGCGCGCACAAAGGACTGGCAGGAGATCAGCGCGCGGCAGACCAAGGCGCAGCTCCAAGTTCAGGCATCGCGGTGCATCGACTGCGGCATTCCGTTCTGCCAGTCCAGCAGCGACGGCTGTCCTTTGGGCAATGTTGTGCCAAAGTGGAATGACCTTGTGTTCCGCGACCGTTGGCATGACGCGTTCTTGCGGCTGATGGCTACAAATAATTTCCCAGAATTCACCGGCCGCGTGTGTCCGGCGCCCTGCGAGGGCGCCTGTGTGGCTGGGATTAGCGAAAAACCTGTGGCAATCAAGGCTATTGAGGCCGCCATTATTGACCATGGGTGGGAGATGGGCTGGATGCAGCCAAGGCCACCCCCATTGAGAACTGGTCGGAGTGTAGCTGTGGTCGGGTCAGGACCAGCCGGTTTGGCGGCAGCCGAGCAGCTGAACTCCGCCGGCCACCTGGTCACCGTGTACGAGCGTGAGGACCGCATTGGTGGGCTGCTCGTCTACGGCATTCCGAACATGAAGCTGGACAAGCAGCTGGTGGCGCGGCGCGTCGACAAGATGCGTGACGAGGGTGTTGTCTTTGTCACTGGCGCACACATTGGCACCGCTGGCCGCCCAGCGGCAGACCTGCTGCAGAGTGCGGATGCAGTGTTGCTGGCTACTGGCGCAACGTGGCCGCGCGACCTGGCGATTCCCGGCCGCCAACTGGAGGGCATCCATTATGCCATGGATTTCCTAACCACCAGCACCAAGCGGCTGCTGGATGGCCAGCCGGGTGCTTTTTCGGCCGAGGGCTGCCGCGTGGTGGTCATTGGCGGTGGCGACACCGGAAATGACTGCATCGGCACGGCCGTGCGCCAGGGTGCCCAGAGCGTTGTTAATTTTGAGCTGATGCCCAAGCCGCCCACTGAGCGCGCCGTGGATAACCCATGGCCACAGTACCCACGCACCTTCCGCATTGACTATGGCCATGAGGAGGTCGTGGCGCACTGGGGCAGCGACCCTAGGCAGTACTGCATTTCGGCCAAGCGCTTTATTGGCAGCAGCAGTAGCGGTGGTGATTCCAATAGTGGCCGCGTCACAGGAATCGAGACTGTGCGTGTGGAGTGGACCAAGGGTGATTCTGGGTGGACCATGCAGGAGGTGGCTGGGTCAGAGGAGGTCTTTGAGGCCGACCTGGTGTTTCTGGCCATGGGCTTTTTGGGCCCGGAGAATTCTGTTCTGGACGAGCTCTGCGTCGAGCGCATGCCCCGGTCGAACGTCAAAACAGCAGAGGGGTCGTATGCAACTAGTGTGCCCTGTGTGTTCGCTGCTGGTGACTGCCGCCGCGGCCAGAGCCTGGTTGTATGGGCGATCAATGAGGGAAGACAGGCTGCGCGCGAAATCGACCAAATGCTACAGAGGGAATGTGACCAACAGATGGTGGTGGGATTTTCAGACTTGCCGGTTTCTGGTGGTGTTTTGTGCCTCGAACACTTCGAGCCGATTTTGGAAACAGAAGTGGAAGTCAAGATCTAGATTGCGCCACCTTAATTTTAAAGACGGATTAAGTAATGGATTAAGCGAGGGAAAGAGCGTGTGGGCCCAACACCTTTTTTTCTCTTTTAACGCGTGTCCACTTGTTATTTTTGTTATTTTTTCTGCTTGGGTGTTTGTTTGGGAAGAGGCAGGTGGCTTAGGGAAAGAGAGAGCTGCATTTTTTGTATTTTCGTTTCGTTTCAATTATTATTTTTGATTACAATTTATCTGACTTGATCTATAAAATTATATATTTTTAAAATCCTATAAATATGAAGACGCAGCAGCCAAAGTCAAAGCTAAGGTCAAAGATGCAGCAGCAGGAGGAAGAGCCAGAGTCACCCACTTCTGTTTATAGCGACTATGAAGAGCAAGACGAGGATCAGCAGCAAGAGCAAGACGAGGAGCAGGAGCAGGAGCAGGAGCAGGAGCAGGAGCAGGAGCAGGAGCAGGACCAGGACCAGGACCAGGACCAGGACCAGGATCAGGATCAGGAGCAAGAGCAGGAGGACGAGTATGAAGAGGACCAGGAGCAGCAAGAGGACGACAACGAGGAGGAAGTAGATAGTGCTGCTGAAGAAGAGGTTGAAGAAGCTAACGAAGAGGCTGAAGCTCAAGTTGAAGACGAAGCTGAGGAAGAGGCTGATGAGCAGGCCGAAGCTGATGAGCAGGCCGATGCTCAAGAGGAGGCCGATGAGCAAGTCGACGAGCAGCACCAACATCAGCAAGATGAAGAGATGCTCGATACCCCTGCTTTGGTTTCCCCACGCGCCGAGGCGTCTAACAGCGTCAACATGGATGACGCGCTGGCCAAGGCGCGCGCTATCGCCCTGAAGCTGGGCTCGATTCAGAACCCTCCTCTCTCTGCGCCTCTGTCCGCCTCCCTCGTGTCGCCGCGCCCTGAGGACACGTCCGATGCGCACCACCGCCACCGCCGCAGCGCATCGCCTCCAGCGGATCTGACCAGGCATCGGTCATACGACAGTGAGTCGCGCGTGCCGCCACCGCCCCAGCGCGGACACAAGCGCGAGCGCTCGCCCTCCCATGAGCACCGCAGCAGTGGCGCTGTGGATTCACGGAGGGAGAGCCGCAGAAGGCTGGATTCGCTGGAGGAAGGGGGAAGGTCGCCTGAGGCGCTTCCAGTTCTGGAGTTCGCTATTCCCATGGCGCTTGTCGGCTTGGTCATTGGCCGCCAGGGCGCTAATATGCGGTCAATCGAGGTGCGCCACGGCGTGCGTATCCAGCTGAGCACACAGTTTGACCGCCGCGATGCCGAGCGCAAGGTTACCGTGCAGGGCGTCCAGCAGGCAGCTGAGGCAGCGCGCATGGATATTTTGGATTTTGTTGAGGGCCACAAGTTCAAGCTTCAGGAGCAAGGCCAGGACCAGGCCCAGGACCAGGGTCAGGGCATGGGCCATGGTCAGGCTCCTAGGCAGCCGATGTCGCCCCCTGGTGCATACAGCGCGGGGCCGGCGAGCCCTTCGGGTATGACCACCATTATGGTGCCCAGTTCTAAGGTCGGCCTGATCATCGGCAGGGGCGGCGAGAGCATCCGCGATATCCAGCAATCATCGGGCGCTCGTGTGCAGGTGCAGCCGGACAACGGCCGGGGCGCGCCCGAGAGACCTATCCAATTGATCGGTCTACCCGACCAGATCGAGTACGCGCGCGTGCGCATTATGGAGATTGTCAACTCGGAGCGTCCCGTTGGCATTGGCGGCGGCGGCAATGGTGTTGCCCCCGGTGGCTACCAGCAGCGACAGGAGTATGCTCCGCAGAATCAGGCGCAGGGATTTGGTGCGCCGAGACATGCCCAGCAGCAGTCCTACGGTATGCTTCCGCCCCAGCAGCAGCAGCAGCAGGATAGGTATGGTGGGGCAGCGGGACCGATGGCTTCGGCTATGCAGTCGATGGCACCGCCGGCTCATGTTGAGGAGATGCAGATTCCTGCTGAGGCTGTGGGGATTGTCATTGGGAGAGGTGGTGAGAGTATTAAGCTTTTGCAGCAGACTTCGGGCGCCCGGATTCAGATCATTCAGGGCCAGGACCGTAGTGCTCCATTCAAGCCGGTTACCATCTCTGGAGACCATGCCGCTTGCATGCGTGCCCGGAGGATGATTGAGGAAAAGGTTGACAGCTTACAGGTAAGAACATATATAATTATTGAGTTGGCATTGTGAGCCGTATATGGTTTATGTATTTGGTTATTGCAATTTTGTTTATCATGTTATTGACTTCTTTATCTATTTTTTTTTACTTTTTGTATGTCTGTTTTTAATTCGTCCTGTCCCTTTCCCCTTCTCTCTGTCGCCATATTGCTTGTTCTATTGTTGACTTGCTGTTGTACCTATCTTGTCCTCAATGCCCTGTTGTTGTTGCTTGACTGGTCATTTTGGTGGATTACATATGTATTGTCCATTTCTTTTTTTTATGTATTGGGGAAGGATATCTAGGAAAGAGCACCTGTTGCTGCAGGATTTGCCGGTGGCCGTTCTACTCAATATGGCACTGCACCATCATCTGGCTACGACCAGCCGCAGCGCAGATCGGCCCATTCGTATAGCGGAGGCAGTTACGCCCAGCAGCAGCAGCAACCGTCGGCAGCGGTGGGTGGTGCTTATAGCGGATACGCGTCTGAACAACCCCAGCAATTCTACGGCGCCCAGCAGGCTCAATCTCAGCAGGCTCAGCAGCAGATTAATGCAGCACCTGCCGCGCAATACACTGCTTCGAGGTACCAACAGACAGGGTACCAGCCCCAGGCTCAGGCTCAGGCTCAGGCTCAAACACAGGGTCAGGCACAGGTATCTGGCGATCAGCAGGCTACTCAATGGACTAACCAACAAACAGCCGATTATTATTCTCAGTATGCATCTACTAGTCCGGAGTATGCTCAGTACGCTGAGTATTATCGTAAATTGGCTGAGAAGGATCCCAATGGCATTGTTCCTTCTGACAACTAAGAAAAAAATTGTTTGTAATTGTTTTTTTCTTTTTCTTTTGCTGTTGTTTTTATTCGTTTTTATTTACTTGTGATGGAGCGAAGTGGGGGTTTTTTATCTTATTATACGTTCTTTTTTATGTTTTTGGTGCATGTCTATTTGTTTTAATGAATGTATCGCGAAGTAGTTTTCGTTGTATTTGGCTTTTGATGGTGTCAATATTGTATGTTTCAAGGCAGTCTTTTTTTCTGTCAATTGTATGATTGTGTTCTGCGGAATGCGCTCCTTGTCTCATTCTTGTAGTTTCATGTGTTGAATGTATTTTTTTGCATGTACCCAACGATACAAAACAAACCAAATCAAATCAAATCAAGAAAATAAATGGGAGAGAGAGACCGAGGATGAGAAGAGTTGGGCAGAGTTGACTATTGGTTCACCAGCAAATAAAAACGGAATGCAATGCAACATATCTTTTATTGACGGGGAAATATTTGCAAATACTTGCTTGCAGGGCTTTTCAGCACGAGATAAATATATGCACACCAGATAAATAAATAAACAGGATATTCTGTCAGCTGATACAAATTAGTTTGTTTATTTTTCAACTTTAGTCTGTGCGTTTGCAATAAAAAATCCTGGTGTAAATCCCAAAGAAAAAAGTCAATTGTAAAAAAAAAGTATAAACCAAAAAAACGATTTAATTGTCCATAAGCAAATGGATATTGGGTTTTAGGCACTCCTCCTGCAGGATCCGCAAGTGTATGACATTAATTCCCGCAGCACACATGGTCTTCACTCCATTGCAATCGAAAAAGGAGTCGGGCTCCTTGACACCAATGACCACGGTTTTAATTCCAGCGTCAATAATGTACTTTGTGCACGGCACCTTGGACACTCTCTCCGAGGAGCACGGCTCCATCGTCGTGTACAGCGTGGAGCCGGGGATCATATGTCTGTTGTTTCCCTGCTGGGCCTTTGCAATGGCGTGTGCGGCGGCGTGAAGATTTAATTTGCTCTCATTGGACCGGCCCTCGGATATAGGGTACTTCCCCTTGACCAAGAAAACGCCCGTGCTAAAGGCGTTTGTGTTCGGGGCTGCTATTTCGGCCTGCATTATTGCCAGTCTCATAAACTCAATATGTGCCTCGACCTCACCTACACATATTTTATATAGGATTTATATGCAAGGTAATTTTAATAAGAATAGCATTGGTTTCAATTTCTTTTATGAAAAGAAAATCCATTCATCGTGCTGCGTGTTTTTTTATTTTTTTATTTGCCCAGGTGGTACTTACTGCTGGTGCCATCGTCGTGATCTATAACTGTGAATGACCCGGGTGTTATTTGCTGTCGAGACATGGTTAATGTAAGGCGAACTGATATGAGTATTACAAAGGCAACGTGTATAAAAAAGACGATTGTATTGAAAATGCTATTATGCTATAGTGCAAAAAGAAGAAAGAAAGAAAAAAGAAACTAAGAGCGAAAGAAAAAAGTCAATGAGTCAATGAGTCCAAAAAAAGAGGTGGGATTATTCGATTTGCGAATCCAAAAGAAAAATGGTGTGCGACAATGAAGGGAACTGGCAAAATAGGGCTTGCATGCTCCCTTAAATAAAAATTTTTTGGGAGATTTTCTAAAATAAAAGAAAGGGGGAAGAAAATAAAGCACAAAAAGGGGGGGGGAGTATTGGGGATGGTTGAGCGGGTGGGGGTGGTTGGATGTAGGGGGCATCGGCGGGTATAAAGAAAGGGTTTTTGATACCTTTCACTTTTTAATGTGAATGCGAGAGAAAAAAATCAACAATCGAAAAAGAATGCGAAATTGGAAGATGATATGAACAAGGTCAAAGCCCAGGAAAATTGACATGCATATAAGCTTGCGACTCTGTTAATCTCTATACATAGCTAATTTATTTTATTTTCCGCTCGTTTTATTATTCCACTCAAAAATAAGCAATACCATCAGCTCGCAAAAAACCCCTTTGAATGCAATAGAAAAGCACCAAACTAGTCGTAAAGTGACTTTTACTGTTTCAAGTCAAAAGCGTGTTGTTATTTAGGAAATAAACGCCGCTCCACAATTTGTTGTTTGTCTGTCATCCGGAACGTCCACCCGTCATTCAATAATAAATTTTGAGTTTCTGACAATAATCACACTGAACAATGCTGCCTCTTATCCAATTGGCATGGAACATGTAGAAAATAAGCATTCAAAAATTGTAAAATAAAAACTGGGGCGTAGAGGACGCAAGCTTATCACGAATATGTATGAGGAAAGCACGAATGGGCAGCCTTGAGTTTGTCTTGTTATTTGTTGGCTGGCTGGCTGGCTGGCTGGCTGGTTGGGGAGGCAAATAGAAATTGGTGGAAAAGAATGTCGGGTCGAGTATTGGGTTTCGAATAATACACAAAGAAGCTTTTTTCCTCGCGCGCGCGAGCGCGTCTCATTGAGCCATTGCATCATTACATCATTTCGTCAACAAATACAAATACAAATACAAATACAAATACAAATAAACGGGAATTGCTGCAATATAGCATCCAATTTTTCGGGCAATAATAAAACAATAAAATAACGAGGTTTATTTTGTCTTTTGATTCCTGGACATGGGATAAAAGATAATACAGGTGCTTTAAACTAAGTGGGTACAAATCGTATTTTTCTTTGGCATTTTGCTTGTGCGCCTCTCATTTGCTCACGTTATTCCGGCACCAATTTCACCATAACTACTGTAAGCAGTATCATTTGCCACTCGCCAACATTGTACATTTGTTTGGGGTGGTTTTTCATCTGAATAGACAACAATAAATTCTATTATTTTCTACTATTTTCTATCTACTTAGTATTCACTTAGTATCTCACCAAGCCCATTTAATATGGACCAGGATACGGCGAGAGCGTTGTTTGCAAAAGGAGCGTGTCTGGTAATTTTTGATGCCCCAAGCGGAATGGAGTTTGGCATAGACATGGACACTTGGGAAACAGGGCCTTTGTTCAAGGGAATTAAGATGATACCGCCTGGAATTCACTACGTCCACTACAGGTAAAGCGCAATAGCTTATTGCCAAAGCGGTGAGATACGAGTCGGGGGGGGGGGGGGGGACAACAACAGGATGGGGACAAAAGCGTCATTTAAATTCTGAATCTACATATTTATTTATTTATTTATCTGTGCATGCATGCATGCATGTAGTGCAGTGAACAGCGACAAGCAAGCGGGAATGCGGAGTGGATTTTTCCACAACTACATGTCCGGAGAGGTACACAACAGAACACACCAAACGGTGCATAAGCACGTTGTCTGCGAAAAAAAATGCATAGATTGCCATGCGCTAATGCCTTGTTTTTCCATTATCGCGGGATCCCCTTTGTAGATTGTTGCCAGGCGGTGGTGTGCCGAAACCGAGCAGCTTTTCCCGAGAGACAACGTGTCCGAGGACGATATCGTGCGGATTCGTGCGAATATCCGCGACCTGGACTCGGGGCTGGCCGCATACCCGCTGGGCAGCGCCGACGGAGAGAGCTCGTACCTCCGGTGGCAGCGGCTGACCGGATACATGGCGCCCGAGATGCTGACGCGGCTGCTGCCTTGCGGCGGCGAATTCACGTCTGCCACGGGGTCGGCGTACGAGGACGAGGAGATGCAGCGCGCCCAGCGCATCCTGCACCGCACCGAGCCTGCCATAGCCGCCTCTGCTGTGGCCGCAGATGCGGACGCGGATCGATTTGGGTTTGCGCGCATAGACATCAAGCATTCGTTCCCTGTCGGCGCAGCCGCCGAGGATATCCGGCGCTACAGCCTGGACAAAACCTGGCTCCTGCGCACCCTTCTTTGCGAGCACTGGCGCAGTGCATCGGACCTGCTTGGCGAAATGCAACTGTCCTTTCTGATCATTTTTGTCGGCCAGAACTTTGCCGGGCTGGAGCATTGGAAGCACCTTTTGCACTTAGTTTTTGGCAGCGCCGAGGCCCTGGAGGACGGGCGCTTGGTTGCGGATCTCTTTGTGCCTGCTGTCAGGCTGTTGGCTGTGCAGCTGAGGGAGTGTCCGAGGGAGTTTGTGGCGTCGGTGCTGGAGCAGGACAATTTTATTGCGGTGGTTCTGGGCAGGTTGGTGCTTAACTTGCATGAGTGCGGGAGCTGTTCGGGAAGGGAGGCTTTGGAGCCGGAGGTGGGGCGGCTGAGGGGGCTGCTCTATGCGAGGTTCGGCTGGTCTTTGCCTGACGGACAGCAGATGCAAGAGATGGCTGATGTGGAAGAAGGCGAGTATGCTCCGCAGGTGGTCTCGCTGGATTAATTAATGGATTTAGCCTCGATTCTATTGTTTTTTTGGCTGCGGAATCTACATTATTCTTAATGGTTGCCGCGATGGCTTCATTCTCGCCCTATTTTTCTTCTTCTTTCTTTCTTCTTTCCTTCCTTCGTTCCATTCGGTGCGAATTTCAACTTTCAATTCCAATTTCAATTCCAATTCCAATTCCAATTCCAATTCCAATTCCAATTCCAATTCCAATTCCAATTTTTGTTTCCATATTTTTGAATTTATTTTTTCCTATTATACAACATGCTGCTTCACTCAGCAGGCGAGACCAGTACGAGCACACCTCCAGGAGCGACCACAAACGTAAGCCAGCACATAAGAAGAAGCTATACCCAACCCTCCTTTTCCATCCCGAGCAGAAAATAGCCGTTGCTAACACTCACACAAGGCTGTGCCTTTTTTGTTTTGCGTTAGCGGCGACCATGGCTTGTGCGAGCACAAAGCTCCGAGATTTTGTTCTTCAACACAGTACTGGAGACATCACAGCAGCTTAGCCAACAGTCGTCCACCTCTGGCCATTCGGAGAGCACCACCCTACGAGCAGATCAGCTTTTGAAAATCAGTGACACGCATATTGAAATGGAAGGTACGCGGAATGCAGTAGGAGAGGAGCGATTGTGGGTGGTGTGTGCGCTGAGTTCCGTGCCGGCGAAAAGGGTTATGGCGATGCCTGGGAGCGGATTGGATTGGATTGTGGAGCACGTATCGGGCCAGGCCAGTGTCATTGGCCAGGCCAGTGCTTTTGGGCAGACGAGTGATGCTGGGCAGGCGAAGGTGGGCTGCTTGCTGCTTGGATCAAGTGTCGTGTGCTCGTGGTGGATGGATCCGTGGACCGTTGGGGTGGTTACCAGAGACGACAGCGGGATGCTGCTTTTTGTTATTGATTTTCCTGCTGCTGTCGCTGCCGCTGCCGAGGATTGCGGCCGTTTGCCCTACTGCCATGCAGACAGGGCGGTCGCCAGGCTGGGAGCAGTCGAGAGCAGCCAGGAGCCAGCTCTTGGACTGAGCGGCGCTTGCATTGGAGCAGCGACCGGGCCGACGATTGCTCGGGGCAACCACATCGTGCAGGCAATGGGCGGCGTGCTAAAAACATGGCGGATCGACAGGAGAGCCAACGGTGGCAAAGTCAGCGTGATCAGAGACGAGGTCTGCTTGGCCGAGTCCATCCTAGGCGGCCAGGACGTCATTGACCTTCGGTGGACCGGTGACGGCGTAGGCCTCGGCGCCACGCGATCGCGCGCGTTCTGGTTCAGTCTGCCTGCAACCGGCGGAAAAACAGCGTACATTGTTCCTTGCGACTCGTATGACCGGCTCTTGCCCGGCATGGCATCCTGGCGCTGGGGCGAGTCGGTCGTGGCCACTACGCCCTGTGAAAAAAGGGAGCTGCCTCCGCAGGGTGCGTTGCTGTGCTTGCCGTCTCCCACGGGAGTGTCTTTTTACTCGTCGGAGGGCCAACAGGCTGGGGTTGAGCCCGTGTATACACAGATGTTCTCGAAGGGCTGGGTGTGGCTGTGTGGGTCGGAGACTGCTTTTGTCACTTTGTCGCCATGCAGGCAAATGGCTACTGTGTGCCGCATGCCGATGGGCGAGCCTCTGTATACGCTGCGGGTACATGACAGAGCTGGTGGAAAACAGTTGATCCAGGACGGGTGGATGACGGGTGTTGGTGCCGGGTGTGCCATTTCGACAGGCAGCGCTTTGTATTTGGTCGGCTGGCAGAAGTCAAACTAAAAAAATTAGTGAATTTGTATGCACTTGCTTGTCTGGTGATATTTAATCTGTAGTTCTAATTGCGCATCATTATCCCGTTTGTGCAGCAATTAATGTTACTTGCTATTGCCGCCTGGAAATGCAGCTTGATACATGACATGAGTTGTGCCGAGCTTGTCAAATGACAAGGCGACCGGGTGATTTAATGACAATAGTGCCTATTACTTTCCTCCCCCACCCAATTAATGATGTATTGAAGCTCAATTATTGGAACAGAATCACTCGATGCAATGCAAACGAAAAAGACATGTGCGTATGCGAGTTGGATTTAACTGGGGAAAAAAATCAACAATGAATTGAAACATGCATTTTTATAATGGGCGCTATCTCCCCCTTTATACAATGCCCCCATCTAAATTCTTTTTTTTGCAGTCTAGTAGCTTGGCTTGTTTCCGCTTTTAATAAAATGCTTAGGTGATAAGAGAAAAAAGGAAAAAGAGAGGAAAAGAAGACGACCACAAAAAAAAGAGAGCAGTTATAAAGAGTGGCACACACTCTTTGTCTAATAGACAATGATATCCTTTGACCACACTACCTTCAATTGGACTATACATATCAGGAGACTATGAGAACAAACCCTTTTTTCCCCAAAGAAAAATTTAAAGCCAAGAGTGAAGAAGAAGAAAAAAGTAAACGAAAAACGCAGTAGCCTGTTTTGTAGTGTGCTTGTAAGTGGAGCGGACTTGTAAATAATTTAGACAGGCGCAGACAAAAGGCACACCTGCATAAAAAATTAATAATAACTTTCCCTTCTATTTTTCTTTTCTCTTTCACAAAAAAAAAATAATTTTTATTTATTTACACTATACCTCACACTTCCTATACTATTCGATTTTTTTATTTTTTATTTTTCACGTCTTACCACTGTATAAAAACAATTTATTATTTATTTTTTGGACTTTTTTTTCAAATATGACAAACGACGCCCCCGGTAACGATGCTGCGGGTACACCAAAGCCACGCAGGCTGCGTGAGGGGATTGCAACCAAACTGCACTTAGGCAAGGGTGGTCAAAAGGCGCGTCGCGGGTCGACGCCGCGTACCAGCCAAATGACCGAGTCCAACCTGGCAAAGTTCACGCAAATAAGCAGCAACACAGGGTCCTCCACTTCTTCCGCCATCCCCGCCGCCTCTGCCGCCGCTGCTGCTGCCAACACAGAAGACATGCGCAGCATGACTGGGAACATCAAGAAGGATGCAGCCATTCTAGAAAACCTGAACGAGCGACTCCAGTGCATCACCGAGGGTGTAGCCCCCTTCCGAGTCAAATTCGAAAACAACAAAGGAGAGGCCACAATGTCCGACGTGTACCCTGAAGAAGAGTTCAACGAAGTGCTGCAGAAAGTGACTGCCAAACTGCGCATGTCCAGACATTCCGATTACATCATTATGTACAAGGACACGGATGACGAGGAGATTGCGGTTGCTTGTACGGACCATTTGCGCGAAATGTTTGGGCTGTTTGAGCCTGGATGCCGGCTGCAGCTCAAGATTGTGCCGTTCAATATTAACAACAGCGGCGCGCTAGATAGTATTGCGAAAATATGGGAGTATGGCCTGACTCCGAATGTTTTTGTCGACGAAGCGGAGAGCGACGATTCAAGTGATGAGGTGGACTTGACGCATATTAAGCTGGCTACGGACGGACACCAGAAGGAAGAAAAAAAGGCAGAGTCTGCTGCTGAGACCGCAGTGGCCACTGCGGCGGCAGCGTTGGCTGAAGCAAAGGCTGTGGCAGAGAAGGCCGCTGCTGATGCTGCTTCGGCTGCGGGGGTTGCCGCGGCGGCTGAACTGAAGGCCTCCGAGGCGGCGGCGGCTGCCTCTGCGGCTGTTGCCAAGGCTGAGGCCGAGGCCAAAGCCAAGAAGGAGGCCGAGGAGGCTGCCAATCAGCCATCCAGCACCAAGGCTGAGCCCCCATCGCCTGCCTCCCTGTCATCAAACACCGAAAAGGATGGCGACGAACTGCGCCAGGCTATCCTCATGATGTCCAACAACCTGTCCCTGGCTATTGAGAGCTTGGGCACTAGGCTGACGCATAACTTTGACAAGCTGTCTACTGAGCAAGCTAAAATTATAAACACCCTGTCGCATAGCGCCAAGGAAGACGCAGCTGAGAAGACCGAAATCAAGACCGAGACCGAGACTAAAACGGAAACCAAGACGGAGACCAAGACGGAGGAAAAGGTGGAAACCATCAATGTGGACATCAACGATCTTGAGATTATTGACGTCGACGTCAAGGAGGAGAGACTGAAACTGCTGTGGTTGCGGTCAAGAACGAGAAGAAGAACGAAGTTATTGACATTGACGTCAAGAATGAGAAGAAGGACGAGGTTGTTGACATTGACATTAAGGATGAAAAGAAGGACGAGGTTATTGATATTGACGTCAAGGACGAGAACACTCCGCTGCCGCCGCCACCGCCTCCATCGGCAGCAAATCATGTGCCTCCACCTCCGCCACCAGTGCAGAGCGTTCCTCATCCTCCCCCACCAGCGATGCATTGTGTGCCGCCCCCTCCGCCACCAGCGACGCATTGTGTGCCACCTCCACCACCGCCAGTGACGCACTGTGTGCCGCCTCCACCACCTCCAGTGACGCACTGCGCACCGCCATGCCCGCCGCCCCCTTACCACAAGGTTGAGGAGATTACTGTCCAGTTTGTGAACCACAACCATGCGCACGAGGTGCACAAGGCAGCGGCGTTTGCATATAATCTGGCCCAAGCAAACTTTGCATTCAGCAGCAACCCTTACGCTAGCAGCTTTTTTAAAAGCGGCTTTTCTGAGGCCGGCATACCTTCGCATTTTGCGCACCCCTGCATGATGTCGTCTCCATTTGAATGCCAGAACGGGTGCACTTGCGGGCACTGCTAGAGCGTTGTCTATTCTTATATTATATTATTTTATCTTTATTATATTATATTATTATTCACAAAACTGGTGCATGCAGTGTTCAAAGAAGAAGAAAGATGTGTAATCAACGTACTGGTTAGAAATTACCTGTTGCAAACCATGAGATGGGTGTGAAGGCTGTTACGCAGCATAACTGCCAACCGGTGGCAACAGCTCCTTTTGAGCGCTAGTGTCATCTAGGTGTATTTTTATTGTACGTTGGTGTTTTCAAGTGCCAAATAAAAAATACTGCGCTGTCTTGTCTCAAAATTGTTTAAATACCAGGCCAGTGAACCAAGTATTGGGAGGGAGAAACAAGCATATCAGTAATGAGTTTAAATATCATGAATATTTCCAAAGTTTGTGCTCATTGCTCCTATCGATCGATTGATCGATTGATCGGATATAAAATCTAAAAATCATATTAATTATTTTGTGTTAAATTTATGTTTTTTTGCAAACCAGATAGAAATTTGCATGGAATGTCTTCTTATTCCCACTCTTGATCAACATTGATAAGATGGCATATATACAAGAATGTGTTGTAAAATAAACAATCGATACACACATTTTAGTAATACTACTTGCAATTACATTGGGGGTGTTGTGAGTATGTGAAGTATTATGCCTTTAAGCAGTATTTCTCTTATCAACGCTCGATCGCGCCTATTTACATTTGTTATTTCTAAAGTTGGTTCCTCTTTTAAATTCATTAGTTTTTAAAAAGCGGAAAATATAGGGTTCCTCCAATCGATCTTTTTAAATAGAAATAAAATGGATGTTTAAAATAAGCCCTTCGTAGCTCTACCGTGTACACCAAACTATTAAAAATCATTGCTTTTTTCTCTAATACACCCGTTGACGCTTTATAAAAAGAATAAACCTATTTAGCTAAAAAAAGTATTCATAGCAATGCTTGCTCATTGGCTCACTCTTCCGATCGATTGCGCATTTGTATCCATCGATTGCGCCATGCATATATTTAATTGTGCAATACTCGGCACACATTATTCCTACTCTCATCCAAAATTTAAGTTGCACATATACTCCCTCCAAACCATCGATAGCATATTGTATTTTTCCAACTAAATGTATCCCAGTTGAACAAAAAAATGGAATTTACAAAATACTATAAAATAAACGGTTTCTACCATCATTTCCAAACAATCATCATATCAACAACATTCCAACAACCAATACAATACTTTTACACTCCAAAAGCCAATATTAAGGGATCTAAAATAAATAAAAATGCTCTCGCAAAATAACACTGAATTCGCCAATGCTGCTTGCGATAGTGACAAGCCAAGTGTGTATCGTGTGGTTCCAAAGCATATGACCAAGCACTGTCCTGTACATCCTTAGTTTCCTTCAATTGAAATACCTTGCATAATGTTATGTGTACTCTTTAGAATATCAAAAGTCGTACGTAAATACGTTGGGATATCTGAGAACATGGTAAACACAATACAAAAGTTTAATTTTTCTATAGAAAATTATTTTTGTGTATATATAAATAAAGCTTTATTATTGCCAATCTATGTTAGTTAACCGATTTATGCAAATATGCGTAAAAATTCTTCGAAATGCATCCTTGTCTTGGAGTTTTGTATTGTTGCATCATGGGACCAGCAGTTGAAGACAACAGAATGGATGTCGACAACAACAAACATGAGGTTGCTGCTCATCACAAAAACATTGACTTGCGAAACATTGGACATATACGGCGCAGCGTTCACTATTAACACAATTGGAATTGTATCCACGCTTGCAACTGTTTTCATAATAGCATGTTTGTGCCAAACAAATAAAAGGGATTCCAAGTCGGCGTATTGTTCTCCACCATAAGCGCCAGCAAGCGCATACAATGCAATGTGCTTTAATTATTTTAAAAAAGAGAGATGGCACAACAAACAATCCACCATTTTCTTGTTAATAAATCTATTTGATTTTCTTATACTATTATTACTTGAAATTTTGTTTATTTACAATGGTATTATTCCTAAATGGAGTCATGACACCCAAAACTCAAAATACATTATTATATATTCAAGGGTGTAATTAATTTTAAAAAAACTATTGTATTTTAATTTTGTAAAACTAAAAAATGATGCGCCACGCTTGTTTGCAAAAAAATTAAGAAAGGTAATATTTTTTTTAAATATTTGATTAAATATATTTTTGGCAAAAAATAACTTTAGATGCAAAATACCTCACCACAACATATACCGAAACACCAGCTTACATTTTGTTTAATTCTGAAATTGTAAGTGTTTTATTGTTGAAAAATGTTTTTTTGGAAATACCACTAAATTTCTCTAGACTTTGTGAGCAACAACCCAGAGCAAGCAAACATGCTTCTTGCAAATATTTCCAACAAACAGGTTATTACTGGTGGTAATTTTAGAGAGTATTTGCGCGTAGAGAGGATATTATATTTGGCAAAATGCATATTTGTCATAAATTTTTTGAGCTTTGGGTACAACAGTCTGCATGTGCCTGCCGCGGCGCATTGGAAAGAGGTTTAAAACGTTGTTCATTAGAGTTTTTTTTTAAAAAAATTATAATGGTTATAGCATGCCCAGGACCCGTAAAATTTTTGACAGGTATTACCAAGCAGCAAGCACAAGAAGCTGTTTGAGGATATGATGTTGCTCCAGGAACACCGGTGCTTTTTTAAAAGCATTTTTCCGGTACACAGTGTTCCTTATAAATTTAAGATGAGTTTACTTGTATAATAAATTATGCTACTTTTTCATTACGAAATGCTCTGCGGGCAAAAAGAAAAAAAGAAAATACATTTTTTGATGTAGGGAGCAAGGTGAATAAATATAGGTAGATTGGGGTATGAAAACCCACCGCAGTTAGTGTATTTACTTATACATTGCTTTGATGCAATGTATTTATAGTAAGAGGGGGTGTGAAGAGCACTAGTTGTCTAGTGTTAAAAGGTAGGGGTGATTTTATAAAAGGTTTTATTACTGATGTTTCTAAAATACACTAGGGCCGGCCTCATCTTATATGTGCCTTGTCGCCTTTGTTGTGCACATTGTCAATTGTGCCTCCGTTGGTGGTGAGAACTGGATCCAATGTTGTGGTTTTCGTGGTGTGTGCGCTCATGCGTGTGCATTGCAAAATGGGAGCATGTTTGGGCATTATGTAATGCCCCCTAATTTACGCCTGCATATCCAATTAGCGCCTATCAATCGGCATGCAGGTGGAAACCTGTTTCGCGATTCTCGACCTCAAAATCCACTTCCATATCTTCAGTCTGTGCAACAGTACTTTAAATTTTCCACAAGACAATGTCTGTCACAAATGTTTATAAAGTATATCTTATTTTCAAAATTATTTAATTATTTATAAACGTTGGCGATATCTCCATGTCGCGGTATGCTAAAGTACCACAGTTAAACCGACCAGTTTAACCTTAAATGTTCGTAATTGTATTACAGATCAATTTAAGATGGCCAAATTTAAGCATCACATACAATGACCGACTGTTAAAATACCAAACAAAAAATTGGCTAATATAATTTACACACAAGCACCAGTATTTTTAAAATATAATAATTTTTTTAGTTCTTGAACGTCATCGAGCGGTTGCCCTCCTTATTGTTGACTCTCGAGCGAGCAGGCCGCTTAGCCAGCTCCTTCGTAGTGGTTATCTGTGCATATGGGTCATAAGCCTCCTGAGCAGACCTCTTCGGCTTTCTGTTCTTCTTCTTCTTAGGCCTAGCCGACTCACCCAGCACGTCCTCCTCGGGATCCGCCGCGGCATACTCATGCGGCGTAATATCATTAGCTGCGACCTTGCTTCCTCCAGCCTGTATCCTCTTGCTCTTACTCCTGCTCTTCTTGGACTTTGCTGCTGCAGCTGCAGTGGCCTCGTCCTCAGATGACGAGGAGCTGATGTCGCCGAGCGAGATTGTCGGGAGGTTGTCCAGATCCGAGGTCTTCTGTCTCTTAGGGTGTTTCGGGGCCTTCTCCGGCTGGTACTTGGCGTAGGTCTCCGACAGCACGACGGGCTGGTTGGCAGGGGCAGGGCAGTGATGGCGGCGTGCGGGCGCTTTGCAGCGACAGGCACAACCGGCGCATCAACCTCCATGTCCTCAGCACCGGTCAGCACGGCGCTTGGCATTACAACAGTCAGCACGAGGTTCGACCGGATCTCGCGCGCACGCCGCATGGCCTCAGACTCCTGCTGCGGTCTGGCATCAAGACGTCCAAACAGCGCGGCTCCAGGGGACATCAGCACCGCCGCGGCGCTCATCAGCTCGGGCGTCAGGACATCGGCAACATCTGTGGCGGGCTCCTCGTTGTCCGCCGCGTCCATAGGCTCGTTGAAGCGCGTGTGCACCGGGGCCATCGGGCGCACTTCACTATGGACATCATCAATGACGCCACGGAACTCCGCCATGCGCTCCTCGGCGCGCGTCTTGGCCTGCACCACGAGCCGCGCAACATCCGACGCGTAAAGCCGCAGCAGCGGTGGCGTCGGCTGGCAGGCAGCCAGGAGCGCCGCCGGCTCTGTGGGCATGCGGTCAGCGAGCGCGTACAGCATGTGGTTAGGCAGCACGTAGCGTGTAGACTCGTCCTCCTCGCGTGCGCACGTGTCGCGCCACTGGTGCAGCGCGCGCAGCACGGCCATCTGCACGGGGCTGAAGGGGTGGCGCCACTTGCGCAACAGCGCAGCCCAGCCGCCGGACCCCAGACCGTGATCCGCGTCGTACGACTCCTTGACAAAGCGGTTCATCGCTGTCGTCGCCGACCGCTGCAGTGTGAGTTCCAGCGGTTGCGTGGCTGTCGCCACAACATCCATGCCGGCGAGCCGCCCAAAGTGCGCGGCACCCGGCGTGCCGACGTCCTGGCCGACCAGTTCGCGGCCACGCTGCAGAATCTCGTTGCGCATGCGGTCGTAGATGTACAGCAGGAAGTGTGTGTCCGCGCGCGCGTAGTGCAGCATCTCAGCCGGCACCGGACGGATGCGCCAGTCGGCCAGTTGGTACTTCTTGTCGGCGTCGAACGCGCAGTACTCCTTCAGCAGGTGCGCCAGCGAGTGGTGGCCCATGTTAAGCACGTGCGACGCATGGTATGTGTCAAACATCCCGACGACGTAAACGCCAAAGTCGCGCTGCAGCCACACAATGTCGCTCTCGGCGCCGTGCAGCACCTTGACCACGCGCGGGTCAGTTGTGATGCGGTTGAGCTGGTGCAGCTCGCTGCGCAGCGCCAGTGCGTCAACCACAAAATCGCGCGTGCGTGAGCTGATCTGCACCAGGCACGTAAAGCCATGGTACGAGCGGTAGTTATGGTGCTCAAGATCGATGGCTACCTCAGCCGCGCCCTCCAGGTGCTCGAGCATCTCGGCGAGTTGCGCCGGCGTGTCGACAAAGGCAAACGGCGTCTCGTCCCAGTCTTTTGGCTCCTGCGGCGCCTGCTCAACGAAAAGCTGCGCCGGCGGCGGTTGGTGCTTGATCTCGTACGCGTACGGGTGTGGCAGGTCAAAGAGGGCCGGCTCATCGGTGTCGTTTCTGGGCGACGATGCGCCCGATCCGCGTGGCGTGTGGGAACCGATGCCCAGCGATGCCAGGTGCGCGCCCAGCGCCGTGCCCGCGACTGTGGCGCCCGGCAGCCCATAGTCCAGCGGAACCAGCGCGTTGAGCTTTTCGCGGATCTTCCACACAAATGGCGTCGACACCGAGTTGTCCACAATATCCTTAAACGCCACCTGCGGCCGCGGCACGCTGCTGGCATGCACCAGCTTGAGATCTGTGGTGCGTCCACCGGCCGCCGCCACGCTGGTCACCATGGGCGCGCTCTGCGTGCCAACTGCCGCGCGCAGCCGGTGCGCAGGCCGCCGGAGTACCTCGTCCAGGCCAACGTCGATCTTCTCGAGCAGCGTGTCGACCGCCTCGACCACTGCGCGGAACCCAGGCGCCGCCTCCCATTGGCCTGAGGATGTGCGCAGCGCAATGTCGTCGGTGGACTCAATCTCGCTTAAGGACGGATCCGAGCGCGCCTTGGTCCACAGCGTGTTGGCAAGAGCAAGTGTGCGCTGCCCGGTGCGGTCGAGCCGCGCGTCAATGTCCTCGTCCAGAGTGCGGTGGAAGCTGATATCATTGGGCAGCCGTGCTGCTGCTTTGGTGGCCGCCATCAGCGCGCCAAATGCCGACTTTACATTGGCCTCGAAATCAGCCGAACAGTCCATTTTTGTATAATTATAAAAAATTTTTTTGGATTACAAACAAGGAAAATAGCAAACTTTTTTTTTTACTTTTTTTTTGCTATTTATGTCGAGCTTTTTTAATCACCAAAAATAAAGTGTGATCGCTGCAGTGATCGCTTGATCCCAAGCTGTCACAAGCTTGATTCTAAAAATGGCTGACTTATAGGTATCTCGTGCAAGTTACGGCCTGGCCACTCCTTATATGCATAATTTAGCCAAGGTTTATTTATTATTTACATCAACTTGAATAGAAAAATAAACTCATTTGTAAATTTAAACAGTGAGCCCGCCAGTAAAACGTTTAGAAAAAACAAAAGCTAGAATCAAATGAAAAAAGATGAGTAATACAAATGCAGCTAATATTTTCAATTAATATTTTATTTAAAGGCTTGAAATACTTTATGATATCAAATCAGTGCGCGACTCCTCTTAATGAAGTATGCTTCTGCCAGAGACCCATTGTCTGATAATAACGTATTTGTTAATCATGTGCTTTGTTTGTTGCGCACAGTTATCACCCAAAAGCATTGCAACACTCAAAATTACCTTCTCTTTTCCAGTCATTTATCTAGCTTGTAAAATTGAGGCAGGCCCATTTAAAATTTCATTGCACAAAAAGATCATCCAGATCATTAAAATCATCAGAATCAGTTGCCGAGCCTGAGTTGTCCTTCTCATCACTGCAAGCCATATTGGCCCCCTTCAGCATCTATCATATTAGATCCACTCGGCGTGTTCTCAGCAATGCTAACGTTCACTTTGTGCAACTTTTTAAAGTGTTTGATTATTCGATTGTTTTTATTTTTCTGCGCCTGATGGGGGATATTCGAATACTCCAAATTTGGCATATACCATGTAATAAGCTCTGCTCTTCAATAGTTCCTGAAGAGCCATTTAATCTGGATCTGCTGTAGTTACAACCGCTGTCTAAATGGATGGCTTCAAAGCTCATCAAATTGCTAAACGCTACTATCCCCGCACATCTACTGTCTGCAAAGCTACTCCAAGTAAATTGGTTCAAATCTCCCAGCATTGCTGCAGTTTCGATGCTGGCTGCATCCACTGTGGGAAACGGGTTAGTTGTGTTTTCAAAGTTGACAATCAGGTGTCTAAGATTGGATGAAAATTGTGTAGCAGTGTAAACGTAACAGAGACATCGCATCTGTACGACTCTAATTGATGGACGTAGCTGTTAGGAATAGTGCTGCCAAAGTGCTTCTAATAAACATTGTAGCCATTACGCTGAATTAACTCTAATTGTTGATGAAATTGTCAAAAGGATTCCCAACACCAACTATTTAAAGACACTGCTTGCATGTATTTGCCTTCGTTTATACTGTTCGTGATTGGCGATATATTGAACCCAATTATTTTGATCTTCATTTTATTGACACAACCATTTGTCAGCACCAAAGCACATTACTTGCCAAAGTCTATTAGTTGTGGCACATTTAATGTTAAGTTCAAATAGTTTCGGGAATCCAGCACTCAGTGTGCTTTGTTTTTTCTGCTGCGTGGTTATAGACTGCTTATGATTTTCAATATTGTTCTCAGCATCTTCATTGAACTCAATAGACAGTTGTTCCAATTTGTCAAAGTTATACCTACCATTTGCTAATTTGTTTTAGAACATATCCCACGTGAAAGCAGAATCAACACTGGTAAGCTTCAAGTACGGCAGTAATTCAACATGCACAGCTAGAAGAGTGACCAAAGCAGCTGGGTTGACATTCAATTTCAAATGTGATGCCCAACACACATTTCAGGCCACTATCTTCTCTTTTCAAGAATCAAGGTCGCCCTCATGGCCACTATACACATTTCTGTTATTGCTGGCTGACATCAAGGAACACCATGATGTTTACAGCGCTGCCCCCTTTTTCAGTTCAGTTCAGTAAGTAATTTTTAAGACTTGAATATATAAAATTTAGACCCACATTTTTATAGAGCACGACAATATGGCTTGTTTAGAATCCTGTAATTTAAAAATATTTCTAAGCAATTTTTATTGAATGGCACCTGTCTAACCGTTACCTTTTCAAAGTATTTATTAAAAGCTTGTTGAAACAAAATAACAAACCTTTTATTGAAACATCAACGGTTTAAGTATGTAAGAGTTTGTTGAATGTGAATTGGTAGTAATTAAAATTTAATGTATCAAGTTTGCTAAAAATATATAATGTTGTTGTGCATCCCGAAGACATTGAAGTAGATGCTGAGGTTGAAAGTCATGAAACAAGGATCCATCTGCATGCCGATTGATAGGGTGCTAATTGGACTATGCAGGCATAAATTAGGGGGGGGGCATAATAATGATGCCCAGATATGCTCCCTATTTAGCAATGCACACGTACGAGTGCACATATGCAAAAACCGCAAGATTGACTTGCCAAGATACTGGTCTGCTTGCAGAAGAGCCAGGTCTCGCCAACAGAGCACACAACTGGTAATATGCACAACAAAGGTAACGAGATACGCATATAAGACGAGCCTGCCCCTAGTTCTACTTTTGTGATTCCCTTGATAATAAAAGCCTTCATGAACTAATACCCCCCACCTTTAAAACTACATCGTAGTGGTCCACACACACACACACTCTCTCTCTCTCTCTCTTATTATAACAATCCTTGTCTTGGAATTTTGTATTATTCCTGAACAGAGTGATAACACCCAAAACGCAAAATACATTATTTTATATTTAAAGATGCAATTGATTTTTTTTAAAAAAAAAACACTTGTATTTTAATTTTGTAAAACTAGAAAAATGATGCGTTGCGCTTGTTTGCAGGGAAAATATATTTTTTTAAACACGACTATCTTCTTGTATGATTAGTAAAATAGAAGCAATATATGCAAATTAGTGCTATGTCTGCTTTATTTTTAAATAGAAATGGCGAACATTTAAATTTTGTTGCAGATGCAAAAAAAATTATAAAATAATAGAACGGAGAATATTTACAAGAGGTTTATTTTTCACCCGCGCCTAAAAAAGATTTTTCTAGGGGATGCGCACAGACGAAATGAGGTTTGGAATAACATACTCGGGTGCAAAAATATTTTCGTCTTCATCCACATACAAGACCTGATACTGCTCCACGCCCCTTGTGTCGCACAGTCTAAAGCGGAAATGCTTAATCTCAGGTTGCTCCAACACAGCGACATCGGGATCAAACAGCACCAAGGAAACCCCCTCCTCAGCCATCTCCACGCCCACCACCGTCCTGCTATGCCCCTGATGCTGCAAATAAACCGGATGCCTCCTGCGCTCCCCCCCTCGCTTGCAATAAAGTATTCAACCATCCACGCGAACAGCATCGGGTTCGTGCCGTCAGCAGCAGTAGGCCGGTGGAAATCCACGATCCTTGCGGGCACGCCAAAGTGAGCCAAGATGCAGTATATCTCCGTTGTTCCAACCCACTTGCGCCCACCAACAACCCTACGGCCCATCTGCTCAGCGCCATCCGGATCGAAGCCATCGCGCCACGCCAGCTCCAAGCACTCCTGCAGGGCACGTACTGATGGGACGCTACAGGGGAATCTCTCGTGCATATGGTACCGCGTATCGGCCAAAAGACTGCTGAGCAGCATTTGACAGTTACGGTAGCCACAGGCCCACCCGCGATCAACCATTGTGGTGTTGATTAGCTGGGTTGACGCGTTGGCTAGGGCCAATGCGGGCGTAGGGTGTAGTTGGCTGAGTTGGAAGTGGGCGGGCGCGGTGGGTGAGCGGTGGAGGCGGAGGAAACTGAGGATTTTCTGCTTTGTGTGTGGGCTTTTGTGCCTCGTGGGCTTGGAGCTTGCCGCTGCTGGGGCGGCTGTGTCCGAGTCGCCGGTGAGATCGATTAAAGCGGGCTTGGTCGGCATTGGGATGTAGGGTTGGTTGCAATTTAATAGCGTGAAAAATGCTTTTTGTTTGATGGCGGAGCAACTAGGAAAAAAAAGCAGAACTTAAAAGCTAGAATTTTAATGCGTGGCGTGGTCTGGGAAGGCGTGGCTTTGGGAATATACATAATAAATAATACAGGCAGTGCCCATATGGCTCTATGGCTCTGTGGCTCTGTGGCTCGGCGCAGCGCGGCGCAGCGCGGCTCGGCCTGGCTCGGCCTGGCTGAACAAGAGAATGCACGATCTCGATCTCGGGGTTGGGCAGAGAGCGTCACAAGCAAAAAAGAAAGATTGGAAAGAAAGACTACGGGGGAGAGCAAAAAAGCCGCCCGCCCGCCCCCGAAGCGATACTGGGGCTTGCGGTTCTGCGCTTTTTTTATTCTCGCCACACATAGACAAACAAACAAACAAACAAAAGAGATACATGCACAACACACAATGACCAGCAGCAGCATACGCGACACGGTTTCGCGACGAGCACAGGCGCTTTGCGAGGCAAGCATCCCAGCCACACTCACCCTCCTCGCCTGCTGGCACAGCAGCACCACAGCGCCCACAGTGCGAGTGGCCGGAGCGTTGCTCGCCATGCTGGCGCTCTGGCAAAGCGCGCAGACTGCCGCCGGCGCAGCGTCGAGGAGCCAGCGCAAAGATGCCGGCAGCGGCCGAGCCTGGGCCACGCTTCTGGTGCCGCTCGTTCTGCTGGCGAAGGGCGCCGATGCGCCGGCCTGGGCGGCCCCGGCAGCGCAGGCGATGGCGCTGGAATCGGCGCTGTTTTGGGGCGCAGAAGACCCGCGCGCGCCGCCAATGCGCAGACGAGTGGGCGTGTGGGCGGCGGGCGTGGGCGCCTTGGCGTGGGGCAGCGGCGGCGGCGGCGGGGGCGGCAGCGGCGGCGGCACCGTGGCGGCGGCGCTGGCGGCGGGCTGCCTGGGCGCGGCGCAGCATTGGCTGGCGGCGTATGCGATGTCGCGGTTCCCGCGCAGCTTCACGATGGGCGAGGCCGCTGTGGGCGCGCAGGCCGTCTTGCTGGCGGCCGCGCACCTGGCCGCAGGCGCGGCCGGCGGCGGCTCCGTGGCTGGGGCTACGGCGGCCGCCGAGGCCGCGTGCGTCGCGCTGCTGGCGCTCGCCCAGGCGCTGGCCACCGCCACGGCCGGCGCGCGCGCATACACGCGCCGCGGGGCGGCCTTCCTTGTCCTGTCGCCGGCGTTTGCCGCGCTGGCCGTGGCGCTGGCGGCGCTGGCGTCCGGCGCCAGCCCGGCCGCGTGGGCGCTGCACGCGGCGCTGCTGCTGGGCGCGCCGGCGCACCTCGCCGTGCTCGGCTACTGGGCGCTGCTGCTCGCCGCGGCCGGCGCGCTGGCGGCCCGCACGCGCTGGCTGGGCGCCGGCGCCGAGACCGGCGCCGCGCCACCGACCAAGCTGCAGCTGCACGTGCGGCGCAAGGCCTACCACCTGCTGGCCACGGCGCTCTTCGCGCCCGCCCTGCTCCACGCGCCCCTCCTCCTGCACCTGGGCTTCACGGCGGCGCTGGCCGCCTTCGTGCTCGCCGAGTGCCTGCGCGCGCTGCGCGTGCCCGGGTACTCGGCGGCGATCGACGCGTTCCTGCGGCGGTTCACGGACCACCGCGACACGGCGCGGCTGGTGACGTCGCACTTCCACCTGCTGCTGGGCTGCGCCCTGCCGCTGTGGCTCGGAGGGCCCAGCCGCCTGGCGCAGCTCTCCGGCGTGCTGGCGCTGGGGCTGGCCGACAGCGCGGCGTCGCTGGCGGGCGTGCGCTTTGGCAGCCACAGGTGGTGGTTCGCCACCAGCAGGTCGCCGAAATCCATCGAGGGCTCGGCCGCATTTGCCCTGGTCCTGTTTGGCGCCTGCTGCGCGGCTGGCCATGTCGCGGGGGAGCTGCGCGCGTGGCCGTGGCTGGCGCTTGTTTGCGCGCTGATGGCTGCGCTGGAGGCGCTGACCGAGCAGAACGACAATTTGGTCGTGCCTTTGGCCATGTACGCTGCCGTGCACGTGCTGCTGCTGGGCTAGGCTGGCTGCGCTGGCTGCGCTGGCTGCGCTGAGGCTGGGCCGGAGGGGGCGGTGGGGGCGGTGGGCGGCTGGTGGTTGGCTGCGATGGTTCTTCTTTCGCCACAAGCCTTCTTTCTCTTTTTCCTGTTGTTTCTGGGCGAATAAAGCCGTAGACCCCGATGACCATTAACTACCTGCCAAAAAGCAACAAATACGGCGCGGTGCGAATTTCGCTGCCAGTAATCGCAACTATCAAAGTTTTTTTGTTCTCTCCTCTCCGCTCTGGGATGAGGGGGTTCTGGAAGCCCATAGATCTTTTTCTTGCCGCTCAAGGGCGATGGAATCACTCCCCCCCTCCCCTTTATTGATGATGATGCCTGTAAAATAAAATAAAAAGAAGCGCAGAGAATACTCAGGCCTAAAATGCCAAATCGCCAAAAGTGCCAAGCGCGCACTTTCAATGCCAATTGCCCAGCCTCAGCGAAAATAAAGCATAAAAAACACCATCCTTCATGCGTGGGGCCTGCATGAAGGTTCTAGACGCACAAAGAATAATTTCGTATCACTAGCAAAATAAAAAATAAAAATAAAAAATAAAAGTCAGAATGAAAATAAACCACTTTTTTTCCTCCCGCTCTGCTATTTAAACTCAACTTTTCGTCTGCCACTCCATCTTTTGCTTTTTTTCTTGTTCTTCACTTATTAGCACTGTTTTTTTACACACACACACCTGTCAATAACTATAAGCAACTTTATTCACCACTTTATTCCACACCCTTTTCTCATACTGTATAAAACTATCGATTAAAAAATGGGCAAGGCTATCGGAATTGATCTTGGTACCACTTACTCCTGCGTTGGTGTTTGGCAGAACGACCGCGTTGAGATTATTGCCAACGACCAGGGCAACCGCACCACCCCCTCGTACGTTGGTTTCACCGACAGCGAGCGTCTGATCGGAGATGCCGCAAAGAACCAGGTCGCCATGAACCCCCACAACACCGTCTTCGACGCCAAGCGCCTCATCGGCCGTCGCTTCGAAGACGCCGAAGTGCAGTCTGACATGAAGCACTGGCCCTTCAAGATTATCCCCAAGGAGGGCAAGCCCATCATCCAGATTGAGTTCAAGGGTGAGACCAAGACCTTCACCCCCGAGGAGATCTCCTCGATGGTTTTGATCAAGATGCGCGAGACCGCCGAGGCCTTCCTGGGCGACGCCGTCAAGGATGCCGTTATCACCGTGCCCGCGTACTTCAATGACTCGCAGCGCCAGGCTACCAAGGATGCCGGTCTGATTTCGGGCCTCAACGTCCTGCGTATCATCAACGAGCCCACCGCCGCCGCCATCGCCTACGGTCTTGACAAGAAGTCCGAAGGTGAGAAGAACGTCCTTATCTTCGATCTCGGAGGAGGAACCTTCGATGTCTCCCTGCTGTCCATCGAGGACGGTATTTTCGAGGTCAAGGCTACCGCCGGTGACACTCACCTTGGTGGTGAGGATTTCGACAACCGTCTGGTCAACCACTTCACCCAGGAGTTCAAGCGCAAGTTCAAGAAGGACATGACCGGCAATGCCCGTGCTATGCGCCGTCTGCGCACTGCCTGCGAGCGCGCCAAGCGCACTCTCTCGTCGTCTGCCCAGACCTCTATCGAGATTGACTCGCTGTTCGAGGGTACTGATTTCTACACCTCGATTACCCGTGCCCGCTTCGAGGAGCTGTGCGCGGACCTGTTCCGCTCCACCGTCGACCCCGTTGACAAGGTTCTGCGCGACTCGAAGATCGAGAAGAGCCAGGTTTCGGAGATTGTCCTGGTTGGTGGCTCCACTCGTATCCCCAAGGTTCAGAAGCTCATTTCGGACTACTTCAGCGGCAAGGAGCTCGACAAGTCGATCAACCCCGACGAGGCTGTCGCCTACGGTGCCGCCGTCCAGGCTGCCATTCTTTCCGGTGATACTTCGGAGAAGACCCAGGATCTGCTGCTCCTCGATGTCGCTCCCCTGTCTCTCGGTATCGAGACCGCCGGTGGTGTCATGACTGCCCTGATCAAGCGTAACACTACTGTGCCGACCAAGAAGTCCGAGGTCTTCTCAACCTACAGCGACAACCAGCCCGCGGTTTCCATCCAGGTCTTCGAGGGTGAGCGCACCCGCACCAAGGATAACAACCTCCTGGGTAAGTTCGACCTTACCGGTATTGCCCCCGCCCCCCGCGGTGTGCCCCAGATTGAGGTCTCCTTTGATGTCGATGCCAACGGTATCCTGAACGTCAGCGCCGTCGACAAGGCTTCGGGCAAGTCCAACAAGATCACCATCACCAACGACAAGGGCCGCCTGACCAAGGAGGACATTGAGCGCATGGTTGCTGATGCCGAGAAGTACAAGGCCGAGGACGAGGCTGTCGCTGCTCGCATCACCGCGCGTAACGGCCTCGAGTCCTACGCTTACAACCTTAAGAACACCCTGAACGACGCCAAGGTCGCTGATCAGCTGGATGCTGCCGATAAGGAGAAGCTGACCAAGGCCGTTGAGGATGCTATTAAGTGGCTGGAGGAGTCCTCGGAGGCCTCGAAGGAGGAGTATGAGGGTCGCCAGAAGGAGCTCGAGGAGATCGCTAACCCGATCATCTCCGGCATGTACCAGAAGGCTGGTGGTGCCCCTGGTGGCGCTCCTGGCGGTTTCCCTCCCAGCGGTGGTGAGGCCCCCGGCGCCAGCGGCGACCAGGGACCTACCATTGAGGAGGTCGACTAATTGTTTTTAAATAATTCGTTTCTTTTTGATTTGTATACTCGTTTCTTTTCATTTTCAAATTCACAATTCAAACAATTTTTATTCTCATTTTTATGCTTTTTATTATTCCTTAGAGAATGGCTTGGAATGAAAATAATAACTGTTTGATTGTGGATGTGGATGTGAAAATACAAAAAAGTATTTATTTAAAAAGTTTATATTTTTTTTACAACAAAAACAAAAAAATTTAAACTATAGACAACGGATATGGACATGCAATGTGCTGTGCCAAATTACATCGCCAGCAGTATGGAGGCTCGATAAAATTGAATTGTATCCACTGGTTTGCTTATTTCCCATTCTTTGGTGATTTTTTCTCTTTAGCACCAATCAGTTTTTCTTCAGCTATTTTTTCATTAATTTTTTTCAACATCTCTTTTGCAAACCTATCGTATATATCAGATCCAATCGCATCACCACAACCATTGCAGCCGACTTCTTTATCCACTTCAATACAATATTTTAAGCAACGTGCGCAAAAATATGTCATCTCTTTACATTTATTATAAAAACATGGATATGCAAAATCAAACCCAATACTCTTGTTCTCTAACTTACCCCTGTATTTTAAATCTTTATGGATTGTGCAATTAGCATGTTCATCATATATTGTTGCACTAGGGTTCCTGTGTATCTTTAAGCTGTACATTGCTTCGCCTATAGGTGAGCCAATAACTTTGTTGCCATCAACAAGGAATAAAGGTTTATTTTTCTCGCAGTACGCTCTATTTGTAATCACTTTGAGTTTGCTGTTTTTATTCTTGGCCACATCTATTATTTCAGGAGCCAGAGTTTTCTTAGTAGTCTCAGAAGGCTTAAGAGGCATATTTAAATGAAGAAATTGTTATAAGCTGAAAAAAAAATGTTTTAAAAAAAAAAGTAAGCCAACTTTTAATAAAGTATGGTGGTGTAGTTGATAATGATATGAAATAATTGAATTTTACTTCCAGACATCGATGTCGTGCTCTATAAAAATGTGGGTCTAAATCGATATATTCAAGTCTTAAAAATTACTTACTTAACTGAAAAAGGGGGCAGCGCTGTGTGGGCAGCGCTGTAAACATCATGGTGTTCCTTGATGTCAGCCAGCAATAACAGAAATGTGTATAGTGGCCATGAGGGCAATCTTGATTCTTGAAAAGGGAAGATAGTGGCTTGAAATGTGTGTTGGGCACCACAATCGAGGCTTTATATATAAAACTTTTACTATACAAAAGATTGTATTACACTGGTCGTAATTTGGGACCCAATCAAAAATAAAATAATAAGAAAAATTGAAACCATAAAAGCGGAAATCCACTCCCTTTGTATAATGGTATTCATAGGAGTACTAGAAAATAACAAGATTGTATTCTTTTTTCTTTGCCAGTTGGCTAGTCTGTCAAATCTTGGCATATGTGGTCATCGATAGGAAATAAACGTGAAAAATTCGAAGAAAAATTTTGAAGTTTGATGGAACAATTAAGAATAATTGAGGTTTAAAAGGGCACACGTTCACAAATGTTTCTACTATGATTGGTTTGCTACTAATAAATTTTGGCCGGATTGTCAAGAAAAAAATAATAAATAATTTTATACAATGAATACGGTTGCTATTATATTGTACAAAAACGTCCGCAAAAAAGTTAGAAAGGAAATGCTCAAACTAATGAATTTTTTTCTGTCTAAAAAATACCCACTATTCCTGCATTTTTCTTATCTAACAATTGTAATGCAAATGAATGGATCCTTGTGTTATAATTGAAAGATTTATTTTGTCTGTGCAACTTTTTAAGGTATGCGTTGCATACCCCTTTTTATTGCATTGTATTTATTTACTGTGCATTATTTGAGAAACGTCTAAAATAAACTAATACAACTTAAAACTGCGCTTTCCAATGCCTTTAGAATAATTGTTTTTTGGTTTACACTAATATAAAATAAAATCCGATTAAAGATTCAAAATTTTAGTTCAATGAACTATTTTTTTCTACTTTTTATTTTACAATTTTTAGTTGTTTCCCACACTCACACTTTAAATCATTAAAGTGAGTTTCTACGCACTTGCATGTGCTAGGAATATCATGTTTGCATCCAATCTTTAGGCCCAAACACCTGTTACACATGCGTTTACTATGAGCAGAATTGGTGTTACAGCCCAATACAACAAAAAAACGACTCTTACATTCAATGCACCTTTCCGCACTCTTGGGTTTATCACTAGTATTAGGTATGCTTTTAGTATTGGAATTTGACGACATTCGTTAAATGAGTTATGCTACTTAAAGTTGTTTATTAGGCTTGTAAACTAGTGGTAGTGAATTAGAAAAGTTGTTTATTGATAATGGTTATGTAAAGATATAATAAAAGTGGATAAAAACGTCTCCTGCTTGGGCTATATTTATACGTAGAATGGTTCTATAATTTTGTTGTATATTATGAGTTTAAAATAGCTGTGAACAATTAGCAAGTATTAAAACCCAATTTATTAAAACATGTGTGCTGCGCAATAAGTCCACAAGACCGTGTTAAAAATACTCCACTTGCTCTTTTAAAATAAATATACCACAAAGACAATACTCCCTGTATCAAAAAAGTAAAACCAATTGGCCGCAATTCCGATGGTAAAAGATAAAGCAATACAAAAAATAATTTAAAGTTTAAAATAGATTTATTTTTGTATTAGAGAACCGTGTCAAAACCTAGGTTTTGCACCCGCACTCATTAAATGACGGGTTTCCATCTGTTGTAGATGTTAAAGACAAAATTGTTGAGCAATAATATTTATAATTAAATTACATTTCAAACTACTGTCGCTTGGTTTCAAAATGCTCAAACTGTAAAGCCGCAACCATAGACTGTAAAGCCAAACAATGACACTTAGGCATGGGCGCGGTAAATCTTCTAGCCCACCAAACCTTGTAACTTTTTTGGCATTTGAGAGCATCTTTGCACATTTTCCAATGCCGTTGACTACCATGGGCTTGCCAACTTAAATCTCAAAACCTGTTTGGTCTACCCGGATGTCCCCCCCCACAGAAAGCGGGACACCAATAGCCAGAACCACTAAATGCGCTCCCACTTTTAGAAGTAAAGTTTAAGATATTTTGTCTCGCATGGCTTTTCCAGGCCATCAATCACGTGAAAGAATTGCGACGCTGTGGGGACCGCGTCATGTGCCAGCAGACAAAAAAGCAATGAATTTATTTTCAAGAAAAAATCTTCTGCAGCCGCTCCCGTCGTGGGGGCAATGATTGGTGGTTGTCTGAAAATGTATCATTGGTGTGTTTGAATTTGCATCTCCACATGTCCCAACTTATCGGCGTGGCCTTGGTGGTTTGTGCAGCCAAACAGCTGCTGCTCGTTTTGTACTTTAGCAAGGTGCCACCAAATCTGAGCCGCAGTTCAACTGTTTTAAGGAATAATATCAATTAGGTAGAAAACGAGACACCGTTCAAACACTGGGTTTGTTCTAATGTTGTTCCTAATAATACTTTTTGAATAATGGCCGCTTGTGCGTGGCCCTCTGCATGAAATGGCTGCTCATGTCAGTGGGTTTCGTTTGAAAACATTTTCCGAGAATAAACAGTTTGTTCCTCTGCATTGCTTTTCTAATTTTTCCGGGGAAAAAAGTGCAGTGAGCTGCTGCTAACTGATGGGCCTAAAGATGTCCTCAGTTTTTTTGTTTCTGTGGTTATTTTCTAGTATACCCCCTTTTTTAGTAAATGTGAAAGCATCCATTTTTGTGCGGCTGCTCGACATCATTCATTCATTTTCTCTTATAATTTTTTTTTTACATTCCGCCTTTTATTTTAAAAGAAACAATAAGTCACTCTGTGAAGAAAACCCTGTAGTTAGATTCAAACAGAAAATTCGAATTCAACGTTTTGTTTTAAAAAAATTCAGTAGGATGAATTTGAATTCCAATGAACACTAGTTTTTATTTCAAGCTTTTTTTATTTTTTTATACTTGTGGCAATATCCATTACTTAATTGTTTAAAGTAAATTGAACACCCTTGCATGCTAATGTATATTAAACAAAGTGTGGATAATTGATCCGGTGGGATTGACGTGATCGCTGTCTTGTGCAGCCAATGTTTTATGTACAATCTTGGCAAAGGAGGATGGGAGGATCGGTCACATGAAATAAACTCGATAATGTTTGAAAATGATTGAACATAAAAGGCAGCATAAAAATAATGGCCTTTTCATTTTAACAAGCAAATAAAACAGTAATTAAATGGTGTCGGATATTTATTCGTGTGCATTCTCTGGCATGTAAAGAATGTAACAAAAATATCAATAAAATTATTAAAAAAGCTAGTGTTGAGTGAAACCTATTTGTTTAACAGTGCCCAAGTAAATATAGATTAAAGGTTGAAGTATGTCATTAATAGCTTCAATGCAATTGATCTCATTCATCTTGATGTGTATGTACTGCAAGCAGCCATATTTAACATGTGAAGACTGCGCACCTGGTTATGCAATACGTCTCGCAAAAAACCCCCCCGATACTTGCTTTTTTTGTGCATTTTATTCCATGTAACAATGAAAGCAGATGCGGGTTAATAAAAATTCAAATAAAATAAACACTTCATTTTTAAATGCAACAATTAAAACATGTCTCACTTGCAATATATTAAAGGCGGGATGCTGCTGGTTTGTTTGTTTTCCCGACAGAGATATGTCATGTGTAAAATGACAACGTTCTAATTATTTTTTTACGATGTAAAATGTACCTTCAATATCACGCCGGCACTGCAATTATGATGTAGCATACAATTAGTATGTATTTAAATAGCTATTTATTATATATACTAAAAAGACATAGTATAAAGGTTGGCAAAAGTTGTTGACATGGCTAAGCTCAAACGTGGTACTAGGACATTAACAAGAAAATGCGTGTTTTTGTATTGGATCTATACTACTCGGTTGTCATGTATTTTCTGTATTTGCGCAAAATAATTTTAATATTTGCAATGCCGATTGCTTATTGGTAGAACAAATTTAATTCACCGGGAAATGCTTGGTCATATAGGGATACCTACTACATACTTTGCATTTATATGTGCCACTATAAACATTATTGCAAGCGGTGCCAGAGCATTCAGTATTGATTTGAGAGTACATGTTGAATTGATTTATAATATTTTAAATGCAAATTGAAAGTGTTGTATTGTATTATAAAAACTGTAGTATAACAAGATGGTAAAGAAATGTTGCAGTATGTCGGTGGGCAATGTTGGCTTTTTATAGTAAAATTCCCCAGTTGCCTTTTATTTGGCCTTCATAAAACTTGCACAATAAACTAAGCTCACCACAGGAAGAAGAAGAATATTGCGTAATTTTTACTGTAAATGATCTTTAGCAAACACCAAAAATGCACAGGCGTTGCGGAAATAAAAAACAAGGCGGGGCAAATCAAGGCATTTTATCTTGGTGAGGAGATGGCTGCAGGATTAAAAATAATAAGCCAGTAACCCGGGGATTGGTGGAAATGGCCGTAATGTAAAAATAATAAAAAATAAGAGTGCGTCGTATTTAATTTCCCTTGGCTCAAGCAGTCAGATCCCATAGATATAAGAAAATAAATAAATACAACCCAAAATATGCAATCGATTGCAAACATAAAATTGTCAAATACTAATAAAAATTACCAATATGCTTATAAATAGTGATATTGACAGTCTCCCATTTTATGAGGGGCAATTCATGCGTGAATACAAGTGAATTCCCCTTGTTTAGAATTTCACGAAATACATGAATTCAACTTCAACTCCCTCTCCTTTATCGTATGGCCATCGCGCAGTATTGTTTTATGCGCATTTATGTAAATTAGGCACTTGAATTCAAAGCCTTTGGAATTCAAATTTATTTAAAAGAAAAATTCATTTGTACAAAGCGGAAAAAAGAAAAAGGATGGTGATAAAAGACAGAAAAAAAGCAGTCAATCGGTTGAGAAGATACACAATGTGCTTAAGGGCGATTCATAAAAAGGGGAGTAGACGCAGAGAAAGCATAGAAAAATCTGACAGTTTTTTTATATGAATGTGTGTGATCAGAGTACGATATATTACACAGATAGAAAAACCAAAAACCAAAAACCAAAAATGTGCTACTTTAAAATTAGTGTCTGCAAATTTGGGTGTAAGTGGCAAACATGTTCATTTCTGAACAATATTGTAATTGGGCTACAACCATTTAATTAATTAAATGGTAATTAACCTCACAAAATATCGAAAATTAAGCCGCAATACAGCATCCATGCAAAAAACATGGGACGCAATTATTCTACTTAAATAGTCCTTTTCCGGCGCAAGGTTCACCAAATGAAACCAGCAAATATAAATATAAGTGCAATTACGCCAACAACAATTCCAACAATCGGCCCAGCCTTAACCGAATTGTTTGTACTGGAAATAGTCTGAGTGCGCAGCGTGTTCGTCCTGTCGCCTAAATTCAACTGAAAAATGTAATACCATTGCGTACTTCGGTTGTAGCGTTGCCACAAATCACAGCGCCATTGCAAACATCCAGAAGAATAAAGCCGCAATCTGAATCGTTGACCTGAAGATCAGAGCTGGACCAATTGCCACATGGCTGAATCACAATCGTGCTGCTGTTAAAGTCTGTAAACGTGATGTTCTTGTCCGTGTTGAATATGTCCTGGTCGCCGATAACCGGAATATTGGTATTGTTGAGTACAGTGGTGTTTTGCAGCTTGCTGTTATACCTTTTAAGACTGTAGTTGTATTAGCTTGTGTAGTACTATCCACCAATCCAAGAGCCTGATCCGTACGCCTAGTAAGGATACGGGTAAATCGGATAAAACCTGTAGCCCCAAGCGCCCGAATGCACACTGCGCGACATCGACGCATAGTACACAATAGGATAACTAGAAAAAAGTATACGGGGGCAGGGTCTGGCCGCTATTAATTGACAAGCAATTGGAATTTTCAGAGTATAATGGCGGTGGCATGTGTGTGCGCGACGAATCACCAGTGCCAATGGGTCTGGCGCTGACGCTGGTGTCGGAGAGGTCCGGGTAGAGCAAGGTGTAGCTTGGTGGCTTATTGCCAAATAATAATGTGCCTTTGCCTGTAATTCCTCCTCTGCCTTTGATGCTGGTGATTGTGGCGGTGTTTATCTTGCCGCTGCTGGTAGTGCCTTTGCTGCTGGAGCTACCTAAACTACTGTAGCTGCTGTTAGAGGCACTGGAGTTGCTTATTAAACCGCTGGAGCTACCAGAGCTGCCGGAACTTCCAGAATTGCTTGAGTCACTAGTTATTTTGATGTTGGAGCTGCTAGAACTACTTAATCCGCTAGCTACCTTGCTGCTTGACCCATTGACCCCGCTAGTTCTCTTACTTCCAGAGCTGCTTGAGCCAGTAGATTGCTTGTACTCAGTTGGGTCAGATGTCGCCTGCACAACAACCGCCAGGAAAATAAACAAAATAATAACTGGTAACATCCGCATGGCAACTAATCATTGATAATATTATAATAAATGTTGAGGCTCAAATGAAAATTTAAAATGTGGTAGTATGTAAATGGCAGCATATAAATAACAAATATTATCTTTATAAATAAAAAGTGGAAAAAGTGATAAAAAGCGAAAACGCTTGGGCCCATTTTTATTTGGTTTTTCATTGCTGGTTGTCAAACGCTGCTCAATTTTTTATACGGGAATCAATAAATAAGCCGTGCATCATCTGCCTACATCTGTATATGTGGGCCAGTAGTTGCTTCTTTTAAATATCTCCATATGTACACATTGTTTTTGAAATCAACAAAAAAATCTGACATAAATAGCCGCGAAAATCTCGCAAGCTTCAATGTAACACTTCTGATTTACTTTTTGAAAAAAAATGAATTAAACTGATTTCCCCAATTGAATTTTGTTTGTTCTGTTTCAAAACCTGTACTGTGTGTGCAAAATTGCGAAAGAAATCCTGCGCATAGAAAAAACCAAGCTAAACCTTGCGAGGTGCGCACTTATGCGCTCAGACAACGAGATGGAGCTGTGCAAAAATATGTTTCAGCGTGGCAAAAATGCAAGCAAAAAATTTTCACTGCGTTCTGGACAGTCAGCTCAGCGGAATTATCAATTGCTAGAAGCGTACACAAATAAATTTACCATGTACTTTTTATAACATTTTAGCTATTAGAAGTGAGGGTATGAAGTCAAATGAGAATATTTTTATTTAGCCAAGTGGAAAAATTCGAGGAATGAAGCTTGTGAATTAATTTTCCAGACCATTGCTATACATCAAAAAAATATATACCATGTCTCTGATGCGTTAGCAAATGTATAACCTTGTAAACGTTGCAACTGTGTGTGTAATTCAATATTTTTAATTGGTACTAACTAAAAAGAAACGAGGCAACTCATGGTCATATGCGGATATCCATGATAAGGGCATTTAGGAGCATTGTGTATATTATTACAGACGGTGCTGTTGTTTTCGATGCTGGTTTGAAGGTGCATTTTGTTTTTTTAGAAAATTTTATAATGGTTGTTGAGTTAAAAACAACTGTTTGTTTTGGATTGTTGTCGTTAAAATGCCGAGTTGTTTTCTGATGGTGGTGGTTGGTTGTATTATTTTATTGGTTGATGGGGACCAACTGATTAACCAGTCTTGACTATTCCAGCCAATCACACGATCCTTAATAAGTCACAGTGACCAAAGTAACATTATTCTTCACCTTTTTTCAGTACATAGCACTTATATATTCAATACACTTTTATACATAGTATTTTATCTCTACACGTTCACAGAACGTCTCTCCCAGAATTCAACAATAATAAACGCAAATGCATGTGACGGAGCACAAAGAATAAATAAAATAATTCTATTTTTAAACTTCGGATATTTACCAAGCACCCGTTGGGGGTACTCGCCAATTTTAGCACTTTTTGCAAAACTTCAAATAATTATTTAGTCAAAAATAAAAACTACAAATGCAAGTGTGTCTGATCAAAACTTGATAAGGATTTTATATATATAATTATTGGTTGATTGTTATTAACTGATTGACCGATTAACCGGCCTTCATCATTGTTGTTGATCTGCCGGAGCTGGATGCAGCTAGGCATGGTCACACCACATTGCTTATCATTTTAGTCACACAGTGACACACATTATATAGCTGTTATCTCTTACCTTTCTAGTGCATAGCACTCATAGTACACACCTTATTAAATACGCAGTATTATATTATATATATCCCGTTCATAGAACATTCATATTTCAAGAAAATCAACGCAAGCAAATAATTATTGCTATACATAGAATACTACACCAACCAACATCGTATTAAATTGGGAATCTTGAATCTGGCAATTTTGTGATTATCAATTAGCTGTGTACAGCTTTGGTATCAGCACATTTGCAAACATATCTTGCCTATTATTTTGGATATTGCATTTTGTCTGTATAAATCAGTAGCAAAGATATATATTTTTTCGCAGAATAAGAATACTCGTATGTATCGCCTTTATCAAACAAATAAACAAATAAAAAGTGATATCATTCAATTTTTTACAATGAATCATGAATTCCGAGCTATCGCGAATCGGAAGGTTCAGTTGATATTCGCATTTCATTTTATACACACAAAGTTCACATATTTTTTTGCATTTTGCAATTGATAGGAAATTGCATGAAGCAATCCTAAAATTGTAAATATATAAAATTGTAATGAACACCACAACTTTTTTAAAAATAAACTTTTTAAGGCAAAATGCAAAAGTGTTTTTGTTTTTGTTTTAAATTTTTTGCTTATAACATTTTCTAATTTTATTCTACACTTTTTACAAATGTTTCTTATTAGAAAAACGCTCGCCAGCTCTTTGGTGCACGAGCTAGGTTCCTTTGGCAGCGAGACCTACAATTACCTTGTCCACGACTATGCGACCAAATATATCTGCACCGCTATCAATAGTTTATAGCACTTTACCATTGCACTTATTGATATTCCTTCTTCGAACCACACAAAGCTTGCGCTCAATCTCTGCCGCAATGACCCACACTACATATCTGCAACACACGCCAATTCCAACACTTTATACATCAGAGTAACACCGCATGTGCTTACAGATCATGTGGTCCAAGTACCCATGGCCATTGTGCAGGGTCAACCATTGCCAGGCGTTCAGTTAATTCCACTGCGGGTATTCAAATGGGTTGATGCCCAGGGCTCTCTTGATTCTGCCACGGCTTATCGTAGCGCACTGACAGCCAATGTTCTTGCACACACAACTGCCGAGCTCGCTCGTATTTGCCATCCACAAAACATTCCAGAGCACACGGAGATTGTTCGCGGCCGCGTCGATCCACCCAACCAGGAAACGGCTCGTGAGCACGGCCGCATTTTTGAGTTGCACCTTGTGTCAAAATGCATGTCAAATATGCTCGAGGCATTGCACGCCCGCGGGTCGCTGCGGCATGCCACTCACCCCAATAATCTGAGCACGCTGGTGTGCATTCCAGGCCAACGTGCGCTTAGATTAATTGCTGATGAGCACGGTGTAGTCAGTCAGCTGGCCATGGATGCCTGTCATTTTTGAGTTGATGTGCGAGAATGATGCCCCCGTCATATGGTACCATTTTGTTCCCAATTCTCAGAGATATCAGCACTGGAAGAATGCAATGAGGGTTGCTGAGCTGGCCTTTGGGTTTACAAGAGGCCAGTCAAAGATTACCAATATGCTGTGTCCCGTGGGCAGCATGGCCATTGGAAGCCCAAATTTGTTAACAGCAAGCCTGCTGAGCTCCCTGAATCTTGTCCCCAGTGGAGATAACAGCTTTACAGAGCCTGCAACAGGATCTGTTGGCCGCTTTGCACGGCTGCATACTTAGCACCAGCACCGACAAGTGCACCATAGATGAGCTGCTCATGGGCAGGACCAACTGCGGATGGCGCTTGCATACGGCTCACGCCCAACTCTGCCACAGACTGGCTGCGCCAAATCCACAGTCAGCAGCGACACAGACGATGCCGCAGTGCTTTGTTTCTGTCGCATTTCTGCTATCCGCGCTGCCTGAAACAATGTACCGGACACTAGATACGCGCAAAACAACAGTGATGTTGGACTATCTCATCCGCTTGGCGCGCACTACATCTGCATGTCTCGATGAGAGTGGGCCAGAAGCCGCTTTAGAGGCAGCCCGCATTGTGCTGAATCTTGGGTTGCGCATAATCGGCGCTTCACCGCACTGATCTGATGGCGCAGAAGCGGAGGGGCTTGTGCGCCTATTTAAAGAACACACTGCCCGACCCGACAAAAAGTGGAGTGGAGGGACATGGCCGAATGTGATTGGCCTGTGCCTCGCTGATTATTTCGAAGCGAGATGATGGGCTTTGATTTATTTTTCAGCTTGGCCATGCACCTTCAAGCCGATCTTTAGGATGGGCCAAATCCCGTCAAAGGATAGCAGCGACACACAACACAGGAGCCAAAGACCGCGGGTGCAACACACCAACAACAGCCACCACGGTAGACCGACCGACTGACTCTGTTTTTTCTTTCTTTCTCTTCTTTTTTTTGTAGTTTCATTTCAGCCTTTTTGTTTTCCCCTTTACTTTATATATTCTTTCCCACCTTGAACGACCGCCCTACCCTTCATCTCCCCTATCTGCCTTTCATCAACAAAGGACACTCAGCACACGCACACCCTTCCTCCAAAGTAAGTACTCGCACTTTGGTTGTTTCGAAATGTCGAAATTCCAAAACAAGATGACTATTTAAAAGTTCAGCACTCCTCATTCGCCCGTCTCCCCCTCCACAGCCAAAGCACAGCAGCAACAATAATAATAACAATAGCAGCAGCAGCAGCACAGGACTGACCAAGCGGCTGTTAGTTTTTTAAACTCAGAGTTCCCTAATGGCTTTCTCTCGCCTGTCTGTTGCCCTAGCCTTTTTCGCACAAGAGCAGTTATAACTCTGCCTGAGAAACCTGTTCCTAGAAATAGCCTTTCTGTTCATTTGGTCTGTTTTTCACTTTGTATTCTTTGTTACTGCTGTTGGATGAAGCGCCCACCTCCTCACATTCTTCCCCCCATTCATCATCACCTTTTCCTGTCATTATTGTTTGCATCGAGCATATCTGCGCAACTGCGCATATGCTCAATTGGCCGGGCAAAAAAAAACTCCTTCTCTTCTCTTTTTTATACTCTCGTACACTCTTGCTTTTATTTATTCATATTTTTGCTGTAGCTAATTAAAAAGCACGTACTTTGTTCATTCTCGTTTCTTTTATTGCTCTAGACAACTGCCAACAAGTAAAGAAATAACATGGCTGCCACCACTGAACCCACCGTCGACGCTCAGGCCATTGCCGCAGGCACCGATGTTGATGCCGCCAAGAAGAAGAAGGCCAAGAAGGTTGTTGCCGACAACTCCAAGTATGCTGGCATTGAGAGTGTGATGCCCGTGAAGATCAAGTCGTCCCATGCCAAGGGTCGGCACATGGTCGCCGCCAAGGACATCCCCGCCGGAACCCTTGTCACCCTGGAGAAGGCCGCTGCATCCATTGTGCGTAACCAGTCCTTTGTCAGCATCTGCCACCACTGCTACAAGCCCGTGTCCATGAAGCAGCAGTCGCGCCCTAAGCTCGATGCGCAAGGCAAGGAGATCCAGGGCCAGGTCGAACGTTTCAACGTCCCTAACCACTCTTGCGTCAAGTGCAAGATGGCCGCCTACTGCTCCGAGGCCTGCCACAAGAACCACGCGCGCGAGCACGCCGTGCAGTGCGATGCCCTGGCCGAAAGCAACAGCATTTCCAGTGCACACCAGGTGCCTCTGGAGCACCTGCGCGCAGTGCTTGCCCTGCTTGGCCGCCGCGCTGCTGACATTGCCGACAGCCAGGATATCGTGCCCAAGTTCTCGGCCACGGCCGACGGCGCCAAGCCCTCGCCCTACAGTAGCGCGCTTGACCTCAACCCCAACCGTCACTACATTGAGCGCAGCTCGCTCAAGAACCTGCAGGCGGCACTGAAGCAAATTCTCGCCCTGGTTCCCGAGCACGCAAGGATCTCCCTGTCTGAGGCTGTCGAGGTGTCGTGCATCTTCAACACCAACCAGTTCAACCTGTCTGTCAACAACCAGCAGGTTCTCGGCCTGTTCCCCGTCAGCTCGCTGTACTTCCAGCACAGCTGCAGCCCCAACTGCGTATACATTGGCGAGACCAACGGCGTCATGTATGTGCGCACGATGACCGATGTCGCCGCCGACGCTGACCTGACTATCTCGTACGTCGAGCTCTACCAGCCCCGCGAACAGCGCCGCCGCGATCTGCTCCTGGCGCGTCACTTCTGGTGCAAGTGCCGGAGGTGCTCCACTCTGCTCTCACAGTCGGTTGATCGCTTCATGGACGGAATCCAGTGCACAGAGTGCAACAGCGGCGTGATGATCTTTGAGGAGACCAAGGAGGTCCAGGACATCAACGAGCTGATGACAGACATCTCTGCCCTTGATCAGGAGATCCAGGGCAAGTTTGCCGAGTGCGAGTCGTGCCCGGCCAAGATTGAGGTCACCAAGCTTGTCGACGTGCTCAAGGCCGCCATCACCGACTATGGAATTGCCCACCAGACTCTGCAGCAGGGCGACGCTACTAAGGGACGCTACCAGCTCGAGCGCTTCATCAAGGAGTACGAGGAGAAGCACGTCCTCAACCCCCACAACGCGTATCTCGTCAACACTTACAATACTCTCATGCGCGTGTGCTCCCAGCTCGGCGACCTCGACCGCGCCATCCGCTACAACACCGTTGTCATTCAGCGGATGGAGGGCATTCAGGGGGCTGTGCCCGAGAATTACCCGCGCCTGGGTGAGTACCACATGTCCTTGGGCGACATGTGCCTGAAGCAGGCCAAGAAGAAGGCCTCGAACCGCACGCCCATTGGCCGCAACACCACGCGCAAATACCTGAAGGAGGCAAAGGCGTCGCTGGAGGTCGCGTACACCACGCGCAAGGTGGTTTATGGCGAGAACTCTAGCCAAGCCGCCGAGGCCAGGAGGCTGTTGGATGAGGCCAAGAGGGAGTACGAGGAGTACTCAAAGTCCTTGGAGAAGAAGCCCAAGAAGAAGGCCGCTGTCCCGACCCCCGCCCAGATTGCCGCGCCTGCTAGTACCGCCGCCCAGGCCCAGAAGGAGACCTCCGCTTCGGCCTAAGTCAATTCAAATTATTGTTTCTTTCGCATTATCCTTTTTATACTTCAAATATTGTTGTTTCTTCATGTTCTTTTTTTTGTTTGCAAAAAGTCATTCTAAATAAAATGACTCCACATTATTCGCAATTTAAAGTAAACATTGTTGATGCTGATTGCGTCTCGAGCTTTGTCATAGATTGTAAACAGTGCCAGCCTTTCAAATGCTATACACCTCAGAGAATTACCATAGATATTTTCCAACCACACCAACCATTGAAGCAAAGTATGCACGCTATTATGAAAGTGGCTAAAATCCAACACTTAATTTTAGCTCGCTAAATAATATTCAATGTTGATCTTTAGGGATGTAAATTATTTGGGTCACGCCCTATTGCCTCCTGTGAACTGTAGCAACCTGCCATCCATTATTCTTGCTTTTTTGTCTTTCGGAATTTGGCTTTGAAAAAATGGTACGCTCATTTATTGAGAAAAAATTAAAAACTTTCCAACCGGTTCCAGCCAGCCCGCCACCCAGTACGCCTGCTTGTCATCTTGCTTGCTTGTCAACTTGCCTGCTAATTATACTATAAATACAAGCCAAATAAAGAACAGACTGGTATAAAAATTCAAATATATATGTGCAAATTTACTTACATGAAAGTGTGCGTGTTGGCGGTCAATTAAAAATGTATTCTCTGAAAGAAAAAGAGAAGAGAAAGAAACGCGTTTATTTTATGTTTCAGCTGTCTTTGTATTTTGGCTGGTTGCTGATTATCGAAAAAATTGTGATGCCAAAATTAAAATACATCGCGCGACATTACTAGCACATATAATCTCATTTTTGTGACATTGCACGCACGCTGCGATTTCATAAAATGAGCTTCTTTAGTGTTATTCGTAGTCTCAATAAAATATATATTTAGTAAACACAGTAAAATTGTTGTTGCGCAGCCTAAGGGTAGGGAAGTAGATGTTGATATCGAGAATCGTGAAAAAGCTCCCATCTGCATGCCGATAGATCAAACAATTTTCTGGAATATATTACAGCCAGAGGTTGATAAAGATACAATTACATGGTCAAAACTTTAGCTGTTCTAAGTATTAATAGCAAATGAATCAATGTTTATTTGTTTTATATTTACCACATAGAAGAACGAATAAAAGGGATGATATGGAATATCCCGTCCCTTGTTCTCCTTGTGAAGAAATAAACATATCTTGTCTACAATCACCACTTGTAAAACATATGTCAGAAAAATTGAGGTTATTTGATGAAATAGTGCACAAACCAATTTTTTAAAATAATTTTATTATATAGTAGCAGATATATTATACATCCGTAATTTTTATAGTGGTGTCATTAGAATTTGTTAGAAATGTTTATTAAAAATGTTTAAATTCATAAATCAAATGTAGGATAATAATTATTTATTAAAGTAATAAAATATAATAAGCGAGAGAAAATGCTTGAATCAACATTTCTCTTAACTTTTTAGCAGCCGACTTCTTGTATACATTAGTGAAAATGGTTTTTTAGAATTTCCAGACATTTATAGCGAGTCCATATTTTTAAGCGGGGGATTTTCAAAACATTTTTCATGCAAAAATACATTGTCAGAGTCGACTGAAGCCGAGTCTGCAGCGACACCCAAGACTTTGCTCAAACCAAAGCCCAAGACCAAGCGTGTGCGCAAGAATCTATCTCCCCTGTTTCTTTTGAAGAGAAGCAGCAACTGATTAATATTGTCAGCCATAGTGGTCTATTGCCACCAGCTTCTAACCACTATGGGGAAGAATGTCGGTTTGAAGTATATTTGTAGCCTCATTCTTTTCTTTTAGTGTATATGCACACCAATTGACAACCTGAGTATGCAATTTAAATAAAATAAACAGCAGTGCTGGATGTGCGCATTGGGGACCGTTTGCAGACCAGATATGCACATCTTTTTTCCTTTTTCCAAATTAAACTTGATTAGGTCCTGTTTATTTGTTTATTATTTGGCAAATCCCCTCTAAAACGCAAAGTGCAATTCTGTGGACACGAATAGTAGATTTTCAGTCATTCTAGGAAATTTTATAGGAATATATTTTATTTGTTTATTTGTTGTTGCTGCGGTTGCATTAGCCATAAAGAAAATATACGCTGGTACAGCATACTGTTTTGCCTTAGTTTTGAAGTCTTTGGACTGCGGCTGAAAATTTTTTTGGGAGAACATAAAAAGTCTGGCATCAAGACCAGTCCAGCTTTTTATCCTTTTATCTTTCCACCATCATTCTACCTTCCTCTATATTTATTTATCCCTTGTATAGTTTTGATACACACCCATCCTTCATTTTTTGCTTAACGGGGTTTTCGAATATTCAAAATGATTCCTTTTTTTGATCTGTTGGCGAATGGACAGGACATTCCCCACCCGTCGATTTACTTAACTTTTTCAAATAAGCGAAAACTTCAAAGAAACGCTACGAAAATAGTGGATACCAGCTACGCTGCAATTGCGCTCAGCGGGATAATGTTTATTTTTATCTTTATTGCCTGCCTCGCCCTCCCGGCCATTGCCAACCGCACTTCGCTGCGCATTTTGGCCCTCATCAGTTTGTTCAACTTCCTATATGGCATTATTTCAATGTTCAGCTACAATTACAGCCTTAGCGGGTGTGTTGCCCAGGGATTTTTCCTCGAACTGTTCATCTACAGCGGTCTATACCTGACATCAGCCATTGCATTTAATTTGCATCTCAAGTTTCTTCGGTCTCCAAGCAAGCCACTGCCCAAGTACATTGCCTATCTGTATTTTGTCGTCCCCATCGCGGTTGCCACCATGCAGCTGGCTCCCCAGTACATCTACGCGGCAACCCATGGTACATGCAATGTTTCTGGATGGTCTGCTATGGAAATATCAGAGTGGCATTGTTCTTGTTCCTCGTAAAGTTGCTTATTCCTGCTATTTTTGGTATATTTAATTTTGTCACATCGGTGCGCGTTATCATTGTTCTTTGCCAGAAGAGGTGCATAATTAATGGTGCGCTCAAGTCGGTCAACAGGGGAGCGCCGGAACAACATACTACTTCTGCAGTTAGCAAAAGAGTTATCCAGCTACAGGCCGTGCGCAAGGTCTGCAATGCCAGTATCCGCGTTGCTATTTACCCGCTGGTGCCACTTGTTTGGTTGGCGTTGCTTGCCGCAGCATTGGACTGCAAGACACATTCACGTTATCCAGCGTTCATGGCCTCAGACATTACCTCGACGCCGTGTATCTCACCTCACTGCTTGTCCCCGTCACCGTGATAACATACGTTTTGGTCTTTTTATTTGACCCCGTTTTCTGCCAGCTGTTTACATCGTCTAAGACTGACCAGACCGAGCAAGAAGCACAGGATGCTGCTGTTATTGAAGAATCCTCAGAAAGCAACAACTCCATTTCAGCAGCTGTCGAGAAACTCCATGAGAGCGGCGAGCTTGGCCAAATTAAAAATAACGAGGATGCCCAGAAATTTTTCAAGACCATTTAATTGTCTTTAATTTATATTTATACTTGTTGGCATTAAAATATAATACCTAAATTGAGATGCAGGACTGCATGAAGTAGTGCCGAGAGACAAAAAATATATGATTTCAAATGTATTTGTAGGCAATCCCAGCTCTGCTGGTAAAAACACAACTCCCAGTCAAAAAAACGATGAAAAAAATGAAAATAAAAGCAAAAAATATTACTAGAAGGGATGCGCTTCGACAAGCGTGTCAACAGGGTACCACGCACTGTCAACCGTCTTGCGGCGGAACAGCTGGTGCTTTGTGTGCACGACGCTGTTACCGATGGCCATCCCAACATCCATGCGCTCCAAGCAGCCCACCAAGCAGGCATCGTAATTCTTGCTCACAATCTGGCCGTCCCTCGGCGGCCAGCTCTTGGTGCTGCGCGTACTCCTCGCGCTTGTCCAAAGAGATGAGCTTGAACTCAATGATTACGCCAAACTGGTTGGCCTGGTTGTTTGAGCTGTACAGCCGCATTGCGTAGTCGCAGCGGCCAATACCAGTGTGCTTCTCGCGGATAGGCACAACGTGCGAAATGCTGACAGACTTTTGCTTTGGGTGGGTCAGTACGCCAAAGCGCGACACGGCCATCAGCGTGTTGGCCACATGGTTGGCGTAGTCCTTCTGCTGTACTTGTGTGGTTGCTCAGCACACCATGCGACGACGTGGCCAGCATGCACAACAGGTCGGTCTGTCCGCGCCATAGCTGCTGGAGTAGCGCACCACGCGTATAGTTTGTGCTGTTGTCAGCCATCTCTGTGCCCATGACTGCGCGCGCAAACAGCTGCAGCCACACTTGGTACACTTGTGGTTGGGAATGCACACAGACGTGGACTCGCGTCGTGTCAGGTAGCCCGCGTACAGGCATAGTGTCAGCAGTCCGGGCTCGGAGAACTGGTCGCTGTCGTAGTTGATCAGGTTGAGCCGCGTGGCAACCAGGGTACGGGCTCGTAGGTGCCCTCAAAGTGCTGCGGGTCGAGTGTCTTGCAGTGCTCGTAGTCGCATAACAGCCTCTTGGCTAGGCTGACAAACTGCGCACGGTGCTTGTCGATCTGCGCCTCTATCAGCCCCGTTGTGCCTGTAGTCACCCAGAATGCGCGCGCCGCCGACTGTGTGATGGCCTGCATCTGGAAGCCCGAGGTTGGCGGCTCTGCTTGGCTGAGGATGCTGCACAATGTCTCAATAAATGAGCTGACTGACCATGGATTGTACTTGCAGCGGAAACAGCCGATGTAATAGCCGTTGTACCACTCCTTGATGGTCGCTAGAATAAAGCTCTTGTATGTGCCAATTGCCGGATGTGTCTTGGCGCTCTGGTCTAGCATTAGCTTGACCTCGTTGGTGTTGAACCAGAACGAGTCCGTCAGCGCGTCCAGACCATTACCTGAGTGCGGATGGGTGGCTGCAAGGATGCTGCTTTGGATGTCGCTCTCCTCGCTGGGGATCATGCGGATCTCCTTGATGTTGTTGGCGCCCGACCCCAGCTCGGTCAGCGGGACCTCAAAAACGCCGAAAAGTAATCCCTTCAGCAGATTGTCGTTGTCCTATATAAATATATAATAAAATCACCAATGTGTCGTTTAGTTTAAATGTTTGGATGTTTTTTTGCACATGCAGTGTTTTGTTCTAAGCGAGCTTGCTTCTTTTTTGAGAATGAACTTACCTTGAACATCGTCTGGAACAACAGCTTTATGATCCCTTGCGCGGCCTTTTTGGTTTTGATGTCCCATTCGGCCAAATGTATTGAAATGAACGGAATGTCATACTCGTCGATCAGCAGAATGTAGCGGCCGTAGTGAGTTGAGACAAACTCTGAAAGAGCTTTAAACATGACTTGTGTCAAATTGTCATATTTAATCGCAATATCAGTAGACTCATAGAGGATTTCATCGTACTTTTGCAATACCCGCCTTAGGCTATCCACCTCAATACATCATTCTCACCAGAATGCGACCAGATGCCCGACATGCTTTCAGCCACTGTTTAGCTACTCAGCAATGCATCCGCACAGGTTCATGATATAGCTTCCCAATGTCTCACCCTTGCACTCACTGAGCAGATGTTAAGCACGGGTACTTCATAAAGTGCGGACTATAAAACTCAGGATCCATTGACTTGAGCAGGGTGTTGTCAAACAGCTACTTGCGCTTCTTGCGGCACTTGTCTGCCAGGCTCATCTGCGCCAGCTGTTTTGCACTCAAGGTATTGCTTACAAAAACGTTGTCAGAAATCTCCTTAAGCTTGTCCGCCTCGGGCAGCATGCTGAAGTACAGCAGCATTTGCGTCAGATTGTACGTTTTGCCCGACCTGCGCGGCAAGCAAATGCGTCCAACTTTCTCGATGGAATCCCAGAACCCTTTGCACACGAGTGACTTGTCAACCTTGCACAACCCGCGGCTCTCGGCGTCTGTGAAGTTAACATCCGCCACGACTTTTGATCCCGACACCCTGGTTGGCGAGCCGCTAGGGCGCAGGGCTCGCGACAGCTTGTCGGGCGTACGCACCGAAAGCGCAGCAGCAAATGGAAAGCTGAGTTTCTTCTGCTGGATTTTGGTCTGAACACGTGCCTTGGCCCTGTCTTTGGTCTTGGAGCGCGTGTTTCTGGATATTGGGCTGTACTTGTTCTCGTTGTTAACCTGTGCACGGGTGCTGCTATTCCTGGGCAACTTTGCTTTGGGCGACACGCCAGCAGACAAAAGATAATTGACAGCCTTGCGTCTACAATGTGTGAGTAGATAAAATATGCTGTTAAATGTTAGTACAAAGTGCTTGGATGAATAAAAGATACATTTTTAATATTTCAAGCAATTGAAATTTTGAAGCTTACTTTTTAGTCGGCGTCTCGTGCATGTCACGGTATTTGAATAATAGCCAAACGGCTTCTGGCCGTGGTGTTGGTGTTGGTTATGGTGTTGGCGGTTGTCAACAATGGCAGTGGGTCGAGTGGGACGACATGGTTAGCGTGTTTTTCATGTCGCCGTTACTGCTGCGGCTCGATTTCCGTTAGGCCAGGAGAAGGTTCATTATGCTCGAATAGCTCCTGCTGCTTGCCAATGAGAATGAGCGGCATTCCAGCTTCATGCTTAGCCGCTGGTCGGATGGAGGCTCTGCATGTATAGTAATGATGCTGCTGCGTTGAGCTGACATGTTGATAAGGTTAAATAATTACGGTGCTAAAATTGCAAAACATAACCAAAAGAAGAAAACGATAAAACAGAAGATATTAAAAAAACACATCTGAGCGTTGCTTTAGTTGTATATTTTTGTATGTTGTTTTCGAACTAACAAGTTCAGTTTAAAAGTTGATTGTTTTATTCCATTTTTAATTTTTGTTTGTTTGCAAATAATGTTGATATTTTGATGTGTAAATATAACATCTACTCATACACACATGTATTTGTATAGTGATGACTATCAGCAATTATAATAAAATTTGCTCATATAGCCAAAGCAAATAAAAAGACATAGATCTATGATTTGTGCTACTAGTCGAGTGCGGTTGTGTGGATTACAAGTTTGATACATGTATGTTTAATTGAATTTGAGTTGTGCAATCATTTTACTAAAAAAATAATGTGTACTTTTATAACTTCAAAAATTTAAATTTTGTATTCTAATTGAGTAAATATATACCCGAGTGAGGTAGCAAACAAGTAAAAAGTACAAACTAATCATGAGGCTGAATGCTACTGCGCAGCCTTGCCCATCATGGTCTCTATTGCAGACCTGGCTACATGCCCCTATAACAAAAATTAATCTAGGGGTGGCGTGGTTGGGGGTTATTCAGACCTTGGTCTAATTGCCTGGCGGTGGAAGTGTTTCCAGGTGAAGTTCGTATGTTAATTTATGTTTGATCTGATCAGTCCCACTTTAATCACACTTCACGTGGTTATGTTTTTAAGCACAAGGAATGAGCCCAATGTTGACACGCGTTATGCATTATTTGCAATATTCGCAAATTCAAAATTCGAATCGCCACAGCTTTTTGTTTTGCTTTGCTGACAACTTTTGCAAGTGCTATATTATTATTTTTACACCTATATTTTCCATTATTTCTCTAGTTTCGTTATTGCCTATCACACGACAACAGTTTATCAACTGAATCTGGGGTGTCGGCATTAAAAGGACAAGTAATCCAACAGCATTCCCCATGGACGCCGTCGCACCAGAAGCAGCGACCGCCGACAATTTCGAGCAAGTGAAGGCCCAGTTGCAGTTTGATAATGCGCGTCTTGGTAAGCACTCGGCATTGATAAAGATAAATGACTCTTTGCAGCAGCCCAAATTGTCTCTTAAAAATGCGCCAAACTAAAAGAAACCATTTTTACACATGCATTCCAACTGTTGTAGAAAACGAAGTGCACCGCCTGAACAGGCAGATCGGCCAGTTAAAGAGCTCCTTGGAGGGCGCACAGAGCGAAACCAAAACCGTGTTGGATGAGCTCAAGACAACCAAACCCAATTGGATGAGGTCAGCTCAAACCTCCAAGCACAAACCGCACAGGTGTCGGCACACATCGTGCAGGAGTCTCAGTTGCGCGAGCAGGTCAGTCAGCTGCGCGAGGAGAAGCGCGAGCTGCTCACCCAGATTGCCGAGCGGCGCAACCAGCTCGATGAGAAATCGGTGGAGATTAACCGGCTCAACGAGCTCGTCCAGGATATGCGGCAGCAGCGCGCGGCAGACCAGGAGGAGCTGGCACGGCTGCGGTCGCAGACCTCGGTGTCAGACGTCAGCGAGCACATGCTCAAGCAGTCACTCGATCTCGCCAAGAACCAGGTGAAGTGGCTCGACGAGGAGCTGGTGAAAACACAGACCGAGATGCAGATGGCCAAGTCCGAGCTCGCACGCACATCCACCACCGGAAGGGCAGAGGTCGGCCGCCTGCGCGCCGAAATTGAGTCCTTTGGCGAGCAAACCGAAGAGCTGCGGCAACGCAACTCACAGCTTGAGCGCACCCTGCGGGCCAAGCTGGAGAGCGAGCGCATGACCAAAGAGCAGCTGGCCGAGCAAACCGAACAGTTCAAGCACGAGATGGCTGCCCAGAAGAAGCTGTGCGTTGAGTGGGAGAAGACGACCGAAGCCGCCAAGCAGAATGTGCGCAGCGTCGAGGAGAGCTTACGCAACCTCGAAAGCCACCAGCGCGAGAACGAGACAAAAGCGCAGGAGGCTGTCGAGCTGATGGAGCGACGCGTGGAAGAGGTGGAGCAGGAGTACAGCCAGTTGCAGGAGAAGGCTGTAGAAATGGCCAGCGAGCTGGAGAACGCCAACCAGCTACTCAACGAGGCCACACGCTCGCAGGCGATGCTTCTGTCTCCGACGGCCGGTGTCGCGTCAAAACTACAGCAGCAGCAGGGTTCGCAGGGCCGTCTGAACATTACGCAGCTGTACTCAGAGAAGATTGCGCTTGAAGACAAGCTGCGCGGCGCCGAGGCAGAAATAGAGTGCCTGCGCGAGAGCATGGAGCAGATCCTCAGCGAGATTGAAGAGCGTGGGCCGATCATTGCCGCCGAGCGCGAGGAGTACCAGAGGCTGCTCGAGGACGCCGACCAGATCGCGCAAGACCTGACCAGCGTGCGCCAAGAAAACGCGGCTAAGGACCAGTCGCTGCGCAAGTCCAAGCAGGAGAACGACCTTTTGCAGCGCCAGCTCGTCTCAGAGCAGCAGCAGACCCGCGATCTGAGCCGTCAAGTGGCCCGGCTTTTGCGTGCGGTAGAGGAGACGCGCATGGGCGGGCGCACGATGCCCGAGAGGCGCGAGGAAACCTTGGCAGTTGTGCCCGAGCAGGGCGACGAGCAGCTGAGCGAGGTGGATCGCGTCATTACGCAGAACCTCGTTGCATTTTCTGACATCACCGAGCTGGTGTCGCAGAACCGGCGTCTGCTGCGCACAACCCGCGAGCTGGCGGCGCAGGTTGCACAGGAGGAGGAGCAGCGGCGCAAGGAGACCGAGATCGAAATGAAGGGTGCGCTGGAGCAGGCAGAGACCATGCTAGACCAGCTGTCCATCGAGCTCGACGGCACAAAGACTCGCATGAGCGTGCTCGAGCGCGAGCGCGACATGCTCAAGTCGATGCGAGGCCGCTCTTCTGATGACAAGGCCGAAGAGGATGCTGAGCAAAACTTGGCGTCATCGCCCCCACCCCCGCCAGTCGAAACGGAGACCAGCCTTAGCACCCTGCCAGTCGCCAGACGCACAGTGGACACCACTTCCAGCAGCGACACCGGCAAACCCGATGCTGTCGTGCGCCTGCAGTCTGACTTTGACCTGTACGTGAGCGAGTCGCGCAAGACCCGTGCTCAGCTCGAGACTGACGCCACAAAGCTGCAGACCGAAGTATCCGAGCTCAGAGTGCGCGCCGCCAAGGGCGAGGCGCAAAACCAATTTGACGTCGAACGCATCCAAATGCTCACGCGCGACCTGGAGACCCGGCAGGGCGAGATCAACCACCTGCGCTCGTCGACATCGCGGCTGCACAAGCAGATCGAGGCGTGCGAGAAGCAGATGGAGAGCATGGGCCAGGAAATGACTTCCGAGCGCGTTGAGCTCAGCAGGCTGCGCCGCCAGAGCACCCTCATAGAGGCCGAGTGCGAGAACTTACGGAGCAACGACCAGCGCTGGCGCGCGGAGGAGCAGCGCCTGGTTGCCGAGCGCACTAGCCTGACGCAGATTCTTGAAAACACGACCAAGATGCGCGAGGAGTGGCAGCGCGCATCAGAGGCACAGGTCGAGCAAGTGCGCGAGCGTTTGGAGGCCAACCGCCAGGAGACTGACGCTGTGCGCCAAGAACTGAAGCAGGCTCGGGACTCGAGCGAGCGGGCACAGTACAAGTTTGATTCTGAGTTGTGCGAGCTGCGCGGCCAGATCCAACAGCGCGAAGAGCGCATCTCGCAGCTGCAAGATCAGATTTTGGCAGGCAAGGAGCTGCAAGCGAAGATCCAGGGCGAGCGTCATGACATCGAGCTGTCCCGCGATGACCTGCAGCGCCAAGTCGCGACGCTCGAGGAGCGCATTGAAGGCCAGGAGTTGCTTATGCAGCGGGCGCAGAGCCAGGGGCACACGGTGTCCAAGGAGGCGCTGCTGACCGTGCAGCTCCAGGACGCGCGGTCTCAGCTTGAGACTCTGAAGAGCGAGCTCGAGACTACGCAGAGGCGCTCTGAGGACTACCGCCAGCTAGCGACTACCAACGATATCTCGCTGAAGGAGCTGTCCGAAACATACGACCAGTACAAGTCTCAGAACGACAGGACGACCGCCGAACAGTCGGCAAGAATTGCCGAGCTCGACGCTTCCTTGCTGGCATCGAATGCCGCTCTCAATCAGTGCCGTTCTGACCTAAGCTCAGTCACCAAGAGGCTGCAGAAGACGCAGGCCGAAATGGGCGAGCAGAAGGATAATTATGCTGCGCGCCTCGCTAAGCTCGATGAGGAGAACCAGTTCAAGGCGCGCTCACTCTCTGCCCTGCGCGACGAGTTGGAGCGCCGCGATGAAGCTGCCCAGAGCATGCAGGTCCAGTACGAGAAGGAGGTCGTCATGCACGCTGAGGTGATCAAGAGCTCACTGTTAACACGCGAAAGGCTTATTGAGACGCAGCGGCGCCTTGCCGACATCGGTGGTCAGCTCCAGGCCAGCCGGGAATCCAACAACCAGCTTCAAGCGCAGCTCAACCAGGCACGCGACAGGGCGGCTGACGAGATGAAATCGACCCGAGGCCAGCTCGCTGATATTCGCAGGCAGAACTCGCTCTTGCTCGCTCATCTCGAGTCTCTGGGCCACGAGGTGCCCGACATCTCGGTCGACCCCGAGAAGATCGCCGCATCTGCTGAGACTGACACTGCGGGCGGGACTGGCAATGCCGCGGCTGGCACTGGTACCAGCAGCCAGACTGGCCTTCGCGATGTTGTTGTATACTTGCGCCGCGAGCGCGACTTGGCCACCGCCCAATTAGAGCTGGCGCAGCAGGAGTCGCAGCGCTTGCAGCAGCAGTGCACATACACTCAGCGTATGCTTGACGAGGTGCGCAACGAGCTGCTACAGTACACGCCCACGGGCGACGCCGACCCTTTGTCGAACAACAATGATTCTCTGAGATCCGAATCGTCGGCTGATATCATCATGAAGGGCAACGGCCCCATCACTCTGACAGCGACGCAGAGGCAGTCGTGCCAGAAGCAGATAAAGGAAATCTTGGTTCTGCGCGACTCCAACTCTGTGCTGCGCTCGGACATGGAGTCGACCAAGCGGCGCCTTCGCGATACGGAGCGAGACCTCTCGCACTTCCGTGACCAGGAGGTGCCTCGCCTTCAGAAGGACAACGGCTCGCTCCGGGCGGAGCTGCAGTCCATGCGCACCCAAGTGACACAGCTGACGGGCATGTGCGAGCAGTGGAAGCAGCGCCACGAGAACGTGCTGGCCAAGTACTCGATGATCGAGCCCGAGGTGTACGAGGCGCTCAAGGTAGAGAACCAGGAGCTCAAGACGCGCTTCGAAAGGCTGGAGGCCGAGAACAAGCAGCTACAGCAGAGGATTACCCAGGCTACTGAGCAGCAGCTGTCGACCGATGCGCGCAAAATGACACTTTTGCAGTCCGAGATCGCCAGGCTGAAGAAGCAGATTGAGTCGCAGCTGCTGCAGTTGGCCAGCGAGAAGGACCGTGCGAGAATCCAGGACTCGCAGATTATCAGCCTAAGCGAGGCTGTAAAGGCAAAGGAGAGCGCGATCCAGGCCTCGAACAAGGAGGTCGCGGACAGCCAGGTCAAGTTTGAGAAGCTGCGTGACGTTTTCCAGAGGCTGCGCCAGCAGTCAGTCGAGAAACTCGAGCAGAGCAACAGGGTTATCAAGGGCCACGAGTCCACGATCCAGGTGCTGACCGAGCAGATCAACGCGTCCCAAAGGCAGCAGCAACCTGCAGCTTCCACTGGGCCAGAAGCCGACGCCGAGAAGTTGAGGCGGCTGGAGGATGAGATTTCTGCGCTCACAAAGGAAAAGGACGAGGCGCTGGCCGGGTACCAGAATTTGGCCGGCGAGCTGCAGGAGACACGGGCAGCTCTCCAGGTGGCGCGAGCCCAGCTTCTGGAAAAGTCGCAGGCACAAACACAGGCACAAACGCAGCCGCAGACGCAGGGGGAGGGTGTTTCAAGCGACAACACCACTCCACCAGCTGCCGAGATCAACAGGCTCAAGTCCGAGCTTGCTACCGCCGAGGCCAAGGTCAACGAGTACAAGGGCCAGCTGGAGGAGCTTAAGGTCCGGGCGAGCAAGTATTTCAGTGACAACAGGGTGCTCCAAGCCAAGGCTTCTGCTCTCGAGAAGAAGCTGAGCGAGGCATCCACCACCCTTGCGCCGTCAACTGAGCTCCAGCAGCAGCTCGAGCAGACGCAGAAGCAACTTGGGGAGGCGCAGAAGCAGCTCGCCGAATCCGACGCTAAGATTGAGCAAGCGCAGGCGACGGCCAAGAGATGGCTGAGCTGCGTTCCAGGCTGCAGATTTCGCGGGAGGCCAAGCGGGCAGACGATCTGGCCAAGCAGGTCGATGAGTTGCAGACCAAGATCGGCGTGCTAGAGAGCGGTACCGGGTCGTTGAAGCGGCCGATGGAAACCGAGGACGGGCCGTCAAAGAAAGCACATACCGAGGAGTCGTCGTGATTATGCCGTTCTCATTTCTGCAAGTTTATTTGGTCAATTCATTATTTTTCATATTTCAACCATCGACTTTTAATTATCCGGCTTTCAACCTTAATAAGAAGAAAAAAGTGAAAAGGCGGAAAATTCCGGGGTTTTATGTCAACTTGAATTGGGGGAGGTGCCCAAATTTTTTATCCGGAGTGCTGGAACGCTGAAGAAAAGAAAGACCACAAACATCTAAAAAATTCTAATATCCTGCAAATTGATATCTTTGCCTCTAGCCTCTGAGGGCGTTCTGGGCTGCTATGCAATTAGGATGGGAATGTACCACTAATAATCATTGCACTGCTTCTTATGAAGGAAAGCTTGGGCTTGAGCCTTGGCTTGGGGAAGTCTCAGGCAAAATTTCGGGTGTCGCTGTAGACTCGGGTTCAATTGACTCTAGCGGTGCCTTTTTTGCGTGAAAAATGGCATTGAGGATGATGCGAAAGTTTAGCACCACAGCCATGTTGTAATTACTCTTCCGTCTTCCCGAGATCACCTTTTTCACCAACCTTGATCTGCTGCTAACCACTCATGAGCATCATCTAACTTGTGTGCTACCCTTTTCCTACCTCTAGCGAAAGGTGTTAACGCACTTTCAAAGTTTTCTCAATGGTTGGGGATTTGTTGTAGTGGGATTCTGCCTCGCTTTTCTTTGCTTCTTTTTCATACTTCTTTTCACACATATTTGCGAACACTTTATTGTCCTCGCTACACATACACACACATGTTTGCCCGCATTTCCATCGCCCGCCGCACAGCCCGGACTGTTGGTACGCACATTTTTCAATTCCAGAGCTAGCACTGCTATTTACAAGGCTCGCATTAGCAATCTAAATTTCCAGCACTACATCTAAATGCAACGCTTGTCACTATTCTTCCCGTTTTTATAGCCGCTCGCTTTCACACAGCCGTCATAAATGCCGAGGCATCGCAATTCACAATGCCGGCTCTGTCGCCCACTATGACTGAGGGTGGTATCGCCCGCTGGGAAAAGAAGGAGGGTGAGTCGTTTTCGGCCGGTGATCTGCTGGTGCAGATCGAGACGGACAAGGCCCAGATGGACGTTGAGGCCCAGGACGACGGCGTCTTGGTGAAGATCCTGGTGCCCGAGGGCACCCAGGGTGTTTCGATCACAGCCCCATTGCGATTATTGCTGAGGATGGTGATGATATTGGTAGCATTGACATTGCTCGTCTGTCGGCGAAGAAGGCCGCTCCCGCGTCTGCTGATTGGCGCCAAAGGCAACACCCGCACCCGCACCGACTCCTGCACCTGTTGCTGCTCCCGTAGCCAAGCCTGCAGCTGCTGTGGCGGCTGCTGTCCAGTCGCACGGCGCAGAGGACAACTCCGCCCAGGGTAAGCTTGCGCCTGCGGCTGCCTTTGCCATCCATGTGAACCACATCTCCAACGCCAGCGAGATCCAAGGATCGGGCCCCAAGGGCCGCATTCTCAAGGGCGATGTGCTGCAGTTCCTGAAGGGGGCAAGGCCGTCATCAACAAGGATCAGTCCGCCAGCACTGCTGCCTCCGCCAAGGCAACACCCGCCAGCACCCCTGCAAGAAGCCCGCTGCTGCTGGCTCAACTGACGCTGAGACCGCGTTCCTCGTGCAGTCTCTCGAGCCCTCGGTTTGCGCTACCTGGCCGAGCTAGAGCTAGCCAAGAAGAGTACAACCGTGCAAGTTCCGGCCGAGAAGCTGGTGAAGCTGATCAAGTCCAATAAGGCTCTGACAGACAGCGCGTTTGTTCTCCGCGCGGCCGCTCTTGCCCTGCACCAGGTCTCGCTGTCCAAGGATGGAAACACTCGGGTTGGTATTGCCGTCGAGGGATCCCGGGCGCCCAGCGTAATTGAGATCACCGATGCATCGACCGCCAGCGTTCTGGACCTGGCTGCTGCCATTAAGGAGGCCAAGAAGATCGGTAAGACTGCCGCTGAGTTGCCCGCGGTTGTGCTGGCACCAGAGGGCCTGTACACTCCCGAGATGCTTCCCAAGGCCACCACGGTTATTGTCGTGGGCAAGCCCCATGATGTTGTTTCGTCGTCAGACGCCAGTGCGGCGCTCGACAATGCGCTCAGCGAGTTGATTGGCGGTGCTGTGCGTGCGCTGCCTGCTAAGAAGACCTCGAGCGCTATTGATGTCAGCGTCATCAGCGAGTCGCCGGCTGCTGCGGCGTATGCGAGCAAAATTAAGGCGTTCCTGTCAACCCTGAGCTGCTCACATTCTAGGCGGGTGTGTGGTAGTGTTGGATTTTCGGTTTCCATGTTTTGCGTGTATTTGGCAATAAGAAAAATTACAATTGAAAGACATTAATTGAGTTTAACGCCGCAGATTCAGCCACTCAGCTGTGGTTATCTGGCCTGTTTGTTTGTCCGTTCGTCCATTTTCTCAATGGGTACCAGCAACCAACAGAACTCCTATGATTGCCCGGGGGATGGTAGTTTGGGTGATCAGTCTCGAATTGGTCAATGCGTCGACTACAAAAAGACTGTTAGTAGCACCGAGTTAACTTGCCAAATCCAGCAGCGCATCGGAAGAGATAGGAAAAGTGGAGGATGTTGCGGTATTGACTGAATTGGTCGAGTCATTGCAATGTTGGTATAAACAACAGCTTTTATTTGGCACACGAGCAAGAAAAATAACCTTTTGAATTGTGAATCGATGGCAGTTAGCGAAAGCAAAATAAATGGAATGGGTAGAAAGTTCTCACGAGAAAAAGCTTACCAGTCACAATTATAACGATCCAGATCAATGATTTTTTGTCACTTGTCATTTTTCAATGACATTTTCCTCCGAGGTGCATTATCGCTCAAACATCTGGCCAAAAAAAGCACGACTTGCACTACACCAAATATGGCAAGCAAACTTACATGGATGGGGATCAAGTTGGGGTGAAAACTAACGCTGAATACAAACACGTTGTTTCAATTGGTTCTGGCGTTATCCTTAGTATAGGGCAGATAAAATCAAAATGTAACACCCAATGTTAACTTGTTTTTTAATTTCCTAAATTGTAAAAATTCTCTCCCAAAAGATATAATTGTTTTGTTAGTACCGGGTGAAAGGTACAGTATGAAATAATAAAACCAACTTGCCAGCTGGAATTTTGCTGATCGTCTGCAATCATTATTTTATTTTCACCAGGGGAGAAGGGGGGAACGGAGGGAACGGAGGGAACAAAGGAGAACAAGTTTACTAGCAAATAATACAAATTTTGGCATTTGAAATATTATGTATTTTATCTTTTTTTTTTTAAAAAAAAATCCCTACCTGTCTTTTTTCATGTGAATGCGACACAACAGGCATTGGGAATATGAGTGAGTGCATCCCGAGATAATAAATGTATTTAAGCAAACGGGCGGGTGCCATTATCACCTCAGCACAAAAAATAATTCAAAGGCGAGAGAGAACCAAGCGAAATCTTACATTTCCTCTGACTCTATTACTATTATTTCATCGCAATAGCCTTTATATAATAACTTTTCAAATTGATAGCAGTTAAAGTAAATTGCAAAATTACAATAAAAAGTTCTGCGTTCGTACAAAACATTTCATTTTAATCAACATTTGTCTTTTATACGAATTTTAAATTTATAATTATCAAACGCAAGCAATGTCCTGGATTGACAAGCTCAACTCGCGCGTCGCCCAGACATTAATAGGACGTTGGTTCCGACTGGAAGGCTCAGGGGCCAAGATCGAGCGACCCGGATCCAAATTCAGCGTTGAGTTGCGTGCCGGCCTAACAACCTTTATCTCCATGTCCTACATCATCAGCGTCAACGCGCTAATTATCACAGACTCCGGCGGCACCTGTGACTGCGACCGCAATCTATACGGCCTTACTGCGACGATGACCCAGCATACTCCAGCTGCCTGCAGGATATCAAGTTGGATATCATCACAGCCACATGCGCCATCTCCTGCCTGGCCTGTATATTCATGGGTGTCTTTGCAAACTTGCCGATTGCGCTGGCGCCTGGAATGGGGCTGAACGCGTATTTTGCTTATACAGTGGTTGGATTCCATGGCTCCGGTAAGGTGTCATATCGGAATGCATTGTCGGCAGTGTTTATTGAGGGAATTATCTTTTTTGTTCTTTCAGTTATCGGCCTAAGACAATGGTTTGCGCGGCTGATCCCAGTGGCGCTCAAAACAGCCACAGCTTCGGGATCGGCATCTACCTGGCGTTCATCGGCCTGCAGTCGTCGGCAGGAATCGGTCTGATTACGTCAAACTCTTCGACCTTGGTTGAGCTCGGAGGGTGCCCGGCAGAGTTCCGCAATAAGGATAATGTATGCTTGAGCCATCATATGGAGGGAGGCACGATGTGGCTGGGCGCCATGGGCCTGCTTCTTATGGTCACAATGCTCTTGTATCGGATCAAGGGCGCTATCCTCTTTGGCATTGTCCTGATTGCCGCCATCTCATGGCCGCGAGGCACCGCAGTAACGTACTTCCCTTATAGCGCGCCGGGCGACAATGCGTTTGATTTCTTCAAGAAGGTCGTCACGTTCCACCCGATCAAACGAACTTTGGCCGAGTTCCACTGGGACCTAACCTCTGGTGATGTTTGGATTGCCCTTGTGACATTCCTTTATGTGGATATTCTGGACTGCACGGGGACTATGTTTTCAATGGCCAAGTTTGGCGGGTACATGGATCCTAAGACGCAGGATTTCGAGGGATCCAGTATGGCGTTCCTTACAGACTCTGTGTCGATCATTATTGGCTCCATCTTTGGCTCTTCACCTGTCACGGCTTTCATCGAGTCTGGTGCCGGTATCTCCGAGGGAGGACGCACAGGAATCACAACAATAGTCGTAGGCATAATGTTCTTCATTGCGATATTCTTCGCGCCCATCTTTGCTTCCTTCCCGCCCTGGGCGACAGGCCCGGCGCTGATAACGGTTGGCAGCATGATGATGACAAATGTACTGGACATTAACTGGAAGTACATTGGCGATTCTGTGCCGGCGTTCCTCACAATAATTCTGATCCCCTTTGGGTACTCGATTGGGTATGGATTGATCGCAGGCATTGGGTCGTTTGTTTTTATTAATTCCTTGGTGTTCCTTCTTCACAAGGCTTCTGCAGGTCGGATCACGCCGCCTAACTTTGATGAGCGGGATGATGGGTTGGGTTTATTATGAGGGGTGGGTTTAAGAGTAATGTTCCCAGGTGGATCTTGCGTCTGTTTGGCAAAAAGCCAGAGTCGATTCGTGTATGTGGCGGATTTGACGATATTGAGGTGGGCACTACTAGACCGGATGGTGATGATCGGAAACTGGCTGCCGACGAGTTCGGGTCAGACGATATGAAGGAGTTTTCGGAAGTGAGATGATTTTTTTAATAATATTGAAATGTATATTTGCTGATTAATTGATTTGATCGGGAATTTACATATTTATTTTTTTCTCCGTGCGATCAGGCTCAAAAAAAAGAAAGAAAAGAAAAAAGTTGATCTGTTAAAAAAAACCCAAAAAAAAAAGTATGAGTTTAAGTAATTTTATTTTTGCTTTTTTTCATTATTTGCTTTGAGAGTAAAAAATAATAATAATCTGTGGACGTTTACTTTGACCTTAACCTTTTTTTTGTCTTTATCTTTTTTCCTCCTTAAAAATTCCAACTTTATTATAATTATTTTGACACAAACCTTTCTTCTTTTCCACCACTTTTATATAACAAGAAAAAATGAAGGACGGAGGAGTAGCTTCGCAGCTAAACACCAGCGGCGGGGCCAACACGTACCGGTACAAGTCGTTTAATGACCGATTAAACGATATAAAGACAAATGTGCCACTGCGAATTGTGCGGGACTTTGATGAGCCTGAGGAGAATCAGTCGTATTTCGCCGAGGGACTCAAAAGACAGGGCGAGTTGAACTGCACGAAGGATTACACGGAGTTTACTAACCGTGTGGCTAAATACCAGCAGTCCTTGGCGCAGGTGCTTTACCATAAGGAAGATATTGTGAGCGCGATGGAGGAGTATTTGACGATGGAGCACGAGCTTGTGCTGGAGTCGATGCTAGAGTAAGTGTGTGGTGTGTGTGTGGGGGGGGGTTATAATGAACAACCTGTGCGTGAGTGTTTGTTGAGGGGCCGTGGATAATTGGCATGTATTGGCAGCTTATAAACACAAAAAAGCTAAATTCAAATGTACTTTTATATTTTACAATGTAGCCTTGTCACTACCCTAGCGCGCGACTTGCAGGAGGAGATCCTGCCTTACTTTGCACGGCTGGTTCAGCGGATCATGCATCTGATCAAGGTAGATTCAGCAGAAATAGTCGAAGCAGCGTGCAACGCGCTCACGTACCTGTTCAAGTACCTGTCAAAGTGGCTGGTCACGGATTTGCGGCCGACTTTCGACCTCCTGAAGCCGCTTCTCGGCATGGAAAAGCAAAAACCCAACGTTCGGCGATTCGCAGCCGAGTCCCTGGCATTCCTCATTCGCAAACTCCGGGCCGACTCCCTCCAAGATTCGTCGCCCACGTTGTTGCTGATCTCAATGGCTGCGTGGACATTAGGAAGGTGGATTTCCGCGATGGACTGGCGCTGCTGTTTTTTGAGTGCATGCGACAGGTCAATAGCCAGCTGCACTCGCGCGCGGCCGGCACGCTGACAGCGCTGCTGCGCGAAATGTCCGCCCAGCAACAACAAGAAGAGACGGCGGGTGCGCTGGAGGACTGTGCCGGTTACGTGCTGGTGGTTCTGTGCTTAAGCTCTGCCTGCACCATGTCCAGCGCGACACTGCGCAGCAGCTGTGGGCAGTGCTGACAATGGAGTTTGACGCACATATGGGGCGTGCACAACGCATGGAGCCGCATCATTGGTTGCACTCACAGGGCTTCTGGCCACGCCACAGTGGTGCGCAAGGGCAGCCGAGTGGCTGACTACGCGGGGCTGTTCCAAAGATGCCGCAGCACATTCGAGCTCGCCTCGGAGGGCGAGCTGCTGGCGTATGAGCGGCTGCGGTGGCTGACAGCGCTGCTGATGCAGTGCGGGGTGGCGGAGATGGTTGGCATTGGCCGGGTGCTGCTGGACTTGGCTGTGGAGCGCGAGCCCCTGGAGTGCATCCTCGGGATGGCATTGACGCTGGCGCGGCTGCAGTGGCCGCAGTGGTCGCAGATCATGCTGCCGTACGCCGTCCAGCTAACCGTCAAGCATTGGCAGGCGGACCGCCTGCGGCTGCTGCTCTTCTGGGCCACCGTGTTCCAGCTCGGCCTCGTCCAGCCGCCATCGGCCTCGGGCGCTGGGCTTTCTGCCGTGCTGACCAGGCGCGGCCATGTGCTGTTCCCCGCCGCTGCTGCTGGTGCTGGTGGTGCGTGCGGCGTGAATGTCGCGCGCGAGCTGCTCGCGTGGCTGGCCGAGCCGGTCGCCTGGGGCGATGTCGTGCGGCACCCGATGGCGCTGCCGGCAGGCGGCGACGAGGGCGAGTTCCGCGGCTTCGACAGCACGGGCGAGTCGGCTGTATGCACGGAGCTGGCCACACGGTCGGCGGTCCTCGAGGTTATCGCGCGCGTCGCCGTCGACACGCCCGAGCTGATGCGCAGCCTTGAGGCGTTCGCGCAGGAGCTGACGCAGGCGATCGTTGCTGTGACGCAAGAGCTGGCGCCGGCCAACGCGGTGCTCGGCGGCAGTGCTGGCCAGGAGGAGGATGGGGGGGAGGGGAGGCGGCGGCGTGGGCGGACACGAGGCTGCGCAGGCGCTGGGCCAGGACGCGGAGAAGGCCGGGCGGCTGTACTGGGGCGCGTACCACCAGGCGGCGCCGCTGGTCAGCCTGCTGGGGCGCACCTTGCGGCTGCTCGCAGACAGCGCGCTGCAAATGGCCGCGGCAGCCGAGGCGTCGGCGCTGCTGCACAGGGCGTGGCTGCGCACGCTGGACAATGTCGTGGCCGCGCACCCGGCCAACGCCGCGCTGATGGACGGGCTGCTGCAGGTCGGCTCGGCGCTGCAGTTCCTTGCCTCGGCCAAGGCGCAGCCGACCACGGCGCTGGGCGAGGCGCAGCTGGCTTTGCTGCTGCCGCTGGTCGAGCGCAACCTGGGCAGCTTCCAGGCGGCACTGCGGCTCACGACCCTGCGGCTCCTGGCGCTGTTCGAGCAGCAGCCGATGAGCGACGGCAGCGGCGGGCGCTGCGAAATGATCTCGATGGCGGCGGCTCTCGAGGCCACCGACGCCGGCTTCGACACGCACAAGGACCGCATGAACCACCTGCGGCGCATGGCCGTGTTCGCCTGCAACGGCAACGTGCCGGCGCTCTACCGCAACGTCTTCCCGCGCGTCGCGCTGGCGCAGTTCTCGGTCAACTTCCGCCCCGTCTGGGCCGACGCCACGGCGCAGCTGGCCAGGCTCGCGGCGGCGGCGCCGGAGCTGTTCTGGGCGGCCACGTGGCGGCTGCTGCGCCGCTTCGACGACGAGCGGCGGCTGATCGAGCCCGGGCTGACGCCTGCGGCCAAGGCGTGGCTGCGCGCGCGCGCGGCCGAGTGCGCCGCGCAGACGGCGTTTGGCGCGCAGCCGAAGGTCGACGGCCACGCGCTCGAGTGCCCCAACGTCGTGCGGCTCGCGCGCGTGTTCGCGGCCGACCGCGCGCAGGCGTCGGCCGCGCCGGGCGCGCGGCTGCAGGAGCTGATGGCGCGGGCCGGCGGGGCCGAGGGCGCCGCGGCGGCCGCCACCGAGCGCGTCGACTACGCCAACGTGCAGCGGCTGCTGCTGCGGCTGCTGGCCGACCACGGCGTGGCCGCGGCCGAGCGCCACTCGCGCCCGCTGGTGCGCGCGTTCCTCAGCTTCGCCCGCCACGCGCTCGACTGGACCGCGGCGTTCTACCGCCGCGGCCAGGTGGCCGACGACCTGGAGCTCGGCGCCGCGTGTGCGCCGCGGTTCCGCGGGCTGCTGACCGGCTCCGGCCGCAAGGCGCGCGAGGCCGTGTGCGAGCTGTGGCTCGGCGTCTTCGCGCGCATGCGCAGCCCGCGGTCGCTGCACCAGTGGCCGGCGCTGCACGCGCTGTTCACGCGCATGCTCGCGCGCGGCGACTCCGCCGTGCAGCGCCGCGCGCTCGACTGCATCCTGGCCTGGCGCGAGCCCGCGCTGGCGCCCTATGCCGACCACCTGCGCAACCTGCTGGACGAGAAGCGGTTCCGCGACGAGCTCGGCTCGTTCAACCTGGCCGTCGGCGGCCAGTCGATCAACGAGGTGCACCGCGGCGAGCTTCTGCCGGTGGTCTTCCGCATCCTGCACGGCCAGACGCTGGTGCGCCAGGGCAAGGCCGCGCGCAAGGACGGGATGAAGATCCGCCGCGCCGCCGTGCTCACTGCGCTGGCCGGCGTCACGCCGCAGGAGCTGCGTGTGTTCGTGGCCATCGGCCTCGAGTCGTTCACGCCGGTGCTCCAGGCGGCGACGCCGCTCGCCGCGGTCGGCGCGACGGGGGAGCCGCTGCGCCTGGACTACGCTGCTGCTGCGATGGATGTCGACGGCGCCGCCGCCGGCCAGCTGCCGATCGACCGCGTGTCGCCCAAGGCGCAGCTGTCGTTCCTGCACCTGCTGGCCGAGATGGTGCGCCAGCTTGGCTTCAAGGTCCGCCCGTGCTGCATGACGCCCTGGTTGTGCTGCTGAGCGCCGTGGAGGGCGCCGAGCGCCAGATCGCGGCTGCCAACGCAGACCTGCTCGGGCTGGCGGCCAGCGAGGCCGCGGCTGTGGCGGCTGTGGGGCTGTGGCGGCGGTGGCGACGAGGCAGAGGCCGAGGCCGAGGCCGGCGAGGACCACGAGGAGCGAGGACCGCGAGGAGGCGAGGACCACGAGGAGACGAGGACCACGAGGGGCGAGGACGGCGGAGACGGCGCCGCTCTCGAGCACACGCATTTGTCGCGCGGCAGCATCGAGCACCGCAAGAGCGTCGCGCGCGACGTCCGCCACCTGGCGCTCAAATGCCTCGCGGAGATCTTCACCCTGCACCCGCCCGGCTTCAGCTTCGCGCCCTACATGCCGTGCATCTACGCCGTGGCGGTCAACCCGCGCCTGGCGGCACTGAGCGCCGAGAACACGCAGAACAGCTCAGTGCTGCTGCGGCTGCTCAAGGCGTGGACGCTGACGCCGGACTACTTCGCGTACCTGACGGCGTACAACGAGGCGACGTTCCCGACGCTGCTCGACCTGCTGGTGGCGCCCAAGGTGCAGCCCGAGGTTGTTGCGCTGGTGCTGACGTGCTGCAGACCTTCCTGGACTACTCGCCCGAGGACGCCCTGCAGGCCGGCCTGACCGACGACCCGCGCATCGCCGCCGACGCCGCGCTGCTGGCACGTGACAATGTGCAAAAGCACGTGCCCGCATTCTCTCGCACATGCGCACGTGCTTCGCCACCGTGCCGTTCACCCCGGCAGCACGCGGCGCCACCCCCGCCGGCCAGCAGCAGCAGGGCGCACAGGGGGGCGCCCTGGCCATGCGCCAGATCCACATTCTGTCGCGCGTCGCCGAGTACGCAACGTCGCAGGCGGCCGATGCCCGCGCGCTGCTGGATCTGCTGCTGCCGATCCTGCGCAAGCCTAACGCCGCCGTGCCTGAGCGCACCAAGGGCCACGTGCTGCGCATGATGCTGCGCTTCGTGCCCATTGTGCTTGCGCCCGAGGCCGCGCCGCCCGCCACGCTGCTGTCGGCGTACCTGGACGTCGTGTCCGCGTGCTTTGGCCGCCTGCGCCTGGACAGCTCGCGCACGACGCTGGCCGAGATCATGCAGCTGCTCGCTGGCTTTAGCTCGGCGCCTGCCCTGGTTGCCGCCGCCGAAATCATTCGCGACATCAACTCGCTGTCGCAGGAGCGGCTGGGTGGCGCCGACTTTGAGGTGCGCCTGGGGGGCTACGCAAGGCTCAACGAGCGCCTGTGGGCTGCCCCCATGCTGGACTCGCACTCCTGGGTGCCCCTGCTGCACAATCTGACGTTTTTCGCCCAGGACCATGAGGAGATGTCCATTCGCTCGAATGCCGCGTACGGGCTTGCCCGCTTTATCACCCGTCTTGCCTCGGCCCTCCGCGATGACCCGCTGGCCGCCGAGCCAGAGACCCGCTCCCTCGGCCGCTGCCTGACCGCCATTGTCCTGCCGGCCATCCGCCATGCGTTCAACTCAAAGTACGAGATCGTTCGCGAGGAGTACTTGGGTGTGCTCCGTAGGGCTGTGCGCGAGTGCGGCGCCTACTTTGACGAGCTGCGCGACCTCATGGCGCTCGATAACAAGGACGAGGAGATCAACTTTTTCTACAACATCGTCCATGTCCAGATCCACCGCAGATTGCGCGCCCTGCGCCGCTTCCGCAACCTAGTCAACACCAAGCCCATTGACCAGGGCGCCGGCGCTGTGGATGCTGAGTCCATGGATGTTGATGCTGAGGAGGAAGACAGCGAGGATGACGCTGGGAGCGGCGCAGCGACAATGAGGAGATTGCCGATGCCTTGGCAAAAAGAAGCCAGCAGCTGCTGTTGCGCAAAAGCCCAAGGCTGATCGCAGCTCCTTGGCTCCCCTCAACCTTGCCTCCGCCAACAACTCCTCCTCCGAAACAGCGTCGCCGATTTCACAGCCCAATATTCGCGGGCTCTTCATGCCGCTGCTGGAGCACTGGGCGCTGGCCGAGAGCGCCGCCGAGGTCAACCATGAGCTGACCCACGAGGCCATTCTGACTATCGGCGCCCTCGGCGCTATCCTGCCGTGGTCGCAGTATAGCAGCGCGATGCGCAAGTACCTGGCGATGATGAAGAAGTCGCCGGAGATGGAGAAGCGCCTGACCCGCCTTGTGCTTGCGCTCTTGGATAACTTCCATTATGAT